AAATCTATGTCATTGTTGTGAATTTTTCTTCTTACTATTATTATACAGAAATGTTAAAATAATGTCACTATTGTTTTCACAGTGTTTTTTTGTTTCAATGATATCGTGTAGCGTCGTTATACGTTTATTCACATTATTACTGTGGGATATTTCGAGTGGAGAACGAAATGATCCATTTCTAACCAGTATGTAGGAGTGCAAACCGTGTCCCCGTCTCTGGGTGAACAACTTAGCTAGCTAACTACAGAGCGAAACACATGCCGGCCAGTAAAAGAAAACAAAGCAGCTGTCTCTGATCTAATCGTGGCTATAAGAATAGGTTTGAAAAAACGTATCGATGGCAGATGCAGTGCCATTGCATGCAATAACAATCCGATAAGTACAAAGGATATTCAGCTTCACTGTGTGGTTCGCGTGTGTCGCTTTAGCAAACAGAGCCACTTTCTTTCTGGCCTCGAGTCGACTTCAAACAGGTTTACCAGAAATGACTACACTAAAATACGTTTTTTTATTATATTGTACTCGGCTTTTCAAACCTAATGTAAAATGTACATACACATAAATAACACTGGCTAACCACACGAACTAAGTTCACATTATTTAGCCGAAAGTGCAGGTTGTGTTAGCTAGGTCATCTGATTTCAGGTCCAACTATTTTGCCTCCTACTTAATTTACAAAGAAACCAACCGCTATATATCGAAGAACATGTTCAAAAACAGACGAGAATGCCGCCGACAAAGATAAAATATTTCAAGAGCGCTCTAAGAGCACATGACCATTTAGAAATTATTCCTGAATGAAAACTTCCTCTCTAAACCGGACATGGTGTCGTTTCTTCTTCCGAAAAGGAACGTCGATGTCTAAACAGCATCGTGTAAAATTGCCATCTAGTGGAGGACCTTCTTCTGTGTAGTAAACTAACTGAGGATTCAGCCATTTTCTGGGACATGGGCGGTCGACTCCAGTCATAGGAAAACCCCCGTAGCACAGTTTCAGATTACCTTACAGTACTGCAATTACATGTATTCTGACTTTTAGTTTTATTTTCCAAAATGTTGCACTGATAGTGAAAAAACTGACCACTTTTTTGTATTTTGAGCACTTTATTAACTGCTTTAGTTTTCGCCATTACTACACTTAAAAGGAACACAAAAACCTGAATGCTACCCTTGAGTGGCAGCTACTGGATAGAAGAGCTTTTTTTCACCTTTATTAAAGTGTCTGCAAATGTCCTCAAATGATGCACAACTTTTGGAGCTTGGATGTAATGCAATACCTACTTTACTGTAATGTTTTTACATTTTGAATTTCAATGCAATACCTGCTTTATATTATTACTCTCCATTTTGATTTTCAAAAGCATTTCAAATGGATTACATTCAACATGAGAATCAACTATAAAGGATTGAAGTAGATGGAAATAATAATGAACAACCGTTGGAAGTAATGCTGTATCTATTTTACAGTAGTTTTACATTAACAACACTAAAAACAACTGTGTATAGTGCAGCTAGGTTTGGATTTAGAAAACAATGATGTAACTACTTTATATTTTTTCCATTTTGAATTTCAGTAGCACTTACAGCAGATTATATACATCACTTCAGTTAATGGTGAATGGTGCAGCTAGGTTTCAGTAGGGATGCATAACCTATAGATTATGTATGCAATGCAACATTTGATTTCATTTGACACACAACCTTGGGATTTTTGAATTGATGTAATGCCTACCTAATTTTTTAAAGGTTTTTTAATATTTTAAAATTTTTCATTTAATTTTTAAAAAATGATTCCAATAGCATTTCAATCAAATTTCATTTGGCACTAAAGTCGACAGTAAATAGTGAAGCAAGGTGACAGTGATGACACAGCCTTTGGATTTTGCTAATGCTATGTCTATTTTTATATAATTGCTTTTCAATTTAAGTATTGGGACACCTACACATTACACCTGCAGGAGCTTTTATGACATCCCATTCTAAATCCATAGGCATTAATATGAAGTATATAGGGACCCCTTTTGCAGCTATAACAGCTTCCACTCTTCTAGTACGCTTTCTACAAGATTTTGGATGTGTCTGTGGCAGTTTTTGCCCATTCATCCAGAAGAGCATTTGTGACGTCAGACCCTGATTTTGGCTCACAATTTTCATTCTAGTTCATCCCAGAGGTGTTTAATGGGGTTAAGGTCAGGGCTCTGCGTGGGCCAGTCCAGTTCTTTCACACAAAATTTACTCAACCATGCCTTAATGGACCTTGGTTTGTGCACTGGGGCACAGTCATGCTGGAACAGAAAAGGGCCTTCCCCAAACTGTTCCCAAAAGGTTGGAAGCGAACAATTGTCCAAAATGTCTTGGTATGCTGAAGCATTAAGATTTCCTTTCACTGGAACTAAGGGGCCTAAGCCCATTACATTATTCCTCCTCCACCAAACTTTACAGTTGGCATAATGCAGTCAGGCAGGTAATGTTCTCCTGGCATTCGCCCAAACCCAGACTTGTCTGTCAGACTGCCAGATAGAGAAGCATGATTAGTCATGATTAGAAAGAATGTTTCCACTGCTTCAGAGTCCAGTGGCAGTGTGCTTTACAACACTTCATCCGATGCTTGGCATGGCGCTTGGTGATGCAAGGTTTGCATGCAGCTGCTTGGATATGGAAACACATGCCATGAAGCTCCCAGCAGACTTTTTTTTTGCTGTTGTTAATGACAGAGGAGGTTTGGAAGTCAGCTATGTGCTTCAGCACTCAGCCAACTGTGTATGGTAAAGCTAGGCGTCAGCAGTCATGCACAGCTGTTGGATTTGGGCTTTAATTCAGTAACTACTTTCTATTACAACAATAAAAACAACTGTGTATTTTGGATTTTGCATGTAATAGAATAACTACTTTCTATTAGTTTTTATGTAGTTTGGATTTCAATAGTATTTCAGCCAGATTAAGTAAAACACTAAAAACAACTGTGCATGGTGCAGCTAGGTGTCAGCAATCATGCACAGCCTTTGGATTTGGGATGTAATGAAATAGCTTCTTTATATTAATTTTTATGTATTTCAGCACCCATTTTAGATGCATTCCATATAACACTGAAAACAATTGTGTATGGTGCAGCTAGGCTTCAGCAATGAGGCACAACCTGGATTTTGGATGTTATGCAATAACTACTTTGTATAATATTTTTTAATTACATAATTTATTATACATTTGAGCTGCATCATATACAACACTAAAATCAGCTGCATTACCTTCAAAGGTTGTGCATAAGTATTGACACCTAGCTGCACCTGACACCACTGATTTCAATGTTGAATGTAATGCAGCTTAAATGCTATTGAAATTCAAAATGGAAAAATTAGTATTACATACAAAATAAAAGTGTTTATATTTAAGTTATATTTATAAATGTAATATAGATTATTCTAGCATTATATTTAAAATGAAATTGAAATATAAAAAATCTGTAAAGTATTTAATCACATCCATATTTTTTAAATGAATATAACATATGTATTTTAATACATCCATTGAGCCAAGGGTTGTGCATCATCAGTCCCTCCTGTTTGCACATATTACAGCTGGTTTTAGGAAGATAGGGTATTAAATACCTGACAATTTCAGATGTACAATTCTATCTCCAAGTGGTCTACTTGAAGATGGCCCCTTGACTCCCTGAGTGTTTGGTGGATTTTTAACACTTTAAAGTTGCAATTCAACAAAATTAAATAAGACATGTGCATTGTATTCTACACTTTCATGTGATTGAAAACAACCCATTTTAAACACACATTCTAGATGGTTAAGCTTCTATTGAACCTTAAAAACTGTAAATGTCTGATGAATACTGCAGGTCCAATGTCAAGCTAACTTCATCAGTGTAGTATCACTTTTTACAGATAAGATATGCTTACTGTTGTTAGAATAAGTATTAGCAAGTGCATATGTCAGTTATCGGTTAATTAAATGTCTTTTTTCAAAATTAAAGTGGTGTGCAGTTATCCTAATAGTGCCGAAAAGATGAATATCAAAAATAAAATTAACTTTACCATGAAGAGGATCTGCAGGACTACAGCTAAGAACCGCAGTGTCTCAATGTAGAAATTTATTAGTACAATGGACTGTTTGTCCTGAAATGACATGTCATAGTCTATGTAAAAATGAATGTGTGCCCTCACCAATCCCAAGCTGCATTACAAATGAGTTTTTCTGATTTAAAGACTAGGAAAAACCCCATCTGATGATGTATTTTGAAGGTGGGGGGAATTTTTAAGACACTACATCTGCCTTGCTGTGGATTTTTTGTTTGTTGTTTGTTTTTTAATTTTTTTATTTCATTTTTTTTGTTTGTTTTTTTGCTGACAAAAGCCAGATAGCCAATATTACTTATTATCAACTGTGATAACATTCTTCAAATCATTATTATAGTGTACAGAATAGATTACTCAAGTGGCAGAAATGACTCGTCAGATGAGGAACAAGCTCTCTCAAGTAGTCCACTGGTTGATTATTCTGAACTTTAAACTGAGTGTTGTCCAACACAGTAGCCACTCACTCAAGCTTCAGCATATTCTTTAGCAATGTCCGCTGGATTACATGAGCCATGTACCTATTGAGCCAGCCATGTTGGCTGCTGTTGTGTTTCAGCTTGTTCAGGGTTCAGAGGGTTGTATAGGCACTGCAAATACACAATTATTTTTACACAAATACACAAAAATTCTGAAAGGAAGGATCTATACTACTACATTTACACACCAATTTAAATATGAAATAAAAATATATAAAAATATATTTAAAATAAAAATGTTAAAATTTAACAAACACATCATCTACCTTGAGCAATGTGAAACAACAATACAGTCTGACACATCCTAGTCTTTTTATTCATGTATGCATAGTAACTTTTTCTTGAACCACTTTGCAAATTTGGCAGGTATTTTTATAACGCAATCCAGAAAAGACTGAATGAGCAGAATCATCAGAATGTGAACAATGAATATCAAAGATTCAAGGTAATTCTGTTTATTTTATTTTTAAAAAACAAGTGTAAAAATATTCTGTCATACTCCTAGCTTTATTCTTTTTAACAGAACATTGGTGTAAATTTATAGATTTTAGATTTGGTGTAGATTTATAGGGCAATGTACGCTCCTGAACAAAAAAAGGGAGCCATAGCCATTATGGAAAAGCATTAAGCTTTTAATGGCCTTAACAACAAATCATTTTTCACTCAGCATTGATGGCTTCAAACAGTTGAAAGACTTTGCCAAGCTAGTGTTCAATATGAAACCAAATATTCTATATATGGTTTAAATCTGGACTCTGACCATTTTATTTTGCCTAGGAGTGCAGATATTACAGCTGTAGGAAAATTTCAAATCTGAACAATCCCTGAATCAGAGGTTGATGAACAGACCATCATGCTCTACAGCTGACAGACAGATGGAAAGAGAGAGAATGCCTAACATCTATCAGTCACACAGGGCAAAACTGGGTTGTCAGTCATCCCTTCATCAAGTCTGATTTCTTTCTCAGGAACCAGATGTTTTACAACTTCTTCAGCTTCTACAACTTCTAGTGAGACACCCAGTTATGCACCTGTATGACCTTTAATGTCAGGAGCTACATTTCTCCACTCCAGTCTCTGTAGACGTCTCTGCTGGGGTTGACTTAGCCTCCGCTATTAAACGCTTCTGACTCTGATGCTCCCTCTTATTTCCTGAAATACAAACAAACACAAAGAGTAAATCTTATGGTTACATATTGACTGCACAAATTTACTTTTCATGTGTAAATGTAAAAGAACGGTTTGTGGAGAAAATCTAATTTACATAATTTTTCCTTTACCCCACATGGATCAGCTATGTTTTATGTCTTAAAGGTTTCTTTAGTTTTGCACTGGAGCTATGAAGCTGATGTAGCTAAAAGTAATCAAAGTTTATGTCAGCCAATATCTTTGGCTGATACAGACTTCTAATAGCCTCACAGCTTTTCATTAAAAGGATGTTCTTTTAAAGGCCAATTTTCTACATTTTTATTGTGTCATGTGAGTGGGTTTATGTACCAAAAACATAATATTTCTTTTTTACATGCCCATTTTTCAATGTCTCTTTACCCCCTTAGAATTAACGGCTATTTTATTACTGTGCCTTTAAAATATTTAAACAGTTGGAAAGGTTTGTAAAGGTTTGGGTAAAAGTTTTTTGTTCTGCACATTTTCAAGCACAATTTCAGTTTATTTGCTCAATTTAACATATAGAAACGAATAGAAATAGAACGAATAGAAACAAGACATAAAATGTTATGGCACACTTTAGGTTTTTTTTCCCAATATGTTAAACTTAGCAAATAAATAGAAACATTATTAATTTGCAGGAAAAATGCCATATTTACCTTTGCAAATAAATGGACAGGGCTAAAGTGTAGGCTGAATAAGTGGATATATGTAAATACATTGCATTTCGTGACATCACAAAAACACTGGATTCCTAACTGGTTTTTGCAGCTTAGTTTACATATATGGACAGTATGGACAATGGTTGCATACTACATCAAACTCTCATTTACAAAACGCAAGAAAACTGGGTTTTACATAATGACCCGTAAAAGCAATGTGGTGTAGGGGCTACATGTTTTATCTTTCACACGCCATTGTCCTGTCATAATAACCGTCGTATCATCAACTAGCAAGATTATACAGTGCAGTTTATTTTACCGGAAATATCAGAAAAACTCACCTGGTACCAGGCTACATGGTGCGAGTTCAGGCTGTTCTTTTTGCTCTCCCTCTCTGATGGCAGAGGAGATCTTCCGCACCACATAGGCACCGGCTGTGGAATATACGTGACATACAACGTTAGATAACAATAAGAACGTTATATAGGCCAACAAGTACTGCTGTTACTGCACTATTACTACAACATTCAGCAGTATCATACATTATTCGCATATGATAATATTTGTCCAAATGCTTTCTGTGTGGTATTTCGTATTATGATCATTTGTTTTTTCTAAGCTATGTAAGCGTCTTTGTTTCTTCAAGTGCTTTATAAATTAAATTTCTTAGTGTCTTAATCCTCCTAGAAATGAGGTACAAGCATTTCATATTAATTCAAAAAAATCAACGGTTTAATAATTATAAGAAAACCGCGAGTTACTAGAACTTACACAAAGCCACAAAAAATGTTAAGCTAATGAGCGAAGAACAGTCTTCTTACCTTTTATCAGAAGTCATACCATTACGAACCCGTACAGGACACGCTAAAGTGGTTGTTTAGCAGCCTATATACCGAATATGCTGAAACGTCGATCTCAGAAAGAGAAATGCACTAAACTCTACTTCCGCGTCTACCTTGCGTTTTCCGTGTTGTCGACGCTTATCAAAGCGAACTGCGTTTTTTCTCAGCCAATCACTACCAGCTATGTTTTGACAGCGCAACTCAACATAGCCAATCAGTAGAGTCCAGTGTAAGGACTTACGTAATTCATATTTATATAATTAGTTTAAAATATTTGTAATAATCAGCTAAGCAATTATGCTGTTTCGTCAAAATTTAAACTATCAGCGGTGAACTTGCAATCACGCGTAAACATGATTCTTCTATAACTTGCAGAGAATGTCCACACGATGGCAGTATAAAGCAACAACTCTTTGTCTCAGACGTGTCCCTAAATATGAACCTTTATAGTTTTGATAATTTAGTTAATATATGTCTTACTGTTTTAATAGAATGAACTGACCCAGTTTGACTAATCTGATTAAACAGTTCTCTACAACCATGCTTATTAATTCTTGTCCAAATGACAGCACATTATTTAAAGCCACTGAAGACACCAACACACACAAGTAAATAAGGAACAGTATTTATGAACATTGTAAATTGAGATTATTTGCAAAGTACAAAAATATAGCATACATTTCCATAAATAACAATAATACACGCTCAAATCGCTCACCGAAATATCACCGCAGTTCAAATGCACAGCCGGAAAAAAAGTCTGTACAAAACGGAGATATGAATCTCAAACAAATGACAACAAAGCTCTCAATACAGAGGACATTCAGTTAAAACGCTCTCCCTTTTTACACTTTGTACAGTACCATGCTGCAGTCACCTATTCTTTAAAGGCAAGAAAAACGCAGTCCTCTTTATTCAAATTCTTTCCTTTTTTTTTTTGTTCCCCTCTGTATCAAGCATAATACTGAAATAATAGCATGAGCGAAGATCTGTGATTTCCTAAAAGGCAAGAAGTGTGAAAATAAAAAACACACACAAATACATCCACCACCCCATAACCATTCAGGGTCCTCTGTCTTTCAGGCTCATGTCAGTGCTGTAGAAGAGGACATTGTTATCATCATCGTCAGAATCTGACTCGAGCTTGGCTGTGTATCTCACACTCGCTGGGTGATACTCGCCAATCCGCGTGCTGTCACACAGCCGAGACCGAAGGGCCAGCTGGAAAAAAAATGGACAGGATTAGTCAGAGTGCATATCAGTGTATGGGTATGTATGCACACAGTGAGGGGAAACTAACATTCAGACACTTTTTTGTTGTTTTTGATATTTAATATGCTTCCAGTTCAAATTATGTCTTTTGACTTTGTAATTATAAATATAAACAAAAAAAGAAAAAAAAAAAACTAAAGAAAAAAAGTATGTATTCATAAGCATAAAGAGACCGTTTAAAAAAGAAATTGATAGGGAAAAATTATTCTGACACTACCAATTAATAACATTAGTACTTTGCTACAAAGCTATTGCTGACCATTTTAACTTCGAGGAGTCTATGATAAGAAGTAGTCAGCTTTTTGCAGCACTGTGGATCAATTTGGCTCATTCCTCTTGGCAAACCATCTTCAATTTCCCAAGTCTACAAGAGTTCCTCTGTTGGACTTGGAATTTCAAAATCCTTCACAAATTGTCAATGGGATAAAAATCCAGAGAATGGCTAGGCCATGCAAGCACCTTCAGCATTTTTAGAAACCAGTCTTCAGTTAATTTGGCTGTATGTTTAGGGAGAATTCAGAGTTCAGATTTATCAATGCTTGTGTGTAAATTTTAGATATGCATTTCTGTGCTTCTTCTTTAGCAGAGGAGTTTTGCGTGGCGTGTAGGAACGAAGATGACTGCGGTGCAGTTCGTTGTTTATGGTTCTCTGTAACTGTTGTTCTTGCTGCTTTCAGATCATTCTGAAATTCTTTTCCTGTGACTGCTAGCTTCTCTTACCTTCCGTATCATTAGTTTGAGAGAAATCTTGCATGGTACACCTGTACATGAACTTCCATTAACTTTCTAATTGCATATTATTGAACCAATCACACTGAGAGGAATGTTAAAGATCTTTGCTAAGGCTCTGTAGCCTTTTCATATGGGTGTTGTTTAACAAGTGTCACTACTACGTTAACCCTAAGTTGTTTTTACCCTTTTAGCTTAAGAGGGCTAACTAACTGTAAGCTTTGTTTTGAGTTTTATTCACCAGAGCTCCTGTGCTGACTGGCCTAATGCATAGATAGTTTATTTCTTGGCCCATTTTAAATCTGCTGAGACATTTGTTAACCACGCCTCGGCTGGGCAGCAGAAACGCTGCTCCTCCACAGGCCACTGCTACAGGACCATCCCGCCAAGCACCCTCCACGGACAGCCTGAATGCAGCCCCCTGCCTCTAAACAACGCCATGCAGCCACTCCACCAGAGCCTGCCACCCTCCACCAACCCCTTTGATAGTAGGCAACTCTGTTATCAGAAACATTAAACACTACACAACCACTGTTCACTCAGTTTCTGGTGCAAAAGTCTCAGATATTACATTGCAGCTTCCTAATCTTTTAAAGCAATACATGTAAAAAATGTAAAAAATGTCATACATGTTGGATGCAGTAACATCGAAGTACAAAGCACAGAACTGTTAAAAAGAGACTTCACATTCTTATTATCTTCTATAAAAGACTGTGAGAAAACTGTTTTTATCTCTGGCCCAATCCAGCCCAATGGGTAGAGGCACAGGACATTTTAGTTGTATTTTAAATCTGTTGTATTTTGCTGGTTTCAAAAAAAAAAAAACTGACTCTGCACTGGCTTGACTTTTAGTCATGATTTTAACCTCTTCTGGAACTAGCCATTGTTCTTTAGGGCACAAATTTAAGTCTGTTTTCAACTCTAGATGACTACGCAATACCAATGATATTTGCTTAAATTTCCCCTGTTGTTAATGGTAGTAGACCTACAATCAGCTTTTTAGATAAGCGCAAAAGTAAAAGAAACGTCAAGGAAGCAGACAAATTCAATGGTTTTATAAATACAAGCAACGTAACTTGCACTGTGCTTTCGCTTTAATGTATGTATGTGGCAATCTTACCCTCAATCTCGTCTAAACCTAAAGGACTCCACCCAGTCTGCCCTGACTGATTTAATTTTGTCCAACAGAATGGACAAAATTACAGGCATTTTTAATTTTGGTTCCAGTGACCATTGCCCAATGAGATGCATTAGATAGTTGCATGAAGAAAACAGGCTCTCGAATGGTGGCCAGAAGAAATTTAAAACATTTTAATGAGTAAGCTTTTCTTTCTGACCAAGCAATGAGTTTAATGTTCATTTTACTGCGACCAGTCTATATTTCAAAACACTGACATAAAGCTGCTTTCAAATCAGTCTGACATCACTTCTACTGCTACCCAGAGGCACATTCTATTGACACTCCAGACTTTCTCTCTATACATAGTAGCACTGCTATTAACCTGCGAACACCTTCAGGTGAGAATGGTCTGGACCCCTATTTCCTACATCGTGCAATCCTAGTTATTTAGAAAATATTGCATGCATTTCTACTGTTTCTATTTTATCTTGTAGAATTATCTGAAAAACAGCTCATATTTTTTCTACTGCATCAAGGAGGTGAAGCAGCAGGTCTAAATAACTACAGGCCAATCTCAAAACTGTCGCTTCGCTAAAATTTTAGTATCTTGGTGAATAGCCTCAAATAGTTTCTTTATTAAAACCCTGTCCATTTTAGAGACTTCAGAGAAAGCTACAGAACCATCTCTGTGCTCACACTGGTTTTAAATGATTTTACATGGCCTGAATCAGATTTAGTTCCCGTTAAGAAGTCCCACAAGTCTCGATCCTGGGTGCAGTTTTATATATATATATATATATATATATAAATATATATAAATATATCTCAAAGATATTGCTGTCTCCATCTCAGACTCTTATACACAGATGACAAGATTTTATACTCTTCAGCTGAATCTCCTCGTGCAGCAAAAGAAAAACTGTAGTGCTCATTTAACGGTCCTCAGTAGCAGCATGACCGGAAACACACAGGCTTATTTTTATTTATAAACCTCTCTCCGGCCATATGCTAGTTTGTATCTCATCTATGATCTATATAAATAACAGTTATTATTGGACTGCTCTAGTGACTGGATCACCTGTCAGGTACCTAGAGTTTTTAATGAACTCGAAAAATTAGCTTTTAGCTACAGTGCACCAGTGAGCTGGAATTCGCTACAGGAGTCACTAAAACATGGCTCACTGGTGTCACTTTATCATTTTAAGCTTTTAATCTCTAGCCACCTTGAAACAGCCTGTAACTGCTTTAGTTGAGTGTATTTTTTCCTTTCTATCTTTATTTATTTTTTTCAATAATTTTTTAAGGCTGATTAAAATCTTACATTTCTTTATTGGATCTTAATTCTATAACCTTATTTTATTTCTTTTCACAATGTGTTTAATCGCTTGTTTCAAATTTTAGTCTGCCTTATTTAAACTTTTAGGTTGACATTTAAAAATTGGTTTTAACTACTATATATTGGTTTTATTTGTTTAATTGTTCCCCTTATTAATTAAATCTGAACTGTTCTCCTCTTTTTTTAGTCTTGTTTGATATTGCCTTTAATTTTACTGTTAATTTTGTTCATGTAGTTCTGTTTATTTTAGTTTAAATCCCATTTTATTTTTTTATGTTCAGTCCCTTTGCATTGTAAAGCTCAGCTGCATTGAAAATGAGGGCCACCCTCAATGTATTTCCAAGTGAAAATGAAGGTTGACTGGGGGCAATATGACTTCACTTTTTTGGTTGTACCATGAAAAAGGAAGCCACCTGTCATACAGATGCCATGAAGATGCACAGCTTTAAATGAGGGCAACATTCAGAAGACGAAATCGCAAGGCACAACGGTTTAATTATTTAGTTCAACAAATAAAGGTTAATATATTCATCATTCATTATGGAAAGAGTCATTTGTTGCAGCTCTATCATATACCTCCCATCTTATGAAAAGAAGGGTATTAAAGTAGTGTGGTTCATTAAAAAAAATAAATAAATAAATAAATAAGAAAAAAAAATCAAATACTGACAATCGTGCCTTATGACTGGCCAAGATATGTTGGGGTCTGAAGTTTGCTTCTTTAATTTTGCACTAGAGGCCAATATAATTGGAAAATCAACTGTTAGGAGTAAAGAGAAAACTGTACGATTTAATATTTTATTTAATCCCCCAGGTTTTGTTAGTGTGAGTGTGTGTGTGTGTGTCTGAGAGAACATTACTTTGATTCCCGTGTTGCTGAGCTGACTCCAGGTGTCCTTGCCAAAGACTAATGCGTTGGCCAGGCCATGAAGAGGTGCACTGAGCACATGCAGCAGCGTGAGAGAGAACACTGGCTTCTTAGGATACACAGCATTATGAAGCCTATGGACACACGACATATTACACATATGCAGTCCCATTTACTCACTGGGATTACAATGAGTGAGTGAGTGAGTGAGTGAGCGAGCATGTGTGTGTGCATGTGCATGTGCATGTGCGTGTGTGTGTGCATACCGATTTAAAAGAGGAAATATAGAGACCAGCAGATATACAGAAGGATACCACTTCAGAGGACGGATCTCCTCAGCTAGAGATATCTACAGAAAAGAAAGAAAGCATGAGAATGACTCTTTGATTATTGATCTCATGACTGATCATAGAGTATTTTTAGGTAAAAACACACACCTTCCTCCTCTCCCTCTCTGGGTTAAAGGTGCCTAGCCAGGACTGCATCTTTGGGTAAAAGATCAGACAATACCAATGCAAACAGTTTATTAATAAATGTCAGACAAAAAAATATTTAATATACAACAGTGTCATATCTGTTGTTAATAGAACTGCACAATATTCCTTGCTGCAATAATATTTTTTATTATTCATTACAGTAAATTGGTCTTTTCTCAAATATGAGAGAATTCTGACCATTCTCAGATAAGCGTTCTATGGGTATTTTGAGTTTACTTCATGATTCAACAGAAAAATAATAAGGATTAAAACTATGCTGGATAATTTTTTTATCATGTCGCCCCAAGGGTACACCCACATACTGCAACTGTAATATGTAACAAAATATGATTGCAATATGGTGTCCATATAATACAGCCCTAGCTGATAATCATGTTCAGGCATCAGTTTTCCAACAAGTTAACGTTTCACGTCAGCATGCATGTAGACGTGCATATGTTGTGTTTCATGAGAAAATCATGGTTGGGCAAAAATGTTCTGGAATCTGGAACTCTGCCCTCTGGTTCATCAACTTTACCCTCAAGCATTAACATGACAACAGCAGACAAAAACAAGAGGAATGTATCTTACTATCGCAGTTAGCCAGACCTGGCAGCCATCCAATAATGCTACGCAAAAGCAATATTTCACAGTGTTCCAGGAACTTCAAATTAATTAAAGAGGCAACTGAGATCAATTTATTATCTCTATCACCTCAAGTGTAGTTTAATTTGTTGTCTGTATTTTTTTTACTTCACATTCACTCTGATGAATGCACTCACCCTATCATTGGCTACACAGATAATGCGTGCATAACAGCAGATCATGAGAAAGATGAGGGTGAAGAGCGGTATGTACCATCTGCAAACATAAAGATTGTAAATAACCATAAATAAGCAAAAACAAATAGAAAACTACAGAATATAAATTATACATCACCCGCTAAACACTGGTTAAACACTAGATAACTCATGCTCACACACACCCACACATGTTCATGCCCAGGCTCACGCACACACTAAAGAACACTCACACCTACTGACCCCTATTGACAGTCATATTTTAACAGTGGCTCAAAAAGACACACGTAAATGTTAGTCAGCTAGACCCGTCCCCTGAAAATTGTCACTGATATGTACTGACAAATGCTCTAGCTATGTGACTCTGAATGATGACCTTTCACTCAGAAAGAAAAGAACAGAATGACAGCTCAATAGGAGCAGAGTGAATACCAGAGATTCCGGTTCAGGTAGAACTATGTGTCTTTCTCCTCTTAACTAGAATGGATGATGTAACCCACTGAGTGTAAGCTGTCTATCATAACATATATTATCTTCACATTTATTCACAAACACAAATAATGTACAACCGATCAGACACATAAAATGCAAAACTCTCAGGATTAACATAGAATAATAAAATCCATGTAAACATTAGGCACTATGGCAACAGCCTGGGGAAGGGCCAACACACACTGACTGGGAAACCAATGAGAGCTCAGACACACACAACACCAGTGTGCATGAACCAAAGTGCTTTATGTGCACATAAATGACTTGTAACACAAACATTTTTTCGAAATCTTACTCATTTAAAGCTGAGTGTCCCTTTGGCTCTCTTTGTGTGTGGCTAGTGAGAGCTAGTTTTTATGCTGCTGGTGCTCATCCCCACACAAGCTCCAGCTGCCACCCTAGCATGTGTTGACTCCAAAGACGGCGAGTCCCCTCCCCTTACTGACCAAGCACGGGTTCGAAAGCGAGGCATGACTCGATGCCTGAGCCAACTCCAAGGAGGCAGGGTAAGAGAGGCGGTGTCGCCATGAGGAATGGAAGCAGGGGCCACTTCCCATTGACATGTTGAATTCAGAGTTGGCTTTCTGATGTTCTGAACATCAGGTGGCACCAATGAAGGAGCAATTTCCTGACACCTTCCAGAACACTAGGTGAGCCCAAGTCGCAATTCATTGACGTCATCCGGGACACCAGGTGACGCTATTGCCACAGGCGGCTGCTCAATGATGCCCTCCAGGGCAGCATGCAGCACTGTAGAGTCCAGCAGGAATTCCTTGATGCCCTCCTGCAGAGAGAGGTCACAGTTCCACGCTGTTGGTGGCTCAGAGGGGCTCTCCAGAGCACCAGGCCATGCTGTTGCAAGTGATGGCAGCTCAGAGGTGCTGTCCAGAGCACCCATTGTGTCAACGGCCCAAAGGCGATGATTCAGAGGTGCTCTCAGCAGCAATGTCAACACTGGCAGCCACTCAGGGAGAGGAAGAAACCAGATCTGGGTGGACAGGGTAGGGGGTCATCTCTGTGCCATGGGCCTCGTCCACCAGCGGGCAGCATTAGCTAAGGTTGGGAGGCACTTTCTTTTCTTAAGCAAAAAAGACAAAACTAAACTTATGCTAACATCACTTACATGGAGCTTTGGTGTGCCTCCAGGCCTTGATCGGGTACTACTCAGAGAACGTGCCCACCAGGGGGTGGCACCCACATTCTCCCCCACTGTGGCATCAGCCTGGACTGTCAGTTTTTTTCTGCTCCTCCCCAAACAAGCTGTAGCTGTCCACGATCAGGGGAAAAGTAACCAACACGGTGGAGGGAAACACAGTTGCTTCCAGACAAGTGTACAGCTTGACACAAATAAGCAATTAACATCCTACCATGCTCTGCAGCATGTAAAAAAATTGCTGAGAAGGCCAAGCTGACCCTATGGATCAAGACAGCAAAACGAAAACTGATTTTGAAATATGGCCGGAGCCTCGGTTACAAAGAATGCTGTCTAGTGTTTCAATAGGAACTGACTAAAGTAATACCTGCACTTACACTACATTGCCAAAAGTATTCGCTTGTCTGCCTTCACACGCATATGAACTTGAGTGACATCCCATTCTTAATCCATGGGGTTTAATATGATGTCGGCCCACCCTTTGCAGCTATAACAGCTTCAACTCTTCTGGGAAGGCTTTCCACAAGGTTTAGGAGTGTGTTTATGGGAATTTTTGACCATTCTTCCAGAAGCACATTTGTGAGGTCAGACACTGATGTTGGACGAGAAGGCCTGGCTCACAATCCCCGCTCTAATTCATCCCAAAGGTTCTATCGGGTTGAGGTCAGGCCAGTCAAGTTCTTCCACACCAAACTCGCTCATCCATGTCTTTATGGACCTTGCTTTGTGCACTGGTGCGCAGTCATGTTGGAACAGGAAGGGGCCATCCCCACACCGTTCCCACAAAGTTGGGAGCGTGAAATTGTCCAAAATCTCTTGGTATGCTGAAGCATTAAGAGTTCCTTTCACTGGAACTAAGGGGCTGAGCCCAACTCCTGAAAAACAACCCCACACCATAATCCCCCCTCCACCAAACTTTATACTTGCCACAATGCAGTCAGACAAGTACTGTTCTCCTGGCAACCACCAAACCCAGACTCGTCACTCCAGAGAACACGTCTCCACTGCTCTAGAGTCCAGTGGCGGCGTGCTTTACACCACTGCATTCGACGCTTTGCATTGCGCTTGGTGTTGTAAGGCTTGGATGCAGCTGCTCGGCCATGGAAACCCATTCCCTGAAGCTCTCTACGCACTGTTCTTGAGCTAATCTGAAGGCCACATGAAGTTTGGAGGTCTGTAACAATTGACTCTGCAGAAAGTTGGCAACCTCTGCGCACTATGTGCCTCAGCATCTGCTGACCCCGCTCTGTCATTTTACGTGGCCTACAACTTTGTGGCTGAGTTGCTGTCGTTCCCAATCGCTTCCACTTTGTTATAATACCACTGACAGTTGATTATGGAATATTTAGTAGCGAGGAAATTTCACGACTGGACCTGTTGCACAGGCGGCATCCTATCACGGTACCACGCTGGAATTCACTGGGCTCCTGAGAGCGACCCATTCTTTCACAAATGTTTGCAGAAGCAGTCTGCATACCTAGGTGCTTGGTTTTATACACCTGTGGCCATGGAAGTGACCGGAACACCTGAATTCAATGATTTGGATGGGTGAGTGAATACTTTTGCCAATATAGTGTAGATCTATGGAAAAGTCATCAGAAAATATGGTTAGAAATTGTGGTTGAAACCGCATATTCAATGACCAACACGCTTGTGCATTAGTGCTCATTTTATAGAAAAAAAAAACAACAAAAAAAAAAACAGAGGAGCAACTGTTCCTTAGCTGATTGAGAATGTCAGTTAGGAAAACGATCAGACTGTCAGCAAGAACAGCTACATAGAGAAGGAGATTACAGTAGAATTGCATCACATAAACCTCTCACAAAGATGAAGGCATATATATAGGTGCTGGTCTACGGAGATGTGGAAAAAAGTGATAGGGGCACTTTACTGGCATGGTTTGGGTCAACTTGTCCCCTTAGAGAAAAGGACAAATGCAAATTAATACAAAGCTATTCTGATCAACTCTATCCTATGATTAAACATTCTGATGGTAGTGGTCTCTTCCAGGATGACCATCCACAGGGCACAAGGGATTAGTGAATGGTTTGATGAGCATGAATCATAAATCCTATGCAATGGCCTTTGCAGTCATCAGGTCTCATCTCAGTTCAACACCTACGGGAGATTTTAGACCAACATGATAGACCGTGCTCTCCACCACCATCATCAAAACACGAACTGAGGGAATATATTTATTTTTACAAGAATAGTGTTCAATTCCTCCAGTACAGTTCCAGAGATTAGTAAAATCTATACCATGGCACACTAAAGCTGTTCTGGTGTCTCTTGGTGGCCCAACACCTTGAAAAAAACCTTTCTGTTGTTTTTGCCTTTACCTGTCCCTCATCTGTGTGCACATGTGTATAAAGAGATGCTACATACATGCCAAACCTCCAAGCCACATGGTCATCTGTGATCCAGCTAAAAGGGGAGAGAAAGATGAAAGGTCAGAGACAGAGAGGTTAAAATAAGTGAGTGGGGTGATGCTGACATCTGTGTTTAGAGGTCATTAGTAACTCACCACCAGACTCCAGCTGAACCATAGTGTCCTCTCATCAGTGGGAGACAAGACATAAGGAGAGGAACCCCCCATGCCACTAAATGATATGGTCTGAAACACAAGGTTAATTCAGTTTGTTTAAAATATGAACATTTTGGAAGAACTTTGTTTTCTACTGAAGATTTAATTTGTTGCTTTGTTAATTGAATAAGCTACTTAAGTTAACCATTCATTGATATGAAGAGTTTGCATAAGTCTTGCACAGTTTGACAGTTTTCTTTTCCAAACTACGCATGTTGAAAAACTTTTGTCTAGAAGTTTAGCTATTGAGTTTTGTCACTTGCACTGCGTTTACCTAGCAATAGGTCAAGCAGTAGGCACTGAAAAAAAAAAGTTTGTAAATTTCACAGCATCACAAGGGTCTGTTTTTCTTGCAGCATCATTTTTACAATTGCCAGCCCCTACATGTTTGATGGCTTGTGGTTAGTCATTTTGCATTTGAGTACACGACCCTCACCTATGTTCACACAAATTCAAACTTTTGACAGGCAGTGTAGGTATGCTTAAACAAATGGAACTGTGTGTGTGTGTTTCTCACATCTCATAATGTTCAGTCCTGATCTCCCTGACCAGGTTCAGGTAGAGATTCAAAGTGATAAGACACACCCAAGCCAGAGCACTCCAGTCTGCAACACACACTGCAACAGTATCACCCACACATATCATAGCAGTATGTTCACAGTGGACACACTCTGAATACAACTATGCAGAAAGACCGCACACTGGAACACGTATGAAAATACAAAACACTTCCTGTCACCTGATAAGATTTAAACATGTCAAGATCATCTCTGCCCAAACACACTAACGGCACAGCCAAACTCACCAAAATATGTTAACCACCAGGCTTGGAGGTTACACAGAGATCCCTCAGCATAAGACTCTCCCTGAGAGAAAAAAAAGAAGTTGAGAAAAATTCTTACCACTTCTTTAGTGCGACAATTAGCAGTTAGGATCTCCCCTGAGTTTTAAAGTACAGTTACAAAGGAAAACCGTACTACATTAGAGGGGAGATTTCTAACACCTCTTTTACATGTATGCATAAATTAACACAATCAATTTCTCCTTTTGTAGTAATTTCCTCTTGCTCATAATAGGTTTCTCTTATAAATGAATCACAATGACTCACCATGACATATGCAACGCTGTCAAAGAATGCTGCCACTGTGAGACTGACTATCATTTTCTAGAAACAGGACAAACAAAAACAGTGACCACAGAAGTAATGACATATCTAAGAACATTTAGACAGTTATATTTCATTTTCAGGGAAGCAATGTTTAACTTATTCACCTTATTGACAATACACCGTGTACAAGGCTAGTATAATTACTATTTATCATTTACATTATCCTATGATCATTACAAGACATCTACAACCCTGAATGACTCAGTAAAGTAAGTAAAGACTGAAACTGTCATTAAAATGTTAATTTTAATTTTAAAAACACACACACACACACACACACACACACACACACACCATACCTGAGCCAAAGAGTTATATCGGCGCAGCAACCATATCACAAACAACATAAAAAGGCTGCCAAGAGAAGAGAGAAAGCATTAACAGCTACAGCATTTGAGAAGTGAAATCTACTGAAGGTAGATACTGGGGTGGGGGGGGAACCTTACCATGCTACTAGAGAAAAGGCTCCAGTGGCTCTTTTCACTGTGAGAATTACATCCTAAAGAACAATACACATTTTTATAAGTAAACAAATTGGTATAACTGGACATAAAATGAAAAAACATAATAATCTTACTTGTACATGGTATAATCATTACTACTTGTGCCTGTTTTCCAAATGGACACTAGGATCATTGTTGATATTAAACTGCACCAGCAAATCTCAACTAAAAACCACATGTAGACTAGACTTAGGCTTAACTACAACCACATAAGTAGCCTTGAAATCAGCTGATTGCCAGAGATAGTTTATTTTAAAAGAAGAAAAAGATTATTTCAGATTTGGAAAAAGTAATTCTGTTTGTGATGCAACAAGATACATCTCTCTGTATGTGTATTCATTGTGAGCCCAAACTCAACATTTCTGTATACTAGATCATGAACTGTCTAGTGACTCCTCATGTGTGTACCTCTTAAACATGCTACGAGTAATTACCTCTCCCATACCCACCTCTTACACTGTACTAATAAACACACGAGGTGGATATGGGAGAGGTTTACTGTTTATCTTCTTTTAGATCAAATAGAGTGAAACAAAAATGTTGAACAGCAGGCTCGCTGACTGCTTTTGCGTAGTGGAGCTTCTGGCAGCTGTGAAAATCTGACTGATAGTTGGTTAGCTACAGCACTGCTACGTGTATGATAAGTATATTATGTGTACAATAAATTTGTCAAATGTTTATACAAAATTTACAATAATTTATAGTCTTTTCCACAGTGAATAGCGAGGAAATAGCCTAAGCATTTACTTACAGTTGTGTGGCCCTAGTCACCTTTTAAAGTCTTTCAAAATTTTGAGATCGGATAGGTGCTTTTAGCTATATCGTATTGGCCTATATATGGCACAGACTCTATCTGGCCTCTTGTGTTAAGACTTATTTTTGCGTGAAGAATGAAAAGAGGGTTTGGAGAAAGTTTGAGGCTCCTTCATGAGCTGAAATGCAATTTTTGAGTCTCTACACTTTTATTTTCAGTATTTGGCAGTGCCAGTTAACACTGAAGGATAAAACATCTAAGCAGGTTTTAAAGGGGCTGGCCACTTAATATGTTTATTTGCTTTTAACTACAATGTGCTGCATGAGTCTCAAATAAGGAAAAATGTTGGACAATTTAACTGAGAGATCCTCTGTACTTTTGTATTTCCTCATTTGGACTGGAGTTGGGCAGGAATATCTACCTTCTGGTGTTGCTAGATGTTAACATTGTTTGAATGATTTGCCGCTTAGGATAGTCACCTAACCATAGTCCTATAATTTAGCAAATGCTAACATTTGCATAATGTTTTCATCAAATTCCTACTTGCATTAGCCACTAACACTGGCCATACCATGTCTATACTCCTGGCAGACCATAACTTTATCTTGGCAATCCAATATCTCACATAGGTTCAAAGGGTGCATCTTATTACTCTAAATCGTGCTTTCCCAACTTGTTCCTGTGTCCTCCAGCCCATGACCTGAAAATCTACTGAACACTGTCACTTTGAGGACATACCAATAAGGAAGGAAAAGTGCAGATTACACAGTCACAGTGTAATTTTATCATGTACATACAGTAGCTATGAAAACAATACAACTGCAGTCTTATACCTGTTAAGCTTGAAATACATTTAAATACTAACATAAAGTCAAATATAACTAAATGGGAGAGGCACAGCAGGTTATGTTGTAAAACCTGTAGTATGTATCACCTGCAATTCATTGTTAACTAACATTGTGAACACAAATAGCAGGGGGCCATCATACGACTGCCCTTCTCTATAGACCTGTCATTATATCATGTGGACATAATTTTAAAGTTCACCTTAAACAATTTAGACAAGCTCTTAGGTGGTTTTGCCTTAGGTGGAAATGCCAAAAAAACTGCTTCCATCACAATCTGCTTTAAACAAAAATGTTCCAAAGATGAAACGGTTTGCTCTTGGTTTGTACTTTTTTCCACTAATTAATCAGAAATACGTCATATAGTCAAAATGTGAATATTGCTACATTAATGTTACATGCACTCCTGTGCACCACAAGACTGGAAACAGTACCAAAATAACACATGCAAGACAGCAAGCTTTGTCAAGTGTGGAATTCACAATAGTATGACAATAGCCTTATGGGGGAGTCCCACATTATTATTTCAAAAAAATTCTGCATAATTTAGTCACTGAGGTGTAAACAAAATTTGCATTTTGTCATCATTGTCACTGCCAAACAGGTTGTATTTTCTTCCAGGATACGAAGCTTTTTTGCTGGAAACCAGGACTTATAGGTGGAACTAGAAATAGTGCAGACTATAGCCTGGTCAAATCAATGACCAGTGTGCCCCTGGGGTGTGAAGAAAAAGGAGGCTTCCTGAGTGGGGATACACCGCTGTATCTTACACACAGCCTTTATCCTGTAGCATGACATAGGCCTATAGTACAATTATTTTACCTCAACTCTATGTAGTCATTGGTTAACTACAGAAGGACAATCAAAGTCAATTAAACTGTTATGATACGTTTGCATGTGAGTAAAACCTACCCATGGGGAAAAGTTAAAGGGGTATTTCTACCTAAAACTTCAGCTTAATATGTTATTTGTTGTGGGACGCACTGGCATGCTTAACGTTCATACAACGAATGTTACGTGGTTGCATGGGTCCCTGAGAACCAGAAGGTGGTTTAAGTGACTGGATCACAAAGCGTCTCTAGACACACTGAACCCCGTTCACGCCTGTATTTAGCGTTAGCAATGTTCATTTATGATCAGATCACCCAAGACTTATGTTAATGTCAGGTGTGAATGAGGCGGTCATCAATGCATTTGAGTTTTCATGGCTTTTAAGCCTATTTGAGCCTAACTAAGAATATAATTTAGCATTTGTTAACGACCATAAAGTGCCATCTTTTGTATAACTGAGATAATTTAATAACGTTACTTGCAATTGAGTTAACAACTTCTTAAATTGTCACATTGAAGGCGATACGTTTAAAAACGAGCCATTTAAAATGGTGTAGGCTCTCGGTGTTTTGAATAAGCACTTTAGTCAGACTGCTAAGGTGTTTCACAATGTGTCGCCTGAGGTAACAAAGACACTCCAGAAACCACCACGGTTAATTTAGCTTATCTAGCTAGCTAGCTTAACATGTCTGTCTAGCTAGCTAGCTAGACAGACATGTTAAGCTAGCTAGCTAGATAAGCTAAATTAGCTATTATGGAGCTTTAGGTCAGTTCACTCATCTCAACAAAGTTAAATTACTTACACATCGATAGTCATCTGGATCTGCGTGGAAAAATGTACACCAGGAGCTGCTGTTCTTATTTGTTTGATCATTTTCCATAATTATTTACTCTCCTAACTCACAGATGTGGCTGATGTTTTGCTGTCCATTAGCCCACACATCATGTGAGACCAGCTCACAGTCATTCGGCCACATTGACAACTACCGTGTGCGGGGAGGGCCAAAAAAATACGAAACGCTTAACTATAATTTTAAAGGGTTCATAGAATGGAAACCCAAACTTTTCTCGCTTTTTACTTTGATAGAATTTGTAAACGTTGTTACTTGCCAATCACTCTTCAGTTTTTTTTAAGTCCATATATTGGAACTAAGCTTCAAAAATAGTTTGAAGTCACTGTTTACTGAAGGTTTCTTCAGTATATTTTGAACGATGAGTGCATAACGTTAATATGCGTACATTTTCATTATCTGTGCCTTGGTCAGACGGTCTTTTGGGCTGGTAAGCAACAGATATTTAATAAATAAGTGCCAGGAGAGCAGTATGGTTTTTAACTTGCATTTGCATAATTGTCGAACTTCTACAGTTTTAGTCTCAGTGTACCAATCGTTTTCATTTTCCTTAGCTTTTCAGCTTTTCCTTCTTTTCAGCTCAGCTTCTTATGTCTCCACCTTCTCTGTAGTTCTAGAATACCAAATTTTCAAATGAACGTACACATGTCTAACGTAAAGAGTGGACAGTAAGTCACCTAAATCTATCATTTTGTTTCATAAAACAAAATGTAAAAATGACTTTTTTATGATGGAATTGAACAAATTGATCAAATTCTAGAGATTCATACTGTTCTGGAATACCAGAATCTAGGCTCAAATGCAAACTTATCATAACAGTTTAATTGACTTTGATCGTCCTTCTGTAGTTAACCAATGACTACATAGAGTTGAGGTAAAATGATTGTACTGTAGGCCTATGTCATGCTACAGGATAAAGGCTGTGTGTAAGATACAGCGGTGTATCCCCACTCAGGAAGCCTCCTTTTTCTTCACACCCCAGGGGCACACTGGTCATTGATTTGACCAGGCTATAGTCTGCACTATTTCTAGTTCCACCTATAAGTCCTGGTTTCCAGCAAAAAAGCTTCGTATCCTGGAAAAAATTACAGTGGTGCACAGGAGTGTTATCTTGCATGTAACATTAATGTAGCAATATTCACATTTTGACTATATGACGTATTTCTGATTAATTAGTGGAAAAAAGTACAAACCAAGAGCAAACCATTTCATCTTTGGAACATTTTTGTTTAAAGCAGATTGTGATGGAAGCAGTTTTTTGGCATTTCCACCTAAGGCAAAACCACCTAAGAGCTTGTCTAAATTGTTTAAGGTGAACTTTAAAATTATGTCCACATGATATAATGACAGGTCTATAGAGAAGGGCAGTCGTATGATGGCCCCCTGCTATTTGTGTTCACAATGTTAGTTAACAATGAATTGCAGGTGATACATACTACAGGTTTTACAACATAACCTGCTGTGCCTCTCCCATTTAGTTATATTTGACTTTATGTTAGTATTTAAATGTATTTTAAGCTTAACAGGTATAAGACTCAGTAAAATAATCTGCAGTTGTATTGTTTTCATAGCTACTGTATGTACATGATAAAATTACACTGTGACTGTGTAATCTGCACTTTTCCTTCCTTATTGGTATGTCCTCAAAGTGACAGTGTTCAGTAGATTTTCAGGTCATGGGCTGGAGGACACAGGAACAAGTTGGGAAAGCACGATTTAGAGTAATAAGATGCACCCTTTGAACCTATGTGAGATATTGGATTGCCGAGATAAAGTTATGGTCTGCCAGGAGTATAGACATGGTATGGCCAGTGTTAGTGGCTAATGCAAGTAGGAATTTGATGAAAACATTATGCAAATGTTAGCATTTGCTAAATTATAGGACTATGGCTAGGTGACCTATACACATTCAGCCTCAAAAAGAGTTATACAGCACTTATTTCTTAGTCTTGGCATTTAAATAAGCACTGTGGATCTGACATAACATGCTAGTTGAAGGGCAACCTGTAAGATTTCATTTTGATTTTCCTCAATATCAGATGAACCAGACTATTACCAAAGAGTAGTATTTGACAAGATCAACATTGTGTTTGTTGAGATCATAATTATCAATACTTAATCATATGATACATGATACAAAAGAGCTATATATCTATCTTTATCTGAAATTCCATTTTGTCTTTGATGCAAACACAACAGACTCTTAAGTTTCGTTCTTTGTCATCATCTTCCAGGCCTAAAATGCAACCTGCTGTATTTTTTGCTTTCGGTCTCCAGTCTTGTCTTCAGTATGTGAAATGCATGTTCTATTAGGTGTTTGACCTGACCACAACAGATTATGCTTTGGTTCATGGACAATTTAATTTTCCACCTCTGCTTTCACACATCTTTAAGACTACACACTGAACTGAACATCTACACCTACACTCTGATCTGCTGGATAATCACTGATTCTGGAGTTATTCTTCAGGAATGTCCTGTCATCAACTACAGACATATCAGGTAATATGCATTTGATGGATCACCAATGGTTTCTTTCACCAAAAAGTGATTTTACTTGCTAGTTTTTTGTCTTTACTGCCTTGACCTATACAAGAGTCAATAACTACACAGATATAATTTACAAAAGGTTTTATTTTGCTACAAAATTATTTCCAATATAAAACATAAGAACAACAGCTTTGGACAAACAACAAAACTGGCAACAAAAGTACTAAGACAAAAGAATCTCAAGAAGCTCTTCATAACTTCCACATATTGTGAACTTCTCAGAGCATTCCACGTCAATGATTCACCGGTAGTTTCGCGTCAGTGGTAGAGAACGTACCCAAGCCTTCTCTATAAAACTAGCCATCTGCATACATGAGCAACAAACTAATAAATAGGCTACGTTAAATTCCAAAGTTTTCAGTACACTTTAAAGAGTATGTCAGAGAGTGCCAGCATCACAAGACCAGAGCAGTCTTCTGCTCACTCTCTGCATTAGCAAAGTACACTTTAGAACAAAACACAACAGCTCTCACGTACAAAGTACATGCACATCATCTGAGCTTTAAACGGTCGAAACAGAGGTAAAAACGGAATCTGTGTAATTAGGCTATGCGGTACGACATGTGACAGCATAAGGGCTTTTCATCAGTAGCAAAATCAATGCCGACAGAAATACTTTCCAGCTCTCAAACAGTCTCTTCTTCTTGTGTTGAACAACGTTTAGAGTTTTCAGTCTCTAGTAAAAGATCAAGTCAGGCGCAGCTCGGCAAAGACGTCCGTTCTACGTAAGCGCTGGTAGATCAAGAACTAAATCAGACAGGCGTTAAGATTTGCTCTTGCTACGCATGCGCAGAACACACCGAGAAAGAAGTTCTCTTTCGGACATGCACCATCTCACTGGCCCCAGCCCGCGATGCCGATCTCCTGCTTGTAGCGGTTTGTCAGGTTGTTTGCTTGGCTGGTGAGTTTGGCAAGCACACCGTGCAGCCCCTTCAGGTGGTATTGCAGCAGCTGCTCCAGGTCCGTGCCATCCTCGCCCTCGGGCTCCGTGTTAGCAGCGTTAACAGCGGTATTAGCCGCTCTTTCTTTTCGTCGCTGGTCTTCACGCACTACGCCCCACTCGATTTCGTTGCGGATGGACTTGAGCTGGGTGTAGTAGGTGTACATGTCCGCCTCTGCATCCCGCAGGTACCTCCCCGGCTCCGCATCGCGCTGCTCTAGCGGCACGTCCCGCAGTAGGCTGGGCACCATCACCGTCTGGTCCATGTTGTTCACGGCGCCAATGAAGCGGTTCATGGCTGTGAACAGAGAGTTCTTCTGGCTGTGAAGCAGCTCGGGCATCTGCATCATAGTGCCAGGAGAAGCTTAACTAAGATTAAGTGTTAAATATGTAGATGACTTAGTTGGAAGTCCTTGGAGTCCAGTGCCTCTTCTGGTGCACTCAGCTTTCTTTCCTGGTACCTCCACCTTCTGCTCTAGCCTTTTATTAGCCTTTTTTTCTCCGCCCATATTCCGACAAGCCCCGTCTCCTGTGCTGGGATAGGCTTGTAGTTCACACTTAGAAGCTCAGCTTTCTTGTTGGTGTAGTTTTCTTACATACTCTATACATTAGTATGCATTGGACATCCGATGAAACCACTGATTAAAGTAATTTCTCACAAAATAATTTCAAAACCACTCAATTTCTATAATGAAATTAAATGTTCTTTGTACAAATGTGTTTGAGTTTCAAGTTCAAAGAAGTACAACGGGGTACAACTACAATGTACTTAAATTTAATATCATTAAAGTATAAATATAATATAAAATATAAATATAAAATGTTTTATCTGTTTTTGAAAACTAATTGACGCTGTAACCAGGGCTGCTCAGTGTGGGACACACGGGCCCAACTGGCCTAAGAGGACATTCGATTTGGCCTGCCAGAAAGTTAACCTAAAATGAAAGGACAAACATTTTTTATGCTCTTTTATGCTACCTAGAACTTATTTTTGAATTAATTTCACACCAAAAAATATAATGTTATACAGTTCATTAAAAAATATACACTTTCTTCGTGTTCCTGGTTTACCCCGGCACAGGAAGCGGGGCTGTTCGGAATACGGGTGGGGAAAAAACTGCCCGTTTGCGTGATTGAGGGCGTGAAACCTGTTGGTCCGGGTTGTCTGGTCCGAGAGTGCTACCGGATTCCAGATACTAAAAAAAAAAACACTACAGACCAACATGTTCCACACAGTCCGACAGAGACAAGATTTATTGAAACTATGAAGACAGTTTTGCAATTACTTCCGAAGATTCTTGGCTAGCATGCGTAGCACAGACTGACTGCCACAGATTCTTATTATATTCTATCATTAAAAAATTCACCTCTTAAGTTATTTATTCTGAACCACGTTTGTGTGCATTCAACTTTCAGCGTGCACACGGTGAACTTTTACTCATAAATCAAGATTTTGGACTAATTCACTGTGCACCAATAAATACGTTCTTCTTTGTCTATATTTGACCCTTTCACGCTTATTTGGAACAACACCTTTCGTGATTTTCATGTTTCATTAAAGCATTTCTTCATTACAGACATGCTGAATTGATGAGCTGTAAGGGCGAGGCCGAGAGGAGTGCGGGAGGCTCATGAATATACATACAATGAGCTGTGGCACCACAGTCCGCCAGTCCACTCTGACCAATCCAAGCCTCTGGTCTCGTGTCTAAGGGGGGGCTAAAGTTTTCAGTCCAGGCAGATTCAACAGTGAAGAGCGAACTGGAGTAACCTCTGAAGTAGCTCGAGCTTTGTTTATCTTTTCTCTTTTTTTCCTCATATGTTGCAAAGCAATTTAAGGTTGTAACATATTTAGTTCTATTGTAGCTTAAACAAAAATGTGTGTGTATCTTATAGCTTGTAAAGCACCTGTCAGCTTAAAATAGCGTGTGTGTGACTTCAGGCTTATCAGTTTATAAGAAACAAATAATCAATTGTATGTTTAACTACTTAAATACATAGAGAGATAAAATAAGTACATATACAAGAGATTCTACAGTTCTTTTTAGAGCATTCAAAATGACTTTTTACGCTAACTTTTGAACAGTTAATGAAACTAGCTAGCTGATAGTAACATAGCACAAAATAATATAGAAGTGTTTGGGACTGTGGCCTATAGATCAAAATCATAAATTTAAGCTGCAAGAGAAAAGCGGTTTCATATTTTAATAATTCTCAGTTTCATAACATAAAAGACCTTCATTCAATGTCCAGGCTCACAACTAGAATTAATATCCAAGAGCCTGAGAGTATCTTTCACGTAACAGAGATTGAATGTGAGGTGAGAGGTGTCAATAAGAGCTTCGGTACTCTTTTGGACACTTTTTATTAAAGATTATCTTTTTGCCATCTTCCTTCTCTGTGTATTTCTGTGTACATATTTAGTTTATTTGAGTTAACCTGTGGCCAGACAGTTTATTTCATTAAAGTAATTTGAAAGTTGTAGGTACTTTGACACTACAGCTGAGTGCCCCCCACACTTACAGGCTGGTTGCTATTACTGTAAACAATGTTTAAAGTACATTAAGTCAGGCCATGGTTTACTTGGTTTCAGTCTAAACACATACTGAAACCTTCTGGAATTAGGAGAATGATACAAACCTGCTCTACTACTTAATGTCTTGCTCTAGCATTTTCTACCACTCCCTCTTTCTCTCTCTATCTTTAGAATCTATCTATGTTAGATTCATGACATGTTCTTAAACCACAGTTTGTACCTGTGTGCTCTTGAGTGTGTGTAGATTCTGTTCTTACCTAAGAACAAATTCCAAATAATAAACCATCGGTCAATGTCAGAATCTTCAAAAAACTGCGCAAGTGGGTTTTAAGAAATTTCTTCTTAAGAACGGTTGGTGAATGAGGCCCATTCTTCATATCACACAATTTAAAAGACAAAATTCTTGTTTTCATACAATAATAAATATGATCAAATTGTAGGGACTTTTGGCTGAACTGAAAAAATCTTCCGAGTTTGATTATATCACTATGCACCAGTTACCAGGGAAAATATTATTAACCAATACTGTTGGTTTCACCTTCTCCCTCCCACTAACCACCTAACACCAAGCAAAACATTCAGCTAGCTGAGAGACTCTCCCTAATATTATGATTTACTTGAAAATACCACTATGGAAGGAAAACACAATGATTCCATATTCCTGTTATACTTGCACTCCTTTCTTTCCAGTTTACCTATAGCACCCCTTGCTGGCTAAAGAGGGAATTAAGAAGGGGTGTGGGAAGAAATTTCTTCTTAAAACCCACTTTTCACAATGATTCTGACATTCACCAGTGTTTTCTTATTTGAGATTTGTTTTTAGGTAAGAACAGAATCTACGCACACTCGAGCACAAAGGTGCGAACAATTCTGCAGCTTAAGAACACCTTATGATTTTGATGTACACTTTTTCTTAGGACCTTTCTCAAGAAGAAATTTAAGAAACACCTTAGGAAGACATTGGTGAATGAGACCCAATGTTTTGTCCAAAATAAATTAATGAACATGAAAACTGAACTTTTTCCATTTTCAAATATTTTATTTTGGATTTGCAGCCTTAAATACTGAAGTTGTCTGACACAAAACACAACTCAAATTTAAAACATACTGCAAACATGCCTTTTTTTTTTTTTTGTCAAAGTATATTCTGAAATGTTACAGTTTTAGTTGGGGGATTTGAGGCCTGTAATCAGTCAAGATACATACCATCAGCCCCTGAAAAGGAAAGAGAGAATTAGATAGTGATGTTTAAAATACATTTGCATGTACACACATGCACACTTACTCATGCACATATTCACTTACCATGATGGTCCATTTGCGGTTCTCAGCCTCTGTGAACACCAGAGAGCGTGGTGAATAGAAAACCTCATCGTTCACTTCCTCTGATTTCCGTGGAAGACAGTGCAGGAAAGTCCAGTCTGAAGCAGCCACACTTCCTGTCTGAGAACCAATCATACAGCAGGGAAGACTCAATAGTCTATAAATTCAGTACCTCAGTAATTCCAATAATAATCACTGAATTACTCAATTGAGTAAAAAATCTCAATTGAGTAATTACTCAAATTTTCATCTCAATCTATCAATGAAGAAACGTTGGAGTCAGTGTTATAGCACTTGAGCCCGGTCTTGGTCTTGACCATTAACTAGCAGCCTCAGTCTCGCCTCTGTCTTGGCATCAGTGGGCCTCGGTCTCATTACGGGGTAAGGTGGACTCAGAAATTGTTGTCAAGTCACAGCTGACCAACATAACACAATGAGTTGTTAACGTACATCCAACTAACAACTATTTCGCAAAACCGTCACAGCTCATTGAGAATACAGAAGAATACAGAGAACTAATAAATAAATATTAGGTATGTATACAGTATATTGTTTATATTTTTACCTATGGGGCTGCATGTTAGGTCATTTGAGACAGTATAATTTAGGAAAACTTTAAATCACAGACTTTAGCACATTTCAAACTATATTTGATCAGGTAACACACCCAACTATTATTTTAGATGTAATATTTCAGTGGTAACTGTGTTTAGCTTAGATACTAGCCATAGCTGAAATTAGGCCTAGATTTCATAAGGTACAAACTAAATAAACTAATAGCAATCAGAGGTGCATACAAGCTCGCTATCAGGATTCGATAGCCCTAAAATCTAATGAACTAGCACATAACCTTGGTGTACTAATAGACTCGGATCTCAGTTTTAGCAATCAAGTCAAGCGTTTTGTCACCTTAAAATCATCAACAAGATTAGAGATTTTCTGACTAAACCAGACCTGGAGAAACTCATCCACACCTTTATTTCTAGCAATATTGAACTTGTCTCCTAACTGGACTCCCAAAATAGACAATCACAACAGCTTTAGATGATACAAAATGCAGCTGCCGGAGTCTCACTAGCATTAAAAGAAGAGAACACATCACCACATTTTTAAATCCTTACACTGGCTACGAGTAAGTTACAGAAAAGTGTTTAAGGTACTATTACTGGTTTATAAATTGCTTAATGGTGCAGGAGCAGCATATTTATCTGATATGCTGCAGCAATATGAGCTGAGCACAATTAGTCAGCTAGTCCTGCCTAAGGTAAAAAGAGCAGCATTTAGACACTTTTCAAATCTGGGCTTAAAACATTCCTATTTGACCTGTTGACTCTACAGCACTTCTCTCTAACTGCTCTTTTTCATTCTAATGTAATTTCTAATTTGATTTTTAATTTTAAAGATTCTTCTCTTTTAAAATGTATTGTTTTAATAATTTTTAATCACATTTTAATTTCTATTTTCCTTTATTTCGGTACTTTTTAAATCATAATTTGAATTATCTTTGTATTTCATCATTTGTAAAGCATTTTGTATGACCACAGTGTATGAGAGGTGCTATATAAATACACTTGCCTTGCCTAAAGGTTTGCTACCCCAGGTAATGGCTGATGGATATTTTCTGCCTTCACTTCTCTGTACTCCTCTATTGCTCCTTTCAGTCGTTCCTCACTATAGTTGTCATTCTTACATTTTTTTTCTTGTTCTATATGGTATTCTGAGTTCATCCCTTGCTAAGCTTTCCCTGTTTTTTTTTCACCTGTGCTTTCTCTTCTGCAATACATACAAACTTTTAGTTGGACCTGTTAATTGCTGTTATTGCTTAGCACTGTAATGCTTTAATTACATTTAGTGTGTGAAAAAGTAAAATATCAAAAAGAAAAAAAGTAAAACAATATTTTCAAGAGCCAAAGCATCTGATTTGTCTCTTGGTTGTCTCTTTATACCACGTGGTCCATATATGAATTACACATCAATTGTTCTTAATTTGGTCATATCAGTTTATTTTTTACTGTAAAAGCAGATCTTTAACACAGTCCCACATTATCTATAATGTAGTAAAATTTGGGACAACTTAAAAATGATTGTAACCAGTATTTTACCTTTATTTTGTTATTTATGTAACATATAAAGGAAATATGACTCCTAATATGACTACTATAAATTTAATTAAACATTACCCTTTCTACAGCTTTGATTTTCTATACAAAGCTGGTTCACTATAAGACTACATAGCGCATACCTAGGCAATTAAACCCTAAGAAGCCTCTTCTGGAAAAAGTTAAATTCTCAGACATATTATTCTCTGTTACACAACGTTTATAGCCAGGGCCTTGGTTTCCTGCTTCCTAATCATCAATTCCAGAAGTTTGACTGGAATAAGTTTTGTTCACAATGTTGCTCTTAAAATAATCTTATATATCGATTTTCTTAGTTAAGTGATATTGCTGTTAAAACCAAGCTTTTCTGCATTTATATGTGTTGTATTTATGGTAGTGGTACCATTTTATCAAACTGGCTAAAGAGAGGAAAGCTGAGGGGCTCAAACATCTCTTGAGAGCAGATTGGAATGTTATTATTATTATGTTTTCATTGAATAATAAAAATGGATGTAGTTTATTAAAGAAGAAAGAAAAAAGAGTAACCTTGTTATTGCTTCCAGTTACAATGCAAAGTTTCAAAGGCTATAATATAATGAATACTATAATATAACCTTCTTTAGTTATATCTTATTTAATTACATATAATTATATATAATTCATATTCTGTAAAATTGTGACCTGGTTTCGGTCACAGTCATCCCTGGTCTCCTTCCTGACTCGCACACAACTAGTATGTCTTGGTCTTGGCTCGGACTTGATTTGTCCCAGTCTCAGTCTTAACTCAGTATCGGCTCCAACAGTCTTGACTACAAGACTAGCTGGACTTAGCTGGAGTTTGTCAAAATGGAAAGTCAAAACAAGAAAAAAACTACGTTGCATTGTTTTTTTTCCCCAACAAATGTAATGAGACCCTTAAGAAAACCACCAAATACAACTCTCTCCAGCATTTTCAATTAGATAAGCTGATCTTATTAGTGTTTTCAAGAAGAAAAAATGTTACAATACCATGTCTAAACCTGCCCATTAGTCCACCTGTAAATGCACTGCACACTTATAGAATTTCCTGGCCTACAAAACAGAACTGAAGATGTATCACAGCAGACTCATATACCTGCATAGTGATCTGGTAGCCTTGGAAATCCTTAATCCTCTTCCTCTTCTCCTCCTCCTGGCCCATGCTGACCCATGTGTCTGTCACCAGCACATTACTGCCCTGGGCTGCCTCCAAAGGCTCTGAGAACAACTGCAAATCTGTACCAAACTACACACATATAACATTAAAACAAATAATATTAATTTGTTCATGCATGCCATACAAACTTGATATACTTGATTGCTACTCTCAAAATCTGGAAACTTCTTTCCAAAAATTTTTTACCTTTCTACCTTCAGAAAGTAAGTAATACTACAAAATATAGATCATAGGAGATTCTCTGTGAAGTAGTTTATTTCCAGTGTATTTCCACTGGTCGGATGGGCTGAAATTGTAGGTGTAACAGGGGTTTGGAAATTCAAAAATATTATGTCAAAAATAATTTTTCCGTTGTGAAAATCAAACCCCTTCAATCTCACCTGCTTGAAGAGATGCTGGGCCTCCCGAGTGATGGTAGCATCTGGTTCATAACCCTGAGGAGATGTTTTTAAGAAGTTTAGCTTTATTTTAAGATTGTGTTTTATAAAAAAATGCCTTGTTTTCTCTCATTTTCATATCAATGCATTAGGAACATAACCTTGTATCTCCAAAACTTCACAATTACATTATACTAATTTATTTCATACCTTATAATTTATACCAAGTTATTTTGGTCCATTAATCATGAAATTTTGACACAGTGTAAAGGGCAGGTGGCACTTTTAAATTATGGAAAAAAATAATCCAGAGGAAATGGAGACACAAGGTTCTGACAGCAATGACATGTGAGTGCACACACATTTTTATCATGTTTTTGGAAGTAAACACTCAACATTTTAGTCAGGTTATGGGCAGACCTTGGGCATGGCTATTCTCAGATTGACACCCAGCTTGGGCAGTGACATCATGAAGGAGTGAAGCACATTGTTGCCATCACCTATCCAAGCCACTGTGAGGCCCTTCAAAGAGCCATAGTGCTCCTGTAAGAAAGCACAAAAAGGATGAGGATCCTATGTGGCATATATATATATGTGTGTGTGTGTGTGTTTGTGTGTATGTGCGTACATTTAGTGTAAGCAGGTCAGCCAGTATCTGTATAGGGTGGTAAAGTTCAGACAGGCCGTTGATGATTGGTATAGATGCTTCCTTATCCAGCTCCTCCAGAGTAGAGTGATTGTACACCCGGGCTAACACAATATCAGTCAGACCAGAGAGCACTCTGCAACACGCACACAAATCCATTTTCCACTGCAATGTGTATAAACGCATTGTAGAAGAAAGTATTCACTATAGTAAATGTCTTGTGTAGGCCAATGTGTTTGAAAGCATATGTGTCATTCATTTGAATATACGTATGAGTTAATGTTCAGACCTGGCTGTGTCTTTTGTGCTCTCATTGATTCCCAGGTGAATGTCCTGAGGGGTGAGAAAACATGGATGTCCTCCCAACAGAGAGAACCCTGAACAGTCAAAGAGAAAACAGAGAGAAAGAGAAAACAGAGAGAGAGAGAGAGAGAGAGAGGGAGAGAGAGAGAGAGAGAGAGACTATGTGGCAATTTTTTGTGTCCTGCGTCAGTTTTTTCTCAGTATTCAATCTGCTCAGTGACCGTGGTGCCAGCTCCCCATTCATTTGCATATGGTCACCCATACACACTCATACACATACACACTACATCTCTCTCATGCATTTGCACCTGTTTCAGTGGACATGCGAGTCCTCGTGCTCCTCTTCTCAAATATCATGGCGACAGATTTACCTTGAAGAAGGGAGAGATACTAAAAACACAAAAAAGAATAAAAAATTTATGTAGTGTTCTGTCAATCATAGATTTGTATATGTGATGAACTGGTATAGCGCACATGGACAAAGCGACAGGCACAAGTGTAGTGTAATGACATTAGGCTGGTACTTCTCCCTGGAGCTTGATTCGGTGTTTCAGGTCCGCAGACACCCACAGGATGTGTTTGATCTCGTCTGGGTTGAAATCTTTCAGCGTTAGAAAACTGCGCCCCTTCAAATGGACAGACCCTAAACATCCTCTCCCCACCCTGATGCCATGAAAACGAGTTATATCGTCAGTAAAAGTTCGCATGAGGCTCACAAACTTGTGTAAAATTCAGCCAAGCCACGCGTGCAGCAACGTTAGCTAGTCAGGCTAAATCAACGCAGAAGACTTTAACAGCTGCAAGCTGCAAAGCAGTTTTGGCATTTTTCTAACACTTACCTAAAATTCTTCAACTGGTTATACTGGACTGTTTTAAGACTATGACGAAATGTATTCCTTAGAGTGAACATGGTGCTGGTAACTCAATGTTTATAGCACAGAGTGGGCAAAATCAAAACTCTCCATGCAGATTTCTATCGCCCTGTTCTCCGCGTGGAGTGTCGTCAGCCAGAGGCGGGGCACCTTGACGGCTCGAGCTCATTTTCTATCCAAAACACGCCCACTGGCTTACTGTGAACCTCAACCCTCTCCACGTACAGAGCCTGAATCATGAGAAGAGCCTGACTGCAGAGCCGCAGACACTTGTGTGTGTGTGTGTGTCTGTGTGTGTGCGTGCGTATGTTTTTTTTTTTTTTTGGGGTCCAATTAGTTTGACAGCCTCTGATAGCATTTGTACTTGTACTGAGATCGAAACCAAAGTTTATATCTTTTTAAAGTGCAAAGCTGTTGCGAACCGTTCAGAACTTAAACAAGAACGAGCCCTTTAGCCTTTTACCAAGCCGATTACTTACTGTGCCAGTAGGGCCAGTGCCCAGAGGTCTCTGACTGTCAGGGGCCTCAGTGGCCTACAGACCCTGACGCAGCTAAAAGACTAAAGACAATTCACAGCATATGTACAAGTAGTTTTGATTCTATCCAATAGATAACCCTTTAGGGTAGCATTCATATGGCTACATAACACCTACATAAGCCTTTCATGATAACTTATGTAGCCAGTATTTGATAATTTATACAGACATTTACAAAGGCTTAAACCAACAAGCATTAATTGTCATAACATTTGCTGGTGAAATGATATAAAATTGACAAATGCAGCCTTTAACTGATTCCTGTTGGAAGCCGTTGTAAATGTTTAGATATACATGCAGGATGGGGGAGTAGTTAAGTAGCGCACTACTTTTTGTGGCTAACTACAATAGGTAATAGCTGTAGCTGCTACAGTTTTATGAAATGTATCTAATAGCTACAAATTTTTGTGTAGCTATAGCAATAATCTTCACTACAATTTCACTACAGGCTTAAGGCAATCAACACAAAATTTGAACCATAGAACGCGGTGGGCGAGTGGCAATTGTGCAGTCCTGACTGAGCCACAGAGAGTTCGAGCAAACGGTAACGCGCTGATCACCCCTTACTAGTAGGCTTAGCTCAGGGGTCAGCAACCGAAATGTTAAGAAAAGCCATTTTGTCCTTTCCACAAAAATGAAACCACCTTAGGAGCCACAACATTTTATGTCCGTTTTACTATCTTGGCTGTAAAATGTATCAGTATGTGCTAATGTACTAGTAAAGGCTAAACATATAACATAAACAAAAACACAGATTTACTTTGCTCTGCTTTAGGCTTTAGGTCAGGGAACTTTTCAGTGAAAGTAGAGTTTCTTGTAAAATGTCTCTCAACGTTTGTCTTTTTACAAGGCTGAAGTCAGCTTCTCATTTTCCAGCTTCTTGTTCGAATTGTCCCGTTCCACCTTAACTGTGTCTGAGGTGCCAGAATGTTCTGCTGCACCATTTAAGGTTGAAAGGGGAAAATTTGAACGAGAAGCTGGCAAAAGAGAAGCTAACTTCATAACTTAGTGTTTGAGCGTTTCTCGTTGCAGAATAAACATATCAGGAAACCAGCTGGAGTGATTATAAATGCAAATAAATCTGTTCATCAACAAATTATCAATGTACATCTTAAATCTTCCTCTTTGCTGTTTCATTAGCTACGAACTAGGTGAGGTTGTCTGCATTGTACACCAAATTGTTCGGTTTGTATACAGTTATTTTTGTTAGGAAAAACCTGGAATGATGACTTTGCCTTTACTTAGTCTAATTTTTTGTTGGATATCATGCCTTTGGTTGTGTTAGTTTCATTGTTGGCTACACTTAAACCTACTTTATGGTGATTTTTTTGTACATTTGCAGCTTTTCAATTGCATGTTTCTTTCTGGCACATGAGTAACTGCAGTATCTTGTTCACACTATCGGTTAGGCTTGTTTGGTGTGTCAGGTGGAGATTCACAAACATCCTGACAATCACGCTTTGAAAGCAGATAAAACATAGCCTCTACTTTTTCTGGAAAAGTAGCTAAATTGTAGCTAGCTACAAATTTTGGGAAAGTAGCTACAAAGTAGCTAGCTACTCTTTTTTAGTAGCTATCCCAACCCTGTATATATGTTTATGTCATGACAAGGCTTATGTAGGTGTTTAGCTTCGGTAAAGTGTTACCATCCAATGTTGTATCATTATGATTTTTTAAATAGTAATTAGTCTCTTAACACCCAAAATGTGCAGAAATACAACGATGGGGAAGGTAACACACACACATATTTTCAAAGCCGCTTATCCTTCTGGGTTGTGGGGGGAGCTGGAGCCTATCCCAGTGGTCATCAGGTGGAAGGCAGGAAACACCCTGGACAGGTCGCCAGTCCATCACAGGGGAAGGTAACAACCTGTTGCAAATTAATAATTTTTTTTGCCAACCTCCAAAGACGCTTGTGCCAGTGGGCCACATAAGATGATCCATCCCTGTTCTTTGGGTGATATTTTTCCCCAGTAATGTATATTCTAGTGATCTTTAATATCTTTATCCAGGAAGTGTTTAAATCTTTCTCTAGTAAAATTATAGGTGGGTAATCTTCAGCTAGTAATTTTTAATATCGTTAACTGGTATTCTTTGGCATTTTTGCTTTTTTGGTTTGACTGATAATCTTTTGTAACTTTGACTAGTATTCCTTTGTATCTTTTGTTAGTAATGTCTAAAATCTTATACATCTTTAATATTTTTGGTAATCTTTAGTAGTCTACCTTTGGCGAGTAATCTTTAGTATTTTTGGCTTCAATTTTAATCCGGTTGCCACAGCGCAGTGCACTTCCGGTTCTCCTGCAGCTGAGCGGTTTGATCTGCTGTGTACTTGAAGATGGTCGTCTCTGGATGTAGCAGCGACAGCCCAGGTGGAGCTCATCATCTAGATGTAGTGACGACAGTTCAGGCATATCACAGTAACTGAGGGGTGTAGGGAGAGATGACCAGAGAAACAGAGATCGAAACACCTGGTGAGAAGTGGATGGTTAATCTCTGTGCATTGCAGGCATTCACAATTTGCCAGTTAAATGCGCGAAAATGGTTAAAATATTCATTTGGCAAATGAAATTAGTTAGCCTCTTAGATCGCGTGTGTTTACAACAGTGAAAAACCGCGAATGTCTAAGACTGAGAGGGCGTTCTCTCCCTCCGTTAATCGTGTCCCTGAGCTTTGAGCTATTTTAGGACGGTAGTATTAGATTGGTGACATAAGCGCGTAAGAGTTTGCTGTTTGCCATGTTTGTTTGTGTGAATGAGAAACCTTTGCGTTGTGCAACTCTGTATGTTTTTGTGCCTTCATTGTGCATATTTTCCTGACCTTATAACTGCTAACTACAGATTCTGGAGCTGTATTTGCCTTTGGGAAAAATGAGATTGCTGACAACGTGCCCAGTAAATTTTGGCTGAAGAACGACAAACCTGTACACATTTCGTGTGGACATTCACACTCAGCCTTCGTGACAGGTTATAACAGCTATATAATCTATTAATAATGTGACCACAATGCGCGTTGCATTTTCAAGTGATTTGAAGACTCTCTCTGTCTCTCTCCCTCTCTCTCTGTCTCTCTCTCTCTCCCTCTAGAGCACGGTCGTCTGTTTGTGTTCGGCAGTAACAACAGGGGCCAACTTGGTCTGGAAACAAAAAGCCCTATAACCAAACCAGTCTATGTGAGAGGTTAGACACATACCTACCTAACAAACAAACACACAAACAAACAAAAAACTTATGAGGATGTACTATTTATACTGTGAGCAGAACTCAATAGAAATGTTATTTAATTTGATTACAGCCTTGAAAGGTGAGAGAGTTCAGTTTGCTGCCTGTGGGACCAATCATACTATTGTAAGCACTTGTAAGTACCCCAATATGGAACTACACAGCCAAGAGCACTAATAAAGAGAAGAGCTAGCTGATGACTAGCTGTATATGAGGCATTATGTTTGCATGTGGGTGTTCACAGCACAGGGTGAGATATTTGCAACTGGAAGAAACAGCAAGGGACAACTTGGTTTAGGCCACTGTGATGACAGAACCTCATTTGAGCAGCTCCACCCATTCTGTGATCGTGTTCCAATTAAACTGCTGTCTGCTGGATGCAACACTTCAGCTGCACTGACAGGTAACACTGTGTGTATGTGTAAGATGTAGTAATATCCAGCAGATATAATCTGATACCTTTTGTATGTGTATTTCTTGCAGTGGATGGAAGGCTTTTTCTGTGGGGCGATAATTCTGTTGGTCAGCTTGGTTTGGGGTCAGAGAAACATGCGTTGTTGCCACAAGAGCTGAAAGTGGGCCGTCCCATTATAGGTGTCTCATGCGGATCCAGTCATTCAGCTCTATGCACTGGTAAGATCCCCTTCACAACAAGTATTTGACTCAACCAATAGACCACAGCCAACACCTCTTAAAGGCATAGCTTGAAGAAAAACTCAAATTTGCTCAATTTTTTAGCCTGAATGCAGTCAGTTATCCAAGACATGTTGTGGTGTCTGACAGTTTTTTTTTAGTTTTGCACTGGAGCTATGAGACTAGTGTAGCTAATAAATAATAGAAACTTCTAAGGCTTGGAAATGTGATGTTATAACACAGTGTTTTATCTCACTATTGTGGCAGGGTACGTCAGTTCAGGCTGTTTAATAATAGTTAACAAAATAACTAAAACTAAAACTTTTCTACCTGCTTTCCCTGATTTTGGCTGTAGCTAATGGCCTCACTGTGTTGCTCTACATGTTGATCTACATGACTACCAGGTCACAGATTAGATCCGAATCAAGCAAAACAGACCAGAAAGCAGGGTTTAATCAGCTATTCAGATGCAGCTCTAATTATATGAGGCATCACATATCAACAAACAAAAGTTTTAACCTCTCAAAACATGCTGTTTTCCAGCTATACGGTAGGAGATGAAGTAAGTTAAGCTATGACTGGTCTAAGCAACATTAGCTGAGCTGCCGGACTATTAGCATTTACTTGTCTTTTTTCCTTAAAAACTGATTGCCTTTTCAGTACAAATGTAAGATTTGTGTGATGTAATATGGATTGTTATTGTACGGTACAGCAGTTCTGTCACTTAAGCCACACACTAGCTAGGAAAAAGTCTGTGAACGGTAAAGCAGGAAACTTTAACATGTGCAGATCACTATTACACTCATTAGCTATGTTTACATGCAAAGGTTTTTGCCAATCCGATTGAATACATTCCGATTACAGATTAAGACTGAGGTGTTTATATGCACACTCTATTCAACAATCTGATGGAAAATCTTCGTTTACATGCACACTGCAAGTAATCTGATCGAAAATGACGCGCATGCATGGAGTACCACTTAGAGTAAACGTTACCATGACGGCAAATCTCACGTGAGTCCAGAGTGAGGTGAGTTTTCAGTTGGCGCGCTTCTGTTTTTAATTACTTTAAAAATATGTCAGACTCAGAAAAATATACCTCACATGTACTTATAAAACAAGGGCGAGAGGAAGACGTTGTGTTCTGAGACAAATAAACGGGACGCCCGTCCCACCGCCGTCTTTTAAAGCTCAAAGCATAAACTTCGACCAGTTTCTGCTCCCACCATGCTGAACATTATAAACTTTTGCCAGAGCTGGTTTATGAGTTCTCTGCTTTTGCTATGACACGAATGCACATGCACAGTACGTACTTACACTTTCCGATTGGAAATGTATTTGGATACAGGCGTTTACATGTCTATTATTCTTCTATTTAACAGATAATTTACAGGATTACCCACCTCGTTCAATCAGATTGAAATTTGATTCCGAATGGCCTTAATCGGACTAGTCTATTCTGATTGAAGTGTATACATGGAGGTATTCTATTCCGATTGAGCTATTTGTCGCATTGTTAACGGATTATTAAGCTGCATGTAAACGTGGCTATTGTTTGCCAGTTTGTGTGGACACAGATCATCAATAAGTCTAGTTTCTTCACTATAAAGTTGCTTGACATTCTTCTGAAGTTGGTTAAGATGCTGTCCAATTTCATGTGATTATGTATTGTAGCATGTTTACAAAATATTTTTGGGATGTTAGTTTTAGGTTGTGTGTTAGAAGCCACCCCAGAGGGGTGTGTATATGTGTCTAGAAAGTACAAATAGTGCCCCTTTAATAGTGGTGAGTGCTATAACTGGTGTCAGAAGTAAAAGTTTAGCTGCTGGGTGGTATTCAGATGGTTTGGCCTCTAGCTGCTAGACTAAGCTGCTTGCAGCTAGTGACCTAGCACTCTACATGATAACTGAGGAGTATGACGCTGAGTATGCATCTTCAAGAGAGTCACAGCCTGTGAGTGCCAGGAGAGGACAGTGGTGATAAAAGAAGAGCCAGGCTTGGAGGCATCTGCATGATCAGAGGCAAGCCGCCACGGTGTACCATTCTCAGCTCCCTCATATCTGACAGAAATCCGGGTGCAGATGTGAACAATCTGGTGGTGTCCATGAGCTGGGTCTGGCAGTAAGCATTAAGACTCCAAAAAAGACTGGGAGGCTTTCCATGCAGTATTTGAACTGGAGGCCAGGTCATGTGAGTAGTTTGATGAACAGAAAACCCTGAAGCTAATGCTTTGTTTGACCAAAGATGCATTAGCTATTGCTAGACCATATCAAGAGATCTTATTATAGTGCATTGGTCGGGGCACTCTGGAGACATTTTGGGCAGTGTTTTTGGCCCAAGCTTCTTCAGTCTAAACTATGTAATCACCGAAGACAGGCAGGGGAACCATTAAGAGCTCCAGCTATCAGTATTGAGACTTTAGCTAGACGGGCATATGCTCACATGCCACCTTCTGTACGGACCGAGCTAACCCAAGACCCAAGGTTTATCATGGCACTGTCTCCAAATAAGATGCGCATCTACCCACAGCTGGCTCGCTCATGCGACTTGTCTATGCCCTGCCTGACTGGTGAGAGAGATAGTGTGGTCAGCAGCTTCACGGTACACAGATGTTACCAGTCCTGCAGTCTGAGCTGTGGGGGAGTCAAGTGTATCACCAAAGCTGGCATGGGCGGAGGAAATGACAGAACTGATCTGACACTTGGCCATAGCCATAAAGCAAGTATGATAGCGAGATAAAATCAATAAGTAGATTATTAAAACTAAAGTAACAAGTCTGTTTTGAAAATGTAGTGAATAAAAATACAGATTTTCTTCAAAAGTAAAAAGTATTAATTGACAGAAATACTCAAGTAAAGTACAGATACCAAAAAAAAATGACTTAAGTACAGTAACGAAGTACTTGTACTTCGTTACTTAGCGCCTCGGGTTGTGTGTTTCATTTCATAATGCCCTGAATGTTTTCAATGGTTTACAGGTCTGGACTGCTGGCAGGCCAGTTCAACACCCGGATTGTCTTACTATGGAGCCACCCTGTTGTAATATGTGTAGAATGTGGTTTGGCATTGTCTTGCTGAAATAAGCAAGGCCTTCCTTAAAAAAGTTGTCATCTGGATGGCCGCATATGTTGCTCCAAAACCTGTATATATCATTCTGCAGTAATGGTGACTTCACTGTCATTATTGCTGAATGATGGCAAGTCTTCCAAGCCATATGCACTAATGCATCCCCATACCATCATGGATGCTGGCTTTTGAACTGTGTGTTGATAACAAACTGCATGGTCTCTCTCCTCTGCAGCCCAGAGGACACATTGTCTATGTTTCAAATATTGATTGGACCATGGGGCACTTTTCCACTTCACCTTAGTCCATCTTAATTGAACTTGGGGCCCAGAGAATGTGGCAGTGTTTCTGGATTCTGTTTATATATGGATGATTTTGTTTATATATTACATGATAGAGTTTTACCTTGCATTTGTGGATATAGCGACAAACTATGTTCACAGATGGTTTTTGGAAGTGTTCCAGAGTCTGTGCATTGATTTCCACTAAAGCATTTTGTCTGTTTTAATGCAGTGCAGTCTGAGGGCCCAAAGATCACAGCCAGTCAATATTGGTTTTCAGCCTTGTCCCTTGAATACAGATGTTCTTTGAATGATCTGATGTAGCGTAGATGATGAAATTCCCAAGTTCTTTGCTGTTTTAAGTTGAGAAATGTTATTCTTCAATTGTTGCACTATTTGCTTGTGCAGTCTTTTACAGAGTGGTGAATCCCTTTCTTTGTTTACCTCTTAAAGACTTAGTCTCTCTGGGATGCTCTTTCTATACACAATCATGTTACTGACCTTAACTGACATGTTGCCAATTAACCAAAGTAGTTGCAAGATGTTTCACCAAGTGTTTCTTTAGCATTACACAACTTTACCAGTCTTTTGTTGCCTACCCCAACTTTTTTGAAACGTGGCTGGCATCAAATTCAAAATGGGCTTATCTTTTTCAAAGAACAATAACATTACTCAGTTTCAACAATTGATATGTTATCCTGTACTATTTTCCGTTAAATATAGGGTTTAAATGATTTGCACATAATTGCATTCTGTTTTATTTACATTTTGTACAGCATCCCAACATTTTTGGAAATGGGGTTGTAAAAACAAAATAAAACAGCAATTTCTTTAGGCTCATGCAGTGTAAGTGAGTATATGTAGCATGCAAACGAAGAACAAACCCTGCCAATACGATCATATAATACAGCACAATGTGAATACCATTCCCAAGCCTTATACCCCGACAATGTGCAAACTGAAAATCATCACGTCCCTCAAACCACAAATTAACGCCTTATGATGTTTCTCATACTGCATGATTGACACACTATTTGTACATTAGAATTATGTACAAAATTCACCTCTAGAGTAGGCCCCTATTACTGTTATTAGTTATGCAATGCATTGTAAATCACACTACCAAATAGTATCTTTTCAAGTTTCTCCTACTAAAAAAACATTGCCTCTAAATATCTTATCAACCATTCCTGATTCTGCCTTTGAAAGTAGTGTTAAACAAAGATCCAACAAGATTAATTAGGGATGCTTTTGTGTGTGCCAGACACTGGGGATGTGTTTACATTTGGCGAGACAGCAGACGGTAGACTTGGCCTCTCTGCTGATCAGCTGGTCAATCACAGGCAACCACAGCAGGTGGGCACTCTGGAAGGGGTGCTACAGGTAGCCTGTGGAGGCACACATACTCTAGCCCTAACAGGTGAGGGCTAAAATATATACACATACATACACATACATTGACACAATAATGTGATTCAGTTGCCCACTCTCTGTCTCTCCCTCTCTCTGTCTCTCTCCTAGAGAATAAATTGTACTCATTTGGTCGTGGTGAGTTTGGGCAGTTGGGTTTGGGAACATTTGTCTTTCAGGCAGATTTACCAGCTGCTGTTGGCCACTTCAGAAAAGGGAGGGTCACTTGTGTTGCCTGTGGAGAAAACCACACTGCCCTCATCACAGGCAAGCTTCACACACACACAGACAGACTCTTCCTCAGAAATATATGGAGGTGAAACTCTATCAAGATCTCAGGTTATAGATCTTATTGCATATTTTTGTGTATTTTTATTAGTATGTATGCCTGTAGATAGGTTTTTCTGTATATATTCTTCTTTTTATATTGTATCACCCTTATTATTATAACTGTCTTGTGTTGTGTGACTGCTATTAGCAGCTAAATTTCCTTCGGGAATCTATCTATCAATCTATCTAAGAAACTAAAAACAAGGGGCTCTATTTTTGTGATCTTAGTGCAAGTGCTGAAAAACACATATAGTAAGGATGGACATTTTAGTCTAATTTGATATTTTAAATTGTGAGGTGTTGTTGAAAAATATTTAAAAATTCTATATTGTATATTCAGTCTATACAAGTAAAGAGTCTAAAATGAGCTTGAGCTTGATGTTTCTCAGGGCTTTTCTGCAACGCTTTCAACTACAGGCAGGTCCGAGTCAAGTCTGAGACTTTGTAGTAGTTAACCTAAGTCTGAGTTAAGATTGAGACCAGATGTGAGTATATATAAAATATTTTGTAAAATAATATATATCCAAAAAGTACTATTATTTATTATTAGAAGTTTCCAGTCATCTGAAATGGAATCACTGCACTCTGCTGGTCTCAAGATCAATTTCCAAGTCCACCTTACCCTGAGACGAAGACATGCCTGATACCACTAACTTCTTGAGACCGGACCAGTCTTAAAGACCAGACTATATTTTAAGACGAATTTGTGCTTTTTTTTAAATCCAGGTCATTCCAAAGTGTTCTCATACTTCCTCTTGCCCCTGTCAGTGAGATACATTTCAAATACATTGTTTCATTTCAAAATATAGTCCACATTTCACATGTACATAAAGTACATTAAGCACAAAACACACACACACGCAGGGTAAAAGGGGCTAACAAAGCATGCAGAGAAATACGTGGACTACAGTTCTACTAATTGTAGATCTACAAAGTGCACTTGTGTATATATATAGATCTGATAAATTGTAGGTGTACGTAATGAAGTGAGTGGTCAGTGTACAGTGCTGTGAAAAAGTATTTGCTCCTTCCCAATTTCTTCCCTTTTTGCATATTTGTCACACTAGAATATTTCAGACCATGAAACTACTTTTAATATTAGACAAAGATAACACATAACACAAGTAAATACAAAATGCTGTTTTTGAATGATGATTTCATTTATTGCCCTACCTGGCCCTTATGTGAAAAAGGTAATTGCCCCCTTAGCTACTAAATCAACCAGTTAACCAAATTCAATTCACTAATGGGTTCAATTTCACTGGCCACACCTGAGTATGATTACTGCCAGACCTGTTGAATCTAAACATCACTTAACACAGAGAACCTTTCTGGCAATGCGAAGCAGCACATGATGCTAGATGATCCATAGATGGCTCCCAAGACTTTTGGGATAATATTCTGTGGACTGATGAGAAAGGTGGGACATTTTGGAAGACTTGGGTCCCATTACATTTGGCGTAAAGCTCACCCCAGACCATCACACTACCACCACCCTGTTTGACTGTTGGTATGATGTTCTAATGGTGGAATGTGTTGTTAGCTTGGACAAAGTGCAGGACCTGGATAACTTGTCATAGTTGATTAATTTTGCTGTCTATAAGAAAATCCTGAAAGAGAATGTCCACCTGTCAGTTTGTGACCTAAAGCTCAAGCACAGTTAGGTTATGCAGCAGGACAACGATCTGTAGCACACAGTAAGCCCACCTCTGAATGGCTCAAAAGAAACAAAATTAAGGTTTTGGAGTGGCCGAGTCAAAGTTCTGACTTAAATCCCATTGAAATGCTGCGGCAAGACCTTAAACAGGCAGTTCATGCTCAAAAACCCTCCAATGTAGCCGAATTAAAACAATCTGCAAAATTCCTCCACATCGATGCGAAAGACTCATCACAAGTTGTCACAAACATTTGATTGCAGTTGTTACTGCCAAAGGTGGCACAACTGGTTATTAGGTTTACTTTTAGGGGCAATTACTTTTTCACATGGGTGATATAGGTTTTGAATAAATCTTTATCTTCTATAAATGGAATGATCATTTGAAAGCAGCATTTTGTGTTTACTCGTGTTGTCTTTATCTTATATGAATATTAGTGGGATGATCTGATAACTTGTAAATGTGACAAATTAGCAAAAACAAGAAATCTGATGGGGCAAAGACTTTTTCACAGCACTGTTTACACTGTATACACTCACTGGGCACTTTTTTATGAACAACATACCCATACTGGGTAGGTCTTCTCTTTGCTCTCAAAATTCCACAAGATGTTGGAAACATTTCTTTGCGATTCTGCTTCAGTTCCTGCAGATTTTTCAGGGGCACTTTCATGCTGCCTGTTTCCTGTTCATGGATAATTTACCACAGCATGATTTCCACATATATGAAAACACCCGTTCAACACATTCAATACATTCAACTTGTCACTGGTGAGATTCAGTCAAGATGTTGACTGACTATCCTGCACATCTTAGTAACATCAGCAAAAGTCACTCTCAGTCAGACCCAAGGCCTTGATGGTTCCCAAATGGTCATCTTTTACCCAGATATACAAAGACAGATTTCCAACCCCTGTACCACAGGCCACTGCCATGTCTTGTAAGATAGATGGGTGATGGATATAAACAAGTCCTTATTTCATGTCACAGCATCCTTCTCAAGGAATATGTCACAGGCCTCACAGAGACACAAAAGCTAAAGAATTGATGATTATGGGAGATAATCTACATCTCTTCATGTTCTACCACATCCCAAAGGTGTTGTATTGGATTCAGATCCAGTGATTGTTTAGGCCACTGAAGAACACTTAACCCATTTTCATGTTCATGTAACCAGTTTGAGGCAACTTTTAGCCATAAGAAGATGGGTAAATTGTGGCCATGAATGGATGCAAATTGATTGGCAAAAATACTAGGCTGTGGATTCAAGCAATGATTGGTATTAAAGGGCCCAAAGTGTGCCAAGAAAAGATTCCCCACACCATTACACCACCTCCACCAGCAAGGACTTTGACACAAGGCAGGTGCCTCAGTAGAAATCGACACCAGGCTACGTTTTTCCAGTCTTCAGCTGTCCAGTGTTGGTGCCCACGTAGCCTCAGCTCTTTGTTCTTGGCTGACAGAAGTGGAACCCAACGTGGTCTTCTGCTGTTGTAGCCTATCCGCCTTAAGGTTTGACGTGTTCAAACCAGTTTGGCCATTCTCCATTGACCTCTCTCATCAACAAGGCATTTCTTTCCACAGAATTGCCACTCACTGGATATTTATTCTTCATTGCACCATTCTGAGTAAACTCTAGACACCGTTGTGCAAAGTGAAAATCCCAGGAGGTCAGCAGTTAAATCACCAAATTATACCAACAATCATGCCATGTACAAAATCACTGACATCACATTTTCCCCCATTCTGATCACTGGCATGAATATTATCTGAAGCCTCTGGCCTGTATCTGCATGATTTTATGCACTGTACTGCACTTTATGCAATCCCAGTTTTTGTGTATTAGATAATTGCATGAATGAGCAGGTTTACAGGTGTTCATTATAAAGTGCTCGGTTGAATGTATATGTTAAAATATATGCCTGGCCACATATTATCCAATTCAAAGCTTCTTTCACTAAGGTTTAGTAAACATAGCTAATGTAACACAGCCTGCCAGTAACACTTGAAGTGCTCATTTTAAATCTGTTTGAGAGAACTCTCGTTAAACAATTGAATGAATCACAATGAATAGCATAATAATAGTAAAAAAAATTTGATTTAAATAGAGCTTCACAACTAGAATAGATCAAAGTGGTTTACAACCCCCCAAAAGAATATATAAGTAACTGAAGGGAATATAGTGAAAAAATAGTAAAACTGGTATAAAAACACCAGTAGTTACATAACACTATGTTAAATTAAACCAGAAAAGACTGAAAATAGCTCAAATAAATAAATAAAAGCAGATAAAATAAATAAATTCTTTGAAAAAGTACTGTAATTTATTAAGTGTCAAGTTGTCAAGTAACAATAGTTGTTAAGTAGCATAACAGTAAGAGATTATTCCGAGAACAGCACAATGGTTTTTTATAATTTTGTGGTTTAACACAGAATTTAATCAATAGGTGCAGTCATATTTATGTATATTGAGTATTTTACAACTTACTAGACATTGCTCAGCACTTCTGATTTTAGTTTGGTTAAACATTCTATTTATTCATTATATGGTGTTCTGTTTATACTTTCTCACCATGACCAAGTTATTATAATATATGTAGGTCTTGTTAGGCAGTTTTGGACCAAATGGTTTTGTGCTGGCAGATGTTGAATGTCACACCCTGTGTTGTGCTGCTTCACACGTGCCAGCACAGACTGGTCAATATAAACTAGGTGCAAATGGGGAAAAATGTACTTACCATTAAAATGCTTCTGTGCCTGCACAAAAAAAGAGCCCAAGGTCTTTGTCACTATATGACATAGTAATAATGGTGACATAGATAAAAAGCTTTGCTGTGTTTTAATTTAGATAGTGGTCTCCTCTACACATTTGGAGATGGTCGTCATGGGAAATTAGCCCTTGGAGATGAAAACTTCACCAATCAGTTCACTCCAACTGTGTGCCAGCGCTTCCTTGACTACACTGTAATGACTGTGAGTTCCAGCCCATAACTTAACATGTGTATATGCATATGTTAAATGTCAACATTTGCCAAAGTTCTTTATGTATTTGTTTTGTTTGTACTTATGACTACATATTCATGCATTATAGGTTGCATGTGGGTCCAGTCACACGCTGGTATTTGCACACTTACGGCACCAAGAAAGTGAAGAGGTTTGTTTGGAAGATGAAGATGTCACCTACTCATGCCTAGACAGGTGTTATACCTCAATGTTGTTGGGACAGACACTTGAGGATATCCTTGAACGTACATCCAAACCTGTTTCACAGCCTTTTATCTTCCCTGCCTCTCTACCTGCCTCTCATCGCTGGAGCCTATCAGCACGTTCTAGACGAAGACAGCGGGTCGGAAACTCATCAGTCTTGGCAAACCATATGTTGGAATTTAGTGTTGTATGGAAGCATTATGTTGTCTTATGAAACTAATATATAATTTATGTATCTGTGTATTTGTGTGTGTGCAGGGTTCCTTAGAGCAATTTGGGGCATGCTTTCGCAATCTTCCTCCTTTAACAACAGGACTCGTCTCGCTGCCAATCTCCCAAAACATCCTTCTTCCCAAACCACCACCAAGAACCTCCAAAAAACATTCTTATGGATGCCCCCCCACAGATGGATCCACTGAGTCACTCAGTCAAAATGGAACTTGTTGCATCAATAGTACTGCTTGCACATCTTCAGGTACACACCTCAATTTAAATGCTAAAACATTATTTATTATTATTTAAGATGTTGAGAACAATTTATTTCTCTCTCTGATCATTAAGGCAAGTCTGTGAACAAGATTACAGAACACAGACAGGATTTCAGAGGTCCTCATGAATTTAGTCCTTCCAACAAGGTAAGTCAAAACTGCCTCTGTGTAATCTACAATGAAGTGCTGTGACAGTGAACTAAATTGGTTATTTTTCCTGCATATTTATAAAATTTGCATTAAAGATCAGAAGATTAATGAGTCTAAAGCACAAAATGTTAGCTTTTATTTATGGCTAATGTTTTTCATGCATCCTAAACCAAACTGGAACCAGAGCATGTGAGGGAAGACATTTCTGCTCCTTGCTCATCGTGTTTCTGTAATCATACTAGGTTTTCCATTTCACATCTCACATGTCAGAGAAACCCATGTCTGCTCCATATGGTCCATTCTTATAATGTCTTATAATAACAGGGCACTACATGCTTTATGTAATTAATTATTTAATTTATGGCCGTTATTAAACAATAATCAACACTTTTTTCAGATGGTATAGGCTTGAAGCCACGGCCCAGTCACGACCTAGAAAACTGCTGAGGGTAAACAAACACACATGCTTTTACAGGGTGATTCAAAAAGATTCATCCAATTTCAAAACGCCATATTTTTACAACCGTGAGGCACCTAGGAACCAATCACATACCAATTGAAAGAGGGGGTCATAGAGTTTCTGACTGTCATCAGCTCCCTTCAGTCTGCAAGGAGATGGTGACCCCTGAGCAGAAAGTGTTTTGCGTTCTCCACTTTAATTAGAATGAATCCGTCATAACGGTTCCACAACACTGGATGATCTCCAAAATCGCATTGAATGAGTGAGTACAGTGACACCCGACATGCTCAATTGAGTATGGGATGAATTTGACTATCACATTGATGTTGTCTGTACAGCTGGACGAGGTCATATTGAGCACAAATTACATAATAAACTTTATGCTCACTTAAACCATTTACAGTTTGGGCAGGCGCACGCCACAATCACCCTGTATAACCATCTTCATTATCCGTTCAGGAAAATGGATGACACAAGACTAACTCTTTGTAATGTCTGCAGAACTTTGTTGTGATTGATGAGAATTTCCAGTATGTAGGTCTGCCGAACAGTTCCACAGCACAGACACTGTGTGTGCCGTAATGTACAAGCTGTAGCAGTCTGCCCCATCGCTCATGTCACACAGAGGTATTGTTGAAAAAATACTGTTTGGCTCACAGGATCGAGTGATATGGAGTGATTTTGGGGGAAGAGAGAATAATGACATGCTTACTGAAAAGCCACTCCGAGCATGTCATTCCACTCCCTACTCCGCTCTCACTTCGCACCACTCACTTGCTCTGACTGGAACAATAATGTTTTAGGTATAGCCCTTAAATTTCAGCAGAGCATGAACATTGGCACAAATGGTTTGCAAGTGTTTCTAATGGTTCCATGTTCTATAATTAAACACAAAAATCTAATTACTCCAAAATAGTTTAGGGTGTAGGAAAAAACATAATAAAATTAAGAGAATAATTTTCATCTAAAGTACAGATTTCATGAATATACAGCACTAATGCTGTTCATTACATGAAAAAGATCACTTAAGCTGATAAAATCTGGTGAGAATGGCCGGTGACGAAACTTTCTTTATGTTTTGCCAGAAACCCAGGCAGAGAAAAGAGAAGATGTCAAGATTGATCTCTGTAGGACAAGCAAACATAAGGCCAGACATTACGCTTTGTGAGGCCTTGCCCACTAAACATCTGACTGGGTCTATGTCCTGTAACTCACAAAGAGACTGTTCATCCCCAGATAGTGTAAAGCATAAGAAATGCAAAACAGAATGTCCAGAGGCCTACATTCATGTAACAGAAACTACCATTGGTAGCCCATGGTCATGCTGTGAACCTGCTTCTAAAACAAGCATAAAAAATACGGAGGCTATCAAAAGTAAAAAAAAAGGAGTCAAGAATCAACAAACAACGGGCAAGTCATCTCACTTGAGAATGATGGAGAAAAACGCTGAAGAAGCCAAAACTAACATCAAACTAAAGATCAAAACTGAAAAACAAGACACATTTATTATATCCACGGCAGTGTATGGTCAAGACACTTCTTTGGGAAAAGTTCAACAGGAGCTCAAGTCAAGTCCAGGCAAAGTTCAAAAGCCAGCTGTCAAAATTCAAAAAGAGGTCAAGTCTACTGTAGCTACAGTTCATCAAGTAATAAGAACACCAACAAAAGTTCAAAATATGAAATCTTTGCATCTCATAGCACAAGACTCCAAGACCAGTACTACAGAGAGAGGCCCTAAAAAGACCAAATCTCTTAATGTACAGTCTAGTGGTGTTAAATTTCAAGAAGATCAATCAGACACTGTGGTAAATGTTCACAGAGGGGTAACATCTTCCCTCAGTAAGGTTCAAGAGGTCGATTCTGCTCCTTTCAGAGTTCAAGAGGTAAAGTTGACCCAAGCCAATGTGCAAAAACAGGAAACGTCCATACCTGTGAAAATTCCAGAAAAACTCTTGGATTCAAAAAAGATACAGAGTAGTACTAAAAGATTCAAAGGCAAGATAAAGGGCAAAAAGAGAAAGCAAAATGAGGACATCCACCAAGATGAAGGAGGGCAGGAGAAACAAAGTTCAGTTCACCAAAACCCCTTTGCAATGCGTAGTCCTTTATCCGCAGTTTCTTTACATGCCATAGGAGGGGAGGAGGTTGGAGAACAGGAGTTCAAAAGAATGTCAGAAAAACTAAAGGGCAAATGGTTGGAAGGTGACAACACAAGGTTTCAGCTTGAGCACGTATACCTCGAAAAAGAGTGTACAAGACAGGTCAAAAGTAAAAAAATTACAAATGACAGTGTCAAAATTGTCAGCTCACCCATTGAGTTCAATATGTCAACATTTAATAAAATAGCAGCCTCAGAAAAAAGCCAGGCAGTAACCAGTGGCATGCCTTTGTCCAAAACCAACAGCTCATTATCCAGTAAAACATCAACTCAATCCAAACAACAGTCAACGTCCAGCTTATGGTCAACCCCTGACAAAGAACAGTTAGCAATCCTTGGATTACCAAACACAGCAAACAATCAGTTGCCTTCCAGTAAGTCATCAAGCACAGCTAAAAGCCAGCCAACATCAAGTAACTGGTTCACTCCAACAATTACGCAGTTAGATGAGATAGATAACAGTCAGTCACCATTAAAAGAAAAGAAAATGGTTGGCAAAAAAGTGAATAAAAGCTCAATAAAACTCTCAGAACAAGCATTTGTAACAAAGAATCAAGAGATGGACAGGAAACCACAAGCCAAACAGAGCCCAACTCTGGATAATGTAGTATCTGTTCTATCATCCCTGGCTGTGGTTGGTTCTGTGCCACTTCTAATTGAAGCAGCAGAACATGGCATTAACAATAAACCCCAATCTGCTTCCTCTGAAACTTCACAAATTAGTGGCATTGCAAAAAAGCCTGAGTCATCTTCATATTCCTCTGTCCCATTACCCCAAGAAACAAATGGTGGTGCTGTACTTGGGAAGAGGACAGCAGTGCAAATCAGGATTCTTCCAGACCAGAAAGAAGAGAAGAACTGCATAGATCTGGACCAGCCAGCAATTAATCAAATCGAGGAAGACAAGAGCAGTACAAACATAGAAAACTACAGAAGAGGAGGTTATTCTGAAGCTGGAGAAACAGAACAGATTTCACATGGAGAGGAAAAGTCAAATAGGGAAGAACACCAGTCAGAGGAATGGGATATGAAGGAAAAGAAAAACAATGAGTTTAGGGAAGAAACTGACAATTCTTTAGTTGGGACAGAGGAAGAAGATGGAGAAAGAGAAGGAAGGGGAAACCAGAATGTAGCTGAAGGGAGTGAGGGAGGGAGAAATGAAAAAGAGGAGGACAGCTGTGAGGGAGATAGTGATGTTAAAGAGGAGGAAGATGGAGGAGACCATAGTGGAGATGAAGAGACTGTGGCAGAGGGTATAGAAGGGAGGGAAAGTGAAGGAGAGGAGAAAAATGAAGAACAAAGTGAGGAGGAAGAGAGTGGATCTGAAGAACATGAAGAGAATGACAGTAGTGACAGAGAGACCAGTAAAAGTGAAGATAAGAACAGAAAAGAGGTGAGTGGAGATGAAGGGGTTGAAGGAAAGGAGAGTGAAGAAGGAGAAACTGAAGCAGAAAAGAGAGGAAATGAAGAAAATGAAGAGGAGGGAGAAAGTGAGTGGGAGAAAGAGGAAGCAAATGAGATTGAGGTGGATAAGGGTGAGATGAGTGACAGTGCGAAGGAGGACAGAGAGGAACAAGAGAGTGATGGAAAAGAAGGTGGAGATGGAGAGAATGAGAATGAAGTTGAAGCACAAGAAGAAACAGAAAGTGAGGTAGAAAAGAGTGGGGATGAACATGAGGAGGTGAGCAAAGATGAAGAGACCATGCAGGGAGAAGGAGAGAGTGATAGTGAACAGTCATGGACTGAAGAAGAAAAGGAAGAAGGAAAGAAGGAGTTTGAGAATGAGGCATCAGGAGAGGAGGAAGAAAAAGAAGAACAGAGTGAAGATGAAGAGGAAGGAGAGAGTGAAAATGAAGAAGAGACAGAAGAGGGGGAAGAGATTGAAGGAGGAAGTGGTGGAGACGAACAGGCAGTGGAAGGAGAGAACAAGAATGAGGAGGAGGAGGGGGATGAAGAGGGGGCAAGTGAAGATGTTAACGGTGAAGAACAAAGTGACACAGAAGGTGAAGAGGAGGAGAAAGATGAACAAAAAGAAGAGCAGGAGGAAGAAGAGGTAGAATCGGAAGAAGCAGAAGAGGAAGCTCAGGATGATAAAGGAAGTGAAGAAGAGGAAGATGAAACTGGAGAGCAAGGGGAAGAGGGGGAAGAGGAAGGAGATGAGGGAGAAGAAGAAAGTGAAGAAAAAATGAAGGAAGCAAAAGAGGGTGGATGTGAAGATGAGGGCAAGGATGTTGAAGTTGAGGGTGAGAAAGAAGAGAATGAGGAAGAAGGGGAGGGAGAAGGTGGAGATGAGGGCAAAGAGGAGGAGGAGATAGAAGAAGAAGAAGAAGAAGAAAAAGAAGACAGACAAAGAATTCAAGGAGTACAAGAGGGGTTTAGCATTGCAGAGAACTCAAAGAGGGGCAGAGAACTTAAAACAAAAAAAGAAAGAGACAATGTGGAAATGGCAGGTGGAGAAGAAGGGAATATGGTAGAAAATGCTGAAGAACACAGTGCTGAAAACAATGGAAGAGAGAATAGGGAAATAGATGGAGAGGATCCAAAATCAGAGAAAGCAGAGTCAGAAGGAAAGGAAGAAATAGAGAAGAAAGTAAAAAAAATAGTGATTAAAGAGGAAAAGCAGAAGAAAGGGATGGAAGAAAATGAAGAGGTAAAAAGTAATAGAATCCAAAAAGAAGATGCTGAAGAAGCACAAGAAGAGGAATGTGAAGAGGAGGAAGAAACAGACTATGAAGAGAATATAAAAGAAATGAAAAATATAGAGGAAGCTGAAAAGGGAGAGGAAGAAAAGAAAGAGTCTGAAGAATCAGTGGAAGAAGAAGGAGAAGAAGAAGGAGAAGAAGAAGAAGAAGGAGAAGAAGAGGAGGAAGAGGAAGAAGCAGAAGAAGAAACAGAAGAAGGAGAAGAAGAAGAAGAAAAGGAAGTAATTCACAAGAAGGGATCTAAAGCAAAACCTAAAGCAGTGCCCCTGGCAAAGCAAGCAGTTAGAGAAAGAAATAAGAGAGACAAACTAGATCACCACACAAAGAAGCAAGTACCTTGTGCTTCACAGGACACTCAGTTCTGGAACAATGTCTTGCCACAGTATTTGGACCTGAAATGATTTCCATAGTCATGTATACAGAAACATACACTGCTTGGCCAAAAGTATGCAAATACCTGATCACAACTATATAAGCTAGTTGGCCACTGTTTGCTGCCGTTATAATCTCCACTCTTCTAGGAAGGCTTTCCACAAGACTTTGAGAGTGTGTCTTTAGGAATTTGTGCCCATTTAGTCAAAAATGCATTTGTGAGGTTGCACTGATGTTGGACGAGAAGGCCTGCAATTGATGTTCCAGTTCATCCCAAAGGTGTTCAGTGAGGTTGAGGTCAAGGCTGTGTGCGGGCCACTGGAGTTCTTCCACATCAGACTTGTCAAATCATGTCTTTATGGTTGTCACTTTTGTACTGGGGCACAGTCATGTTGGAGCAGGAAAGGAGCTTCCCCAAACAGTTACCACAACATTTGAAGCATATAATTGTCTAAAATGCCTTTGCATGCTGTAGCATTAACGTTACCCTTCACTTGACCTAAGGGGCCTTACCCAAACCTGGAAAGACAGCCCTAATCATAATCTCTCTACCACCAAATTTTAATCAATTTTAGCACTACGCCTTCCAGTAGGTACTGTTCTCCTGACATTCACCAAACCCAGATTCTTCCATCAGGCTGCCAGATAGTGAAACATGATTCATCACTACAGAGAACACATTTCCACTGCTCCAGAGTCCAGTGGCAGTGTACGGTCTCAAATGAACACTGAGAAATGCTGAAGTCTTAAAAGATAACTTTATGTAGCCTGTTGATTTCTTCTTTTGAACTGCTGAAACCAAATGTTCTGTATGTTAAGGAGCACCCCTTGCAGCCACAGGCATTCTTTTGCTCCAGAGAAGCCACATGAGCCTAAGGTCACCATGCTAAAATCCAAGCATTGGCTATAGGGCTTTAAAGCTTCCCATCATTTGCTGGTAGAGCAGGTTAATTGTGTTCTCTGGAGTGATGCCTCATCAAATAGCTTTGTGATGAGTTGGAGAGTTGAAGAGCTGAGTTGGAGACCTAATCATCCAACATCAGTACCTGACCAGCTCTGAATGCATTCAAATCTTCACAGCAGGGTTCCAACACCTAGTGTAAAGCCTTCTCAGAAGAGTAGAGGCTGTTGCTGCAGCAAAGGGCTCCTGTTGATAATCTTGTGTTCAGAAGAGGTGTTGGATGAGCAGGAGTCATACATGACATCCTGCACTATGCCACTCCCCAAAACTGGAACATCAGTCTGAAAGATGTCAATCAAACAGAAAAAAGCAAAAGGGGCAATACCAGATCAGTTACAAGTTCAAATAACATTATAGAATATGTCCTAGGACGTAACAGTTGTCCTTCATCAGTGGTCACAGGATGCTGCCCACAGGACACTGGTGGCTAGATATTTTTGTTGGTGGATGATTCTTAGTCCAGCAGTGACATTGAGGTGTTTAAAATAAGAAGAATGATCCACAATCCAAATAATGCCTGATCTCTGGTGGTTGTCAGGACCAAGGGCAGTCCCCTTCAACCCCAGGCCTCCAACATAATATTATGAAAAAAAAGATTTTTTTAATACTGGCTAAACACTTTCACTAATAACAGCTCTAAGTCTAAGTTCTAACTGTTCTAATTCTAAGTTCTCAAAAGATGTCAAAAAGAAAAGAGTCTTCAGACACTGAGTTCATGGAAAGAGGGAAAAAGGCTTCTTCTTTTGATATTAGCTTATTCTCTAATAGGTGCATCTTCATCCATCAATTTGGCCATAGCATATTGCGCTCACTCTTAAAAACTGGTTTTAGCTGGTTTTTACCAGTCTGCTTTACCTTTCAAAATCAACTTGTCTCTCTTCACTGGGTCAGTAAGTACACACAGGCTTGTCCGTAAACCCAGGTGCTTTCCGATCTCTATTTTTTATGCAGACACACCAAGGCCTACCCTTTGTGAGAGAATTAATATTCTCTGTTAGCCAATACTAGCTATTCGGTTATTGATTACAATATCAAATCTATTTGATTACTGATTAAGGGAATATTTATTCAAAATCTCCATCATGGTCCTGTGAGCATCCTGACCACCAGGGTAAAGAGGGCTAACAAAATATGCAGAGAAACAGATGGACTACAGTCTGTATCTGCAGAACTACAAAGTGCACCTGTATGATAAGTGGAGCTGATAAAATGGACAGTGATCATAGATACATGTTAGGTTTACCTAAAAAAAGTGCTCAGTGAGGGTATAGTGTACCATAAAATGAACTTGGAACTAACATGGATCATTGGTCTTTTTAAACAATTATTTGATGTTTTGTTAGCACAGTGCAAAGTGTTGCAAAGTGCCTTGGCCAAAAATTCAGAAATAACATTTTCCAGTTCCAGTATTTTGTAGGACAGTATAATCATCATGGGATAAACTACCTTTTAGCTAAAGTGCACAATTTCTATGTGCGTCATTGTTGTATGTTTATACTATGTATTTTATTTAGGGTATGTACTTTGTGAGGCAGAAGATGATTTAAATTAAAGGGAGTAATAAACCACTTTTTATGTTATCCTTCAATAACCTTATACACTGTTATTACCACATACCAGCTACCACATACTGTTCTGATTACTGTTATTAAACATTAATTGAAGTTATGGATATCACCTTAATGCAGTAGTAAAAATAGGTCTTGATAATGTGTTTTTGTTTGGAAAGAGGTGAAGGAAGATGGATAGAATACCCTAAAACTATCTCAGTAAAAGTGTTAATGAAATAATAACTCAAGTAGTTAAAGTAGCTACCAAAAAATAGTGTGAGTAGGGCTAAAGCCAGTTCCTCACGATACACACATAATTACATAATTTAGAGATTAGTTTCATAGTAGTTGCCAAATAATTAGGGTTGTATTGATTCACAAAAAATGTGGAAACAGCAAAAATAAGGAGTGCCTGAAAATGTGCCTTATGTTAACATGTTAATGTTTCTATTTTCTGTTCATTACAGGATTCAATATTGTAAAAATACAGTATTTTAAAATAATGTCCTAGGCGTATACTAATATTTTAGACGCTTTCCTCCCCAATCTAAAGGGCTTGCTTGTTTAATTTTTATTACACATCTGGTCATATAATCAGTCCAAATGAGTCCTTTATTTTCTGTTGAATATATTGTTCAATATTTGTATGCACTGAATTGAGAAGCTTGTACAAACAATTCATAGTGATAACTAAATAATAAACCTGTAGTTACGTGTTAAGGGGTTTCAAAACATGTATTAGGAAATAAATGTGCCTCTTCCTTACAAACATAATTCGATATTGGTAAAAGTTTGGGAAAAGATCAAGTAAGGTAACATGGAAGAAGAAGCATCCCAGGGGAATTACCCCCCACCCCCCATTTTTTAACTCTAATTCTTGTTTGATATTGGATTATACCATGTGTCAAGCTCCAGTCCATACATGCCAAAGCATTTGTGTTCAGAGTGTTAGATGAGGGATAACATAAATCTCTGCAGATATGTGGCCTGGAAGGAACCCAGTTTGACATGCCTGGATTTTAGTTATCCACAGGCACCTAAGCAATAGAGCAAGTGGAGCACATGCAGCCCCATTTTCATTAGGGACTGAGCAAACATACACATTTACTCCCTGACTTTTTATTCAAAATAGAGGTCTGGATGGGTCTGCATGGGACATGATTTTTAGTTCTGCTCTCCACTCCCACAGAAAATGTGCACCATTTGTCCCACGCCCACCCGCAACCTAAACATTTTGTTTCTACCCACAGTCCAGTTTACCCGGTTTCCATCTGTGTTGGTTTTCCTTAAGAGCACTTTCCACAGATGCGACCATCTGCCTTTCTTAAATAATATAATCCTTTATTAGTCCCACAACTGGGGAAATTTACAGTAAGGCACTCAAGCAAAGAGGTATCAAGAAGAGAATTAACAAACAAGGTTTTATCCTTAATTACTTAACAAGGTTACAGTTTGTTACTTATTAGCATATAGACAATATACATAACACCAAAGAGAAAATAATCACAAAATTAACAACAAACATACAACAGGTCTATAACATCTCCTCCTGGCTGTGTTGCGTTGCGCTAATAGCTTATCCTTACTGTAAACAACAGGGCTCTATACAGGATCTCCAAACATGGTCGTAAACGAAAAAATAAATAGAACAAGGATCAGGGCGAACTCTACAAGATTGGTGTCCGTACTGCAAAATCTTTTGACAATCAATCAAAAAATCTATAAATACTTGAAAAAGGGGAAAAGTACAGAAAGTAGGAAAAAGCTCAAAGGGAGCTGGAGCTGCTGCAGCAGGCTGCCACCCTTGCGCCACCATGTTAAAAAAATTACTGTTAAGAAATACAGTAAAGAATGTAAATTGCTGTAAAAAAAGGGGCATTTGGGGAGACACTTTTTGTCAAAGAAGTTAAAATATTGGATTTTAGAGTAATTACAGTCATACTATTTGGACAGTGACTCTCCACCATAATGGATTTGAAATGAAAGTGTCAAGATGTCATTGAAGTGTAGACTTTCTGCTTTAATTCAGGGGGGTTAACAAAAATATTGCACTAACCAATTAGGAATTACAGCTATTTTTTACATAGTCCCTCCATTTTCACAGGCTCAACAATAATTGGACAAACTAACATAATTATAAATGCAAGGACTATTTTTAATACTTGGGTTCAAGTCAGTGACTTTTGCAGTCAATGACTGTATGAAATCTAGAACCCATGGACCTCACCAAATGCTGTTGTCCTGCCTTGAGATGCTTTGCCAGGCTTTACTGCAGTCACTTCCAGTTGCTGCTTGTGGGTCTTTCTGCCTTTAGTTTTGTCTTCTGTAAGTGAAACGCATGCTCAGTTGGGTTAAGGTCAGGTAATTGACTCAGCCATTTAAGAACATTCAATTTCTTGGCTCCTGGGTTGCTTTTGCAATATGTTTTTGGTCATTATCCATTCATTTGACTGAATCTGAGCACAGGTATAGCTCTATACAATTCAGAATTCATCCTGCTACTTCTATCAGCAGTCACCTCATCAATAAACATCAACATGCGCTCTTCCTTTCCTTCTCCATACTCTTCTCATCTTTCTGGTACAAGTTAATCTTGATTTCATCTGTCCAAAGTATCTTGTTCCAGAACTGGGCAGGCGTTTTGAGATGTTTTCTTGCAGTCTAATCTGGCCTTTCTGCTCTTGAGTGTTACCAGTGGTTTATATCTTGAGGTAAACCCTCTGTATTTACATACATGAAGGCGTCTCTTGATTGTAGACTTTGACAGTGATACAGTTTCCTCTAGAATATACACTGAGGGTGGAAAGGGTTGCTGTTATTTGCAATGCATATTAGGAAAGTGGCAAATGCTTTGTACAGTCTTTAGCAGTGTCCCTCTGAATATTGTAGTGATGATGGTGGAGCCTCCCAGCATTCCTTGCGGTTTTGGTAGGTCTGTTAACTAGCTTTTATTTTTTCATCTATAGTTCATCACGTGTTTTTTTTTGTTTGTTTGTTTATTTTAACATTACTCCAGATACATTTGAATGCATTTTACATGTTTTAGTATTCTAACCATTATGGTGTTTTCTGTAGCAAAATTGAGTGTCCTGCTGTGGGTGCACATTAGAGCACTAGAACTGAACGTTAGAGACACAGGGGTGCAGGACAAAACTGTACAGTAATCAACTACACTGTAAAAATGAGAAGTAACTAATAACAGTGCTTTTCTTGAGTTAACTCAACTTGAAGACACTAGAGTTCACCCAATTCCAACTTCTTAGTCAAAAGTTCTCTCAATTTCATTTTCTAGTTCTCCATCTCAGTTAAGTAAATAATATAGTTTTTTAGCTCAGTTTCCCCACTAGCTGGGACTCTTTCTATCACACAATACCATCAAACATTTTCTTCTCTTGGGCTTCCAAATATGTACTGCTGTGGCATCACTGGGCTTTGAACTCATAATCTCCTTATGTTGGGGTGAATTATTAGAGAGTTGCACCACATGTGATCATACCCCTTTTCAAAAATTAAAACAACAAATATTTGCTGCAGTGTATTAAACTTTCATGGACACAGAGATCTGAATCAATTCGGGTGTTCCCAAGCGGTACAGTGGACTAGGTCATCACCCCAACAGGAGACTGTTTTACTGAGTTTAAACACCCAGCAATGCTGTAAAAATCCATAAGTATACTTCCAAGAGGAGAAAATGCATGACAGGGTTGTCTGATGGAAAGAGTCTCTGTTAGTGGGAAATCTCAAAATCATAGTCTACATTATTTACTTAAATGAAATGCAGAACTAAAAATGTGAGTTAGGAGAACTTTTGACTTGACTACTAAGTTTGATTTGGCTAAACTCAAGTTGGTCCTCAAGTTGCATTAATGCAAGAAAAGCAATGTAGTCAGTTACTTTACAATATTAAATTGAGCTGACTTTAGTTTTCAACAGTGTATATTTGGAAAAACAGTGAAGTAGTGTAAGTGTAATGTACTTCAGGGAAATTCTTCAGAGCAATTTTTGAGGAATGCAAAGATAAAAAAAAATATTTGACATACAAATTGTACATATATTTCCTGCATAGTGAGGCAATTTACTCAGAATTTGATTATATAATAATAAGTGCATACTTTGTACACTCTTTCTTCAAGGGTTCTTTATTCAAGAAAAGGTTCTGAATAGAATCATGGACACTCAAGAAACGCTTTGCATGATTTTAGGGTTCTTTGCGTCATGAAAGGGTTCTTCAGGCTGATTGAGAATGTGCTGTAGATAGTTCTACATAGAACCTTTTTGAAAAGGGTTTCACCATTGTTACAAGCCAACAACCCTTTCTGGTACTATATAGAACGCTTTTTGCTAAGAATGATATTATAATTGATTACAATCGAGTCTAACATTTTAAACCTGGATGCAAGCTAAATCGATTACGATGTATCACGATGCCCTAATGCATTTTTACACCCACCTCTAGCAAATCCCGCTGAGCTCTCACTTTCTCTCTTGACTCGCCATACCTCACTGGCTACGCTGAGCGGGCTCTCGTGTTTCTGGGCGGAGGAAGGCGGGCTCTGCTGGAGCAGGAATGCGCCGGAGGGACTCCTGCACTCCCGCACACTTTAAGATGGACACCTGGCTGTGCGTGTATCTGCTGCTGGGACTACAGCTTTGCCGCTGCTTCGCTTACGACGGTAAGAAAAGTACGCCTGGCTCTCGCCTCCACTGCGTGTGTGTCGGCGTTTATTTTTGCGCTCAGATATGGAACAGGACCCCCCCCGCCCACACACACACACCTTTGAAGGCCCACCAGCGTCTAGGACTTCTCAGATGGTTCTGTTAAGTTTGAGCTGGAGTTGAAACTGAAGTAGTGTGTGTCAATGCGGGAAAGAATCTGCACTTTGAGCCCTGTGCCTTGTGGGAGCTAGAATAGATTTAGGTTTATAAAGCCAGTGTGTATACGTGGACGGTTTTTGGGGCTGGAGGGGAGGAGGGGGGGTGAGGGGGAGAATCAACACTGCACCCCTGATTCAACCGCCAACTAATATCAGGAAGTGGAAAAAGGACAGTGTACTCATTCATCCAGTGAGTCAGTGCTGCTAGTCTACTGCATGTTCTGTGAATAATCTCTCTGTTCACTGAAGGATGAGCCGTTCAGTTCACTACATCACTGTAAATACAGTTTACAGATGTAAACAGAGAGCACCGTCGGTTCAGCACCTGACCTGATTTGCTGTTGATTCCACCTCTCACTTTCAGTAGTGTCTAACAAAGTACCTTTTCTGTGCAAATAGATGGTGGGTGTACTAAGTTCCATTGCAGTTCTATAGGGAAATTAGTACCTGTAGATTTTCTGAACCTGATTTTTTTGTTCAATTTATTGTTTTTTTGTTTGTTTGTTTGGTTTTTGGTACCTAGTACCTCTACCAACCGCTGATGTCAAGAGACAAATAATGAAAATTTGGAGTTGGATCAGAGGAGTGGTGCCTGCTGGAATCACTGCCATTTGTTGGGCTTGGGAGCAGATAAGCAGATTGAAAATATTTGCATGTTTATGCTTCAGAGTACAACTTTTTTTGAGCATGACATATTTATATGGAATACAAAATGGTTCTCTTGAGTATGCACTTGGACCAGGATTATGAGCTTTAGTCCAAGGATATCTAGAGGAGTATTAGTAGGTTTGGGTAAAAAGTGTTGTTTGGGCAAAATGCCAAGTTCGCTCATTTGAACTCGCATGTCCGATATCCTAAAGTGTTGATTAACTAATTGATTAGGCTACAAATGTTCTGATGGGATAAACAGGGACGGAGATAATTTAAGATAACTTGGATTAAACTGCATGGATACTTTTGTTAAAATGTGAGGATCCTGAATGGTGATGCAGACAAAGGAGAAGACTGTAGTGCATTAGTGAGCAATATAGTAGGATAGAGTTCTGAAGTGATTATTATTACATTGTTTGTGAAGGCACTTTTGGGCACATGGTAACCCAGCAAATGTGTGAATATAATATGTATCTAAGAATGCATTTTTGTGTCTGTATGTGTGTGTTGCTCAATGTGCATATAATGGATCTCTCACAGTGGGGCTGGACGATTTATCAAATGTCCTTTTTATTCATCATTTTGGCTTCCAACGGTTATGAAAAAAAGATAATTGTGAGAAAACAATTATTACGCCACATTCCATTTTACAATGATGCTTTCATTTTGTGTTACGAATCCAGCGCACTCCTTTCCTTTACAGTGGTTTGTTTTCTCTCCTCCCTAAAAGCCTAAACTCACTCTCAGCCAGGCTGAGGCATGTTTAGTTCAGCTCAAGCCAAAATTACAGAAAGAGAGACTTTGGTCAACGAAAAAGGTAAAACCAATTCAGCTGTTTAGAAACACTTTTGTTTCAACGAGGAACACAAGGAACAACAACGAAAACTGTGCAAGATTTGTTACAAGGTAGTGTCTGCACCAAAAGGCAATACGACCAATTTTTTAAATCCTCTGAAGTTCAATCTGTTGAAAAGTTTTTTTTTTTTGTAGTTCAATAAATGCATGTTTTCAAAGTCAGTGACTAATCATGTTAAATAATTGTGATTTCCATATTGACCCAAAAAATTGTCATCATGATTTTTGCCATAGTCAAGCAGCCCTGTCTCACAGGTTGCAACATAAACACCTGTTCAAAGAGTCAGAGTTAGATTTACATTGTCTTGATATTGGATGTGTATGTTTGCTTATCAATGTGTATGTGGGTAAGAGAACAAAGGGAATTTACAAGAAAATTTTCCTTTGATGTGAATAGCTATGTCCTGTTTTGCCTATATTTCTTTTTACTATGAAAAAGACTATTGACACTCAGGCATATACAATGATCTGGGGTCTATGATGCATTAGTAAGAGAGCTGGCAGCAATATATCTACAGCCTCAGGATTGCTCTGTTGTGTATACTATTTTATGACTTGAACACTGAAATGTAGCAACAATAAAGCAGGCGTAAGTGGTTACTGTTGAAATGTTCTGTACTGCGCTGAACTTGGATAAAATCTCAGTGCCCCATCATGCCAAAGAGATTACCGTAGAAACCCAAACTACTGATCCAGCAAAGCCTACTGTGAGTGGAAAACTCCTGTGTGTGTGTGTGAGAGAGAGAGAGAGAGAGAGAGGGACAGAGTTACACAGCATTCTGCTGAGCTCAACAGAATGGAACCGGAAAACTCATCTGCCAAGAGGATCATGGAGTACACACTCAAGCATGCACACACTGTAGCATAAACTGCCACTTGGGAATTTTTTTTTTTAACAATACACATGGAAATTTACAAGGGGGGGCAACACACACACACACAATTTCTAAACTGTTTATCCTTCTGGGTCACGGTGGGGGGCTGTAAGTGGGTAAAAATATGTATAAAAAATAATAAATATAAACAAAGCATTAATAAAGCATAATAAATACATAAGTGATAAATTACCAATAAAAAAATAATGAACAATAAAAGTATGTACATAACGTCCGATCTGTGAATGAATCCTTCATCAATCCTTTGATCGGTTCTTTTCAGTGAATGGATCCAATTCAACAGTCCAGCTGAATAACTTTTCTGTAGCATTTTGCAACATTTACATCTGTGTTACAGTCTCAATAATTCTGATAAAATTTCACAATATAACCTTAGAACATAGAACATATTAGGAATTTCCTCTTTTTTCCTGCAATTTTTTTCTGTTGTCTGTAGCTTCCGGGTATGTGTTTATGCATTTAACCATTAGGGGCTGAATGAGTACTTTGTGCAAAGTTAGACTCTCTCACTGAACTAAAAGAATCATAAACCGTTTAATATTTCTGAGAGCCACTGTGGCAGTTCCCGACTGAGGTCCTGTTTCAGTTCCTTTTTTTTTTCTTAAAATGGCTTTTCACCACTTCCAAGTGCGTCACACCTATATTACACAAGTGGCCACCCATAGCACAAGTGGAACAGGGGACAGGGAGCAGTGTATTTTTCAGTGGAGTACATGCTCCCTTGGCTGGGTTAGCCTCAGTAAGCTAATTAACTAGACATGCAGACTTTGTAATTGACTAGATATGCAAACTTTGTAACTTTAAGTCTGAACATAACATCCTTAAATTTTGTAAATAATTGCTTTGTGTGGCTCTTAGCTTTGATTTAAAACTGAAATATTGCCTTTCTTTTTGTTGTAACTAGCTATGTGGGCTTTAGTGGTTACTAACAAGCTAGCAGAGTAATGAAGTTGTATCGGCAGCAGATGGAGCAAATCGAAAGTTATGATTTTGTATGATAATATATAATGTAGTTTGTTGTACTATATGGTGTATAGTGTTATTGTATTATATAATGTATATAGTCTATACAAAACATATAAACTACAGACCATAAGAGAGTCTTTTTAAAAGCTAGTTTTACTTTTAATAAACATTAATAATTTATAGCATGATAGCTTATAACCTGTCCACTCCTTCACACAAAATATAAAATAGGAAATGTTTTGTTACTAAAATATTAACTGTATTCATGAAAAAGTCATTTATTGTTAAAAAACTGATGATAGAACAACAAGAAGTGTGGCAGCCAGTTTAACATGAAATATTCCGTCATGGCACATTCCCTTCTGTCACACGCTCAGCACATTGGGAGAGTTCTTTTCAGTTTTTGGTAAGAGTAGTATATAATTTAAACTCAGAAGGATAAAAGTTCGTTTGAATGAAAAAAAAAATCAGTTTTGCTCTTATATTCTAGAATGATTTACCAATTAAAGAATATGTTACCTAAATGCCTAGTATAAGTTTTAAACGTCCATGTTTAAGCTGGAGCTTGGAGTAAAAGCCATAAAATGTGAATAAACACCACTGCTAACTTGATAACATAGCACAAAACAGGGAATCCCTTTGGAGTGTTACTGGAAATTCCTAGTGATGCTAGCAGTGGTATCTCATAATAAAAGTGAATTTACAAAGCCAGTTTAGCATTTTTGCATGAAACATTGCTATTTAGTGATGTCCCTGGCTGGCACATGCTCAAATTTTATCCTCAGTGTAAACAGAAAAGCACACTTCAAACCTTTTACAATTTAGCAACTGGCTTAAATTAATAAATCTCTTCTAAATTCATTAACATTAAATTCATCAAAAAATAATGAAAAACATTGTGTGCTACAGTTTAATTTGACTTGTGATCTACATTCTTACTGTCTGTGAAAAAGAGATGCTTTCAAAGCACAGGCAGTTTAACTGGTGGGTAGAATAGTCGGAGAATAGTCACTGGAGTGAAGAGCCAGGAATGAGTCATGGGTAACGTAGTTTATTTTCAATGGAATGGTTTTGTTGAGTCAGGATTACTTATTTTCATCCTACAGTAAGTATGCATGACTGAAATAGATGGAATACATTACAGAAATCTGTTTCTGTTGGACATCATTTATGTTTATGCTGAACTGTGCAAATGAAAGAGAAAATTACATGTAGAGACTAATGGAGAACTAACTTTCCTTCAACATGTACACTTCTTTTTCTCTGAGAAGTTTGGAAGTGCCAGCAGGGCTTCCAAACTGAACATTGCCCAGTTCTCCACATCTGTTCCAGTCGGTAGCTTCTTATTTTCTGATGGTCCTCAAAGCAATGGCACATTACTGTGCCATAATTTAGTGACTTTAGAATATCAGTGTAGGGAAAGCTGCATTTGACAGATCCACTCTTTGTAGGAACCATGGCAAATCAATACTTCAGTGCCTTTTCAACACCAAGGGGTTGACAAATATTTCCAAAGTTAAATCAGGCATTCGTGCCTGTTTTCAAAAATATTGGCAATATTTCAGTCTAATGACAGCTCTTATACCAGAGGTTCATTGTTAGTTTACCATTTTTATTGTTTACATCATTTTTGGAGAAAAATAACATGTTTAAATTTATTCCTCTTATCTACTGCTTTTTGGTTTTTTGATACTGATTTTTCATTTAAATGCTATATTTTCCTGTTTTTTTTTAAAGTAGTCCTACATGTAAGTTGAATATTCACACTGATTTTTATTTCAAATTTAAATGATTAAATAGTCCCCCCACACCTTTACTCAGAACTAGTTTCTAAGTACAACTGAGCATTCGCTCAAAGCATATGCATTTCATATGCTGAACACTGTGTGTTTTAATAGTTTTTGTTTTGTTGCTTTGTTGTGGTTGTTCATCCTTCATTCCTGCAAAATGAAAACAAGTAAATGTCTGCCAGCTGCAGCGATTCCTGATTGAGGCTTTAAAGAAATTGTCCACAGTGCCAGAATCAGAGATTCACATTCTGTGTGGGCTTCTAGCATTTCTATGATTCCTTGGCAATTCAGACTGTCCCTGGCTCTCTATCACTCTGTTTTCAGGGTCGGGGTACTGGCCCTACACCGACGATGAGGATGTACGATACACAGGTAAACACACACATACACTCTGCTATGTATACATCTCTGAAACACACTCATGACCGTACTACTAAGGGGCTGCAAAACATGGTGGGGCCAGGTATCAGCCCATGTCTCTGTGATACCACTGCCTTTTATTTTAGCTCTCTTTCTCATTCCTCTTACCCCTTCTATGGCTGTTCCACTGTTCTCATTGCTCTTTTGCTTTGCTTTTATCCATGGCCACTCTGAAGGCTAACAGTAAGACACTCATCAAGGTAAGTGTATAAAACTTTCTGTTGCTTTTGCAGATGTCAATGTTGGTGTGGTTCTTCTCTTTCAGTGTTTGTCAGACCTCAGGGAAGATGTGCATGTGTGTGTGTTTATGTACTTGAATGTGTTGCAATCTGTCTTTTGTGTAGGTGTGCCATGGTGTGCTCCTGTCAAGGTGAAGCATGGCCATGTGAGCTGCCTTACGCCACATGGGGAGCGTTACCATAATGTTCTTGCAACCCGATGCAAGATCCAGTGCAAGAGAGGCTACGAGCTGCAGGGAAGCAGCGAGATCCTGTGCATGGCCAGTAAACAGTGGTCAGGAAAATACACATGCAGAGGTCAGCCTCATTCAACCAAAATGTAATACAGCCCAACACAACCTATCCACATTCACTGCATGCCCAAAACTATGTGGACACCCAAACATCACATCCGTAAGTGCTTGTTGATCTAATTCTAAAACTGTAGGTGTTAAATACCACCACCACACATATACTTTGCTGCTATAACAGGATCCACTCTTCTGGGATTTTTTTCTCGAAGAGTTTAAAAAGGTACATATTTGTACCTTTTCATAACCTAGTGTTTTAAAACAGAACAATAAAATAAAAAGGCTGGAGATAAGACAGGTTGTGTGAAGTCAATACTACTTAGAAAATATGATTTTGATATAATATTGTACAATTATGTACCCTAATTAAAAGTACTCAGATGTACCCTCAATGATACCACCCCAGTGACAAGAGGATTACTGCCCCAGTGACAGTTTCATAACTTTTTTTTTTTTGAAGAGTGTTCCTTTCTTTTCAGCCACAGGAGCTTTAGTGAGGTGGGGTACTGATGTAGGACTATAAAGCTATCAGGTTCCCAGTTTATTCCAGAGGTGTTTGATTGGGTTGTTAGGGTAAGAGAATGCATTTCCACTGCTGTAGAGCCCAGTGGGCTCCACCTCAGTCAACATTTGGCATTATACATGATCTTAAGCTTGTGTTTGGCTGCTGGGCCATAAAATTCTAATCCAGGAAGCTGTTGCCACAGACAATTTTTACATACTCTGCTTTCAGCATTCAGTTTTCCCATTCTGTGAGCTTGTGTGGCCTACTGCTTCATAACTGAGCTGATGTTGTTCAGAGATATTTCCACGTCTCAATATTAGCACAGCCATCCGTAGCTGGGAGTCCAAGAGAGCACACTTGGCCTCGCTCTCTCTGGGTCTGTAGGATAGCCCCTCCTTCTCCCCCCATCACTCAGCGCGATGCTAGTCAGTGCAAGTGTCTGTTAGCTGACGTAACAGAACTGGTGGTTGGCGCTTTCCTCCGAGCGTGTTCAGCTGTCCAATGACGTTGCGTGACGGTGGCTGGCTTCACAGGTCTCGGAGGAAGCCTTCACCCTCCTAGCCTTGATAATATTGTGAGATTGGGGGGAATCCTAACTAGCATTTGGAATTGGAGACGACTAAATTGGACAGAAATTTAATGAACTGACTTGTTGGAACTGTGATATCCTATGACATTGCCATGTTGAAAGCCAGTGTATATCTAGGGGTGTCTGCATGACTGTATGGCTGATTTTATGCTCCTGTTAGCAATGGGTGAGGAATTTCAGAAACCTCTAATTATACAAGGTGTGTCCACATAGTCTTGGCCATATGGTGTGCCTTATATATGCTTATACATCTAATGTAGGTTTAATAACGTAAGCAACCATCATGCAGTGGTTTGGCCAAAAAATAGGTTTGCACAGTTTTCCCTTTACCTCAAAAGCAACTGATTAATCAAAACACTTCTGGTGTCCAAAGCTTGTTTCTTGGTTGTTCAACTACATTTGGAGTAAAGCAGTGATGTGGAAGGGTGTTATTGGGTGATGAAATATTCAGCAGTGTATACGTGACGTGAACGGTGACGTCATGCAAAATAATTTGTCTTTTTTCATTTGATTTTTTTGACAATTTACATCAAACAGAACATGTTATGATGTGCCTTGACGTGGCGAGAGACGACAACATATACACATAACTGACACATCAGACTGCTGATGCACAACCTGAATTCTCTGCTCTTCCTCCTTCTGGGTGAACTTTATACAAATGAATGAGTGACATCCAATCAGACTGTGTGGTGTGGTAACCAAGTGTGTCATGCCCCCAGTCACACACACACTCGTAAAAAATATATAATGGTGATAAAAAAAGAACAAATTCAAAGAGTGAGACATCATTATGTTTTTAGGTTTAAAAACAATATTAAGCAGCACTTGGACTCTTAACCTGCATGTGTTTTAGTGACGCACCCCCAAAGCCACCAGCAGTGGGCGAGGGAAGCAATCCAGCTTGCTTTAGTGAAGATATATTGTTAACATAAACAGTGCAGCTACTGGAGGTCTTAAAAATACACTATATTGCCAAAAGTATTCACTCATCCATCCAAATCATTGAATTCAGGTGTTCCAATCACTTCCATGGCCACAGGTATATAAAACCAAGCACCTAGGCATGCAGACTGCTTCTACAAACATTTGTGAAAAAATGGGTCGCTCTCAGGAGCTCAGTGAATTCCAGCGCGGTACCATGATAAGATGCCACCTGTTCAACAAGTCCAGTCGTAAAATTTCCTCGCTACTAAATATTCCACAGTCAACTATCAGTGGTATTATAACAAAGTGGAAGCGATTGGGAACGTCAGCAACTCAGCCACGAAGTGGTAGGCCACATAAAATGACAGAGCGGGGTCAGCAGATGCTGAGGCGCATGGTGCGCAGAGGACGCCAACTTTCTGCAGAGTCAATCGCTATAGACCTCCAAACTTCATGTGGCCTTCAGATTAGCTCAAGAACAGTGCGTAGAGAGCTTCATGGAATGGGTTTCCATGGCCGAGCAGCTGCATCCAAGCCTTACATCACCAAGCGCAACGCAAAGTGTCGAATGCAGTGGTGTAAAGCAGGCCGCCACTGGACTCTAGAGCAGTGGAGACATGTTCTCTGGAGTGACGAATCACACTTCTCTGTCTGGCAATCCGATGGACGAGTCTGGGTTTGGCGGTTGCCAGGAGAATGGTACTTGTCTGACTGCATTGTGCCAAGTGTAAAGTTTGGAGGAGGGGGGATTATGGTGTGGGGTTGTTTTTCAGGAGTTGGGCTCAGCCCCTTAGTTCCAGTGAAAGGAACTCTTAATGCTTCAGCAGACCAAGGGATTTTGGACAATTTCATGCTCCCAACTTTGTGGGAACAGTTTGGGGATGACCCCTTCCTGTTCCAACATGACTGCGCACCAGAGCACAAAGCAAGGTCCATAAAGACATGGATGAGCGAGTTTGGTGTGGAAGAACTTGACTGGCCTGCACAGAGTCCTGACCTCAACCCGACTGAACACTTTTGGGATGAATTAGAGCAGAGACTGCGAGCCAGGCCTTCTCGTCTAACATCAGTGTCTGACTTCACAAGGGCACTTTTGGAAGAATGGTCAAAAATTCCCATAAACACACTCCTAAACCTTGTGGAAAGCCTTCCCAGAAGGGTTGAAGCTGTTATAGCTGCAAAGGGTGGGCCGACATCATATTAAACCCTATGGATTAAGAATGGGATGTCACTCAATTTCATATACATGTGAAGGCAGACAAGTGAATACTTTTGGCAATGTAGTGTATATGAATAAACCATAAAAACAAACTTCACACTAAAACAAGCAGATACAAGTCTTTGCTATGTTATTTAAGCAGCTGCAGTTAACCAACCCTGAAATCTACCACATTCCTGGAGTAAGGGGAAAATTGTATAAAACTGATTTTTTTGAACAAAGAAGTTAAACAGACAACTCATAAGAAACATCTGTGCTGCTGATCTGAACCCTTTCACTTACCATACCAATGTGATTTAGGCAGTAAAGATCAAAAAAACTCATGGCAAACAGTTTTGAGTCTGTTGACACAAAAGAGTAGCAGTTACCATTTTGATATTTTCTGGGCTGAGATGAGTGCACTATGTTTGCAGAGGTACGCTGTCCGAAGCTGGCCATGCCATCAAACGGTGGCTACAAGTGTTCTGATGGCTTCTACTTCAACTCTCGCTGCCAGTTCTTCTGCTCACCAGGATACACACTCCGCGGAGACCGCAGTGTTATCTGCCAAAGCAGCAAGACATGGAGCGGGGGCCAGAGTGTATGTCTGGGTGAGTGAGACAATCACAACACACACACAGGCTCTGAGTTAGTTTAGTCTGCAGGGGGTGCGGTGCAGTCACTGCTTGACCTCAAACTCAGCCTATGTGCTCAGGCATTGGCTCTCGAGCCCCCGAATGCTGTGATTTTATTGGCTCCCTACTGAAACATCTGCATGAATGATAGTTCATTATTAAAAGTGGGCAAATTTGCTTTTTTATGCATCTCTGAAGAACAGTTGCCAATGTGGGTAATTCTTTATTCTGATGGTACAAATAATGTTCAACTAAAATTCTGTTAAATGCAACAGAACTTGAAATTGACTCTGAACGATTCTGTTAAATCTAGCCTTAACCCATAACCTAACCCTAACCTTAAACACAAAACCTACACCTTATTGCTAATCCTAACCCTAACTATAATGTTGTTCAACCAGAAAATTTGTTAAGAATTTAAGTATCTGTAGACCCTCTATAGGGGACCATCAAAATGAAGTGTGACCCCAGTGTGTTTACAACTTTGTGAATTTTGACTTAAAGCGATGTTTTGACTTTTGACTTTGTGAATGTTCAACTTAAAAGCAATGGTTTGGTTAAAAATCATATTTTACTCCTTACCCCAAATGATTGTTGTTAGGCAAGACCAGGGTCACATTAGGCCATTCTTTGGCCATAGACTATGAAAAAGTTGAGGCCACCCCTTATCAAATTTGGTGAGGAAACTGGAGTGAGATTTTCATGTGTCTGGAGTGAGACTGGAGTGAGATTATCAATTTTGCATGCACAAATGTGTGACTATTAGGTGGCGTTCAAATTAATGTTTGCAGTGTATCAGTGGATACTCATTGTTACACTGCAAACATTAATTTGAACCCTAGCTCATAAACATTAGTAGGTAGACCCTTGGTTCTCAAACCAGTCCTCAGGGATCCCCAAATAGTCCACAGTTTGTCTCTAACCTAACTCCAAAAACTTCAAACACAACACAAACACAACACTGAATACGTGTTCTACAATAACCTCCTCTTTCAGCAGTGCCGATTAAGCCAGTTTTAAACCAAATGCAACACAGCACAAGTGGCAAGAGTGAACCACAAATAAAGTCTTTGATATAATCAGACATACAACTTTGATAGAAAGAAAGTAATATATTGCAGTGTTGGTGGCAGATGATCAGGAGAGTTAAACTAAACACGAGGTTAAACTTGAGCATGTCAGTAGATTACCTGAGGAATTTAGCACAGACCGGTATTGTAGCAATCTTAGAACAAGAGAGAACCCCAAAGCTCCAGCTTTTTAAAGCTGCTCCTCGCCCCAGGAAAAATTGACATATAACATGCTGGTGATATAAATAAGCAGAAGGTGCAGAAAATACAGTACAGCCAATCTCTTATCACTAAGCTACAATATGACCCAGTCAAATGTCATCCTGTAGAAAGTACAAGAATAGTCACCTGCATGTTTATTCTGAGCATGTAGGTTGATTGGCCATTCAGTAGCTTGAGATTTTTGCGCGGCACGAGAGCTTGAGAAAAGAACCAAAAGTATAAGACCACCTTATATTATGAAAAAAATATTAATAAAATACTAATACTAAAAAACATTTGGTAGGACTAATCTGACTAATTAATTGGCCAGAAACGTAAAGCATGTTAAAGATACAAATTTATTTTTTTAAGCCCTTGATACAAGGTGCCCTGCATTTGCTAGTACTAGGCTGGAGTCTATGTCTTAATTGCGCTTCATTAGTTTTGCACTGGAGCTACAAGGCCAATGTAGCTAACAAGTAGAGAAAGCTCATAGCCACCAGTTTGGTATTATGCAACCTGCGTTATTAAACTGTCTCACATTTGCTTCATACTGTGTTGATTTATTAAGTAAACTCATATAGACTTGCTTATTTAGCTTCTGGCAAAGTCTTGGCTAATTAACATTTAGAGTTATGTGAAAACTGTGTAAATTTAAAGCAAACCATTGTTGATGCGTAAGGACATATTGTGGTAGAGTGCTAAGGTACTCATATTTTCACAGATGTGGATCCTCCAAGCATTAAATGTCCAAGTGTGAAAGAGAAAACAGCAGAGCCTGGAAAATTAACTGCAAAAGTGACCTGGGATACCCCAGAGGGCAAAGACACAGCAGATGGCATACTCACAGAGTCAGTATCTTCTTAAATCTCTCTTTGTCATTGTCTTTCTCACACACACATGCACAGTGATCGCCTGAAGTTTGTGATCTATAGACATAAGCAGACCCTGTGTGTCTCTACCAGGCTTATAACGTTCTTCTACCAGGCCTGTAAAGCAAATGTTTTTGTTCCTGCTTGATTCAAGCAATTTTGCCTCCAGCCTTCATGATTTGGCCCTGAAAAACTCTATACTTTCTTTAGCAATATGTCTCAGGTCATTGTCTCATTGCAATGGAAAGCAGCATCCACTGAGAAATTTGGTTGGATCTGAGCGGTAAAACTGCTTCTTTACACTTAATAATTTCGTCTTACCTCATAATGAGTGAACAGCCGTGCATATCCATGCCACAGTAGTGGTGTGCTTTGGATCATGAGCAGTTTGTTGTCCTGTAGGGTGAGTTCAGTAAAAGTGGAACATCAGGTAGGGACAAATGTGCCTAAGGCTGCATTGCTTTTTGAGTGACAGGAGCCAACCAAATGCATTTGTTTCCACTGGTTGTGGCAACACTGATCTAGGCATGTTCATAATTTAAAAACGTCTGATTCCTCCAAGCACAAAAAAAACATGTATAATGATGGCAAATCAAACAGTAAGAGCTTCTCTTGTTTCTTTTAAAAATGAAGAACTGGCCAATTAATATTATCGATGATGATTGGTTAGCTAATGAAAACAAAATTATATTTAATTATTTGACAAATTGCATTTTGTTCTGTCCCATCTTTAATAAACATGCTAGTGAGACACTTTTTAAAGCCTTTGTGGTACATTGTTATCATTTATTATCACAATTCTAAGAGCTAACATGTGCCCACTGTGACCACTGTGGCATGCAACAGTTATCAGTATATTTAAGCTGGGATGTTTCAATAAAGGCCTAATTATGTATGCATAATTTCTTAGACATATTTTACATTTCACAATAATAATGGTATCATCTCTGTGTGGTATGGCATAGAGAAGCCTGCAGTCACTAAAAGTAAAAATGTGTAGCTCATTCTTTTAGGGCCTACATGGTTTACACTAGCTTCCAAAAGTGTCACAATTCAAAAGTTTACTGTTTTCAATTTGAAAAAAGCAGGTAAAAATATGATTAAAGTGATTCTTTTATGACGCTACTCTAAAACTTAACAGGTTCATAATTAGTAGGATCTAATTGCAAATCCAATTCCAAAAAAGTTGAGACATATGTACAATGCAAATAAAAACAGAAAGCAGTGATTTATAAATCTACTTTGACTATTGTGAAATGTTTAGAAAACATCTTAAACAGGTGATGCAATCAAGTTTGGAAATAAATAGGAGCATATGAGAAATGCTTAGTCTTTTATAGTGGGATGGGTGGGTTGAGACCACTTTGACAAAAATTACATTCCTTAGACAGGGACTGCAAGGATTTTAGGTATTTTACCCTCTGCAGTGCATGATAACATCAAGAGATTCAGGGAATCTGGCTAAATCTCTATGCGTAAAGGACAATGCCAAAAACCACCACATGGGCTCAGGAATACCTTGAAAAAATACTGTTAATAAACCCCGCCCATCACTGCATCCAGCAATATTGGCTGTCTTTTCAGCATTGTCTTTCTGGGATGTTCATACTTACTTCGACATGACAAGACCAAGCCACTTTCTGCTGAATACACATTCAATGGCTGAAAAATCATAGAGTGTAGGTGCTAGACCTGCCTGCAGTCCAAAACTGTTTCCCATTGAAAAAAATATGAAGCTCAAAATACAACAACTAAGGGCCTGTACGGTTGCACAGCTGAAGACTAGTATAGCAGAAGAATGGCAACAAATTCCACTTTCAAAACTGGATCAGTTTGTGTCTTCAGTCCCCAAATGATTACTAAATGCTGTTAAAAGGAAAGGTAATGTAACACAGCGGTAAACCTGTTTCTGTCCCAACTTAATAATAAGCTCATAAAGTAAATCATAAAAGATTGTATTTTATACCATGTCCACTTTATTACAGGTCAGATTTACTAATCACTGCTTTCTGTTTTTATTAGCATTTCACATGCTGTCCCAACTTTTTTGGAATTGGGTTTGTAATAGGATGCTATGAAAAAAAGTCTCCAGAATGATGAACAGAGCTGTAGAAGATTAACAGAAACACAGCAGATGTGAGAAAAGGCATCTTGGTCAACTGGACCTCGCCTACACAATCTAGCATAACTCAGTGGTATAAAACAATATATAATATCCTCCTCTCGAAAGATTAGCTTATTGTGTGTTGTATTGTACATTATATTATCATACTCTGTGTCTTATTTTTGCTATAATAAACAAGACTGGAGGGAAAAAAAAAATACACTGTCCACTTTATTAGACACTCCTATCTTGGTGTATCTTGTAGATGTAGAAGTCAGAGACGCTCATCTCATAGTTCTCATAGCTCATAATTATATGTCTACTCGGACCTACATATGTATAGATATTCATATCTCCATATGTACAGATATATCTCTTTAGCTCCTTTCACACATATCCTGTTTATTGTATTTTTATTTGTCCTTTAAAAACAATATTTATCTGGTCTGTGTGCTTGTCTGGTCTGTTCACTCACCAAGATAAATTCCTTATATGTGTAACATTTTTTGAGAAATAATGGGATTATGGTTCTGCTTTTCATTCTGATTTGTTGCTGCACAGTTTGTGTCAGTCATTCTCTAGTCTTTCATCAGTGGCCACAGGATGCTGCCCACAGGACGTTGCTGGATTAATAATTTTGGTTGGCGGACTCTTCTTAGTCCGGCAGTGATATTGAGGTGTTTAAAACTCCAACAGCACTGCTGTGCCTGATCCATTTATACCAGTGCAACACACAGTAACACACCACTGCCACATCAGTGTCACTTCAGTGCTGAGAATGACCCACCACCCAAATAATACCTGCTCTGTTTTGGTCTTGTGGGGGTCCTCACCAGGGTGAAAGGGGGCTAGTTCACCATGGTAAATGGAGCTGATAAAATGGACAAAGAGTGTAAAAACAAGGATGTGTACTAAATAAAGTGACCAGTCAGTGTATGTCCATATACATTTCAATATGTTAGTAAATTAGAAAGTGAGATATGTGACACATTTTGTTTTGGCTCTATACTCCAGCTCAATGGATTTGAATTTAAATATGGTTATAAACTTAAAGTGTACTGTCAGTCAGCATATAGGCAACTGGCATCTATATTGGTTTACAACAGCATGGCATCAGATAGTTTATCGCAAGACATTGTTTAATTTAAGGTTTAATAATAGAATGGCCAGGTTACAGTCTGATAAAAAGTAAGGTGAGCTCAGCAAAAGAAAGACTCATTGGTACACAGTCTCACAAAAAGGGACATTCACAAAAAAGTGATATGTCTATTGTATTTTTGTGAAGTGACACATAACTACTTAATGTAAATGTAAAACTGTATTGAAAGTCATTTTTATTTAGATATTATAGCCCTTAAAACACAGTTAGATACTGTTTTTTCACGTAAAGTGTGGCATTGCTTCAAGCTTATTTGAAATGTATTTGCTGTAGCCCACAGTATCAACAATCATTAACTACATTGACTTATTATTTTTATAAACAAGCAACATTAGAAGGATGAATTTCAACAAATTCTATACTCTGGTACTGATACCTGATGGTATACTCTGCATATGAGGCTTCCTCCTTGACTCCTTGCTACATTCTTCTATATCACATTTTATTCTGTCTTCTCTTCTTTCATTCTGTCCTGTCTCCAAATGTCTCAAGATTCATCCTTCTCCTTCCTTTATGCTGTCTTTTTTGTGTGTCCTCTCTGTGTGGTTTAGGAGCCATTTTGCTAAACAGAGAGTGTGCCCTTGTTTGCTTGACATTCAATTCATAAATCTGGTCTAGTTGTTGAAAATTAAGTGAGCTGCCCAATTATAGAGCTGTATGTTAGGAACACCTAATCCACTTGAGCCTGTTAGGACCTGCAGTATCCCCAGGCAAGATGCTCATTTTAACTATGCTCACTCTACCTAATAAATATCAGGGAAGACATGGCCAGCGTTGCAAATCACTTTTAATTTTCAGCATGAGTGGAGGAATATTATGCTTAACCAAGCTGTCTAGACAAGGTAATATCTACATATAATAGGCCAGTGGGGCCCCAGGTGAATGGCAGCAGGTTCATTGGATTGTTCTGAACTACTCTAATAGGCATTGCTACAGATTTGGAGAAGTTGATCTTATAACCTGGAAAGCCAAAATGTGTAATTAGTTCAATCAATCAGGGAAAGGAAGGGTTTGGTTAATTAATGAATAATAGTGTATTGTCAGCATAGAATGATAAGCAATGGTTAGATCCATAAACTGAAATGCAATGAATATCAGGGTCAGTTCTGATTGCTTCAGCTAATGGTTCAATAACAATACTGAAGATTAGGAGTGCCAGTGGGCAACCCTGCTTGGTGTCTCTACCAATGCTGATCAGGTCCGAATGCCGGCCATTGGTAATAATATGAGCAACAGGGTTCTTATATAATATCTGGATCCATTTAATAAAGTATTCCCCACACCCAAAATGACTTCATAGATTAAGCATGTATCCCCATTCCACCCGATCAAAGGCTGCTTCTGCGAAATAATATCTTCTTTAACGATTTGGGCATGTTGTGTAATATTAAGTACATGTCTAACATTGTTGAAAGAATGAACCCAGTTTGGTCTGGGTGAATGACACTGGATTTTTGCTAAGATTGTGGCATGGACAGACAGTAGGGTAATAGGTCTATATGAAGCTGGATTTTTGTCCTTTTTCAAAATGAGTGTTATATTTGATAATCTTAGGGATGGTGGGAGGATTCCTCTATCAAATGCATCTTGGTACATACAGAGTACATTGAACCCATCAGGACCTGGGCTTTTGTTACTGGGGAGGGCTTTAATTGCTTCTATTAGCTCACTCTGTGTAAGTGGATCATCCAAGATTTAATTCATCACCCTGCTGGAAATGTATTAATGCAGGTGAAAGTCTAAGAAAAAAAAGACATTAAGGGATCAGAGCTGGTACACTGTGATTTATATAGCTTTACAAAATACCACTTAAAGACCTCACTGATGTCCTTATTCAGAGTTTTCCTGTCGAGCATATAAATGTACTGTGCCAGCTTTCTTTTTTGCTGTGGTTTTCCCTGAAGCCTTTATTAAATAATTCTCTGTTCCGTTTTCAGGTTTGATCTGCGGCAGATTATCTCTTCTTTTTTTTGGGAGACAGAAGAGATTATTAACCCTCTAGCATATGCCTTTAAAGCTTCTCATATCAGAGAGGGATCATTGGATTCTGCATTGTTGACAAATATAAATATGTTTAGTTCATTTATAATGTAACTCATAAACTGAGGATCTTTAGTCAAGTAGGTGAGAAATCAACAAGATCGTGACTGAGGTTCAACATTGGTAGGGGTATACACTAAATATACTGAGGCATGATAAGAGATTACAATATCACCAAAAGAACAATCAGTAATGTTAGCTACCATGCTACTGTCGGTGAGGAGAAAATCAATTCTTAAAAAAGTTTGGTGCATAGAGGAGTAATATGTAAATTCCCTTCCTTTAGGATTATAAAGCCTCTATAAGACCAAATTCATGATATATTTCTGCAAGACCAGTACATAATACGGACCGAAATGGACAGGATTCATCTAACACATTGTCCCATATGCTGTTGAGGTCCCCACCCAATATGACATTGCTGTAAGACCAGTCCCTTAACTTGGTATATACCTACATGAAAAAGTTGACATCAAAAACATTGGTAGCATAGACATTAGCCAATATTAAGGGTTCATTATGTTATGTTACCTTAACCAAAACAAAATGTCCAGCTGGATCTTTTATAGTCTCCTCAAATATAAACAGCCAATTTTTATGTAGGAGTATGATGACCCCTCTGCTTTTAGTGTTATAAGATGAATATATAATTTTTCCTACCCAGTTTCATTCATTTTCTGTTGCTCCTTGTCACTGATGTGTTATTCTTGTAAGAATGCAATTTGTACACGTTTGTGTTTTAAATAGACCAGTAGAGCTGCAACAAACAACTATTTTGATAGTCGAATAATTCATTAATTATTGAAACAAATACTTGATTATTTGGATTATGAATTACTCAATTACCAAACAACTTAGCTTTCAAATTTAGCTTGAGGTTCTTTTATGCATTTGCTAACTACCAGTGAAGACAAAGATGAATATCTTTACTGTTTTAATGAACTTTCCTGCTTATAAAAAAACAACCATATATTTTTCCTGTCAAAATTTAAAATCAATGATGTGCAAAGGAGCAGCAATAAAATGTAACATAGTTAAATCAGTATTCCCTTAATCACACCAACAGGTTCTCTGTGCTTCACCAACCACAAAATCATATCTGCACATAAACATCACACAAACAATAAACAACACACAAGCATGAGTGTTGATTCTTTCTGTTATATAATTCTGTCCTACTTTCTGAGTGCAATATTCTTAAAATAGTATCACTTTGGACAGTACCTTTCTTACACCGTCGCTCTATAATGGTACTGAATGCAGTCCATAGCGATATGGCGGCACCATTGACGTGCCTGGCTGAACCCATTGTGGCCTCAATGTATATATATATGATTAACACTCTCCAGCCATAAATGTGAGTTGCGTTCAAATTCGGCAAGCACTGGCAAATGTTTGTGGCAAACCTGTTCTCTATAAACAGTTAAATTTGAATTATTTTGTATAAACATTCCATTTCAACAGTAACCCTTCATCCAGCTACCCTGTGTGTTCACGGAGAAGTACCTCCTGAAACTATTTGCGAGTGTTGGTAAACGTTAGTGGAGAACTCAAGGCAAACAGAAAACTGTTTGCAACTGTTTGCAAACGTTCTCCTATGTTTTCTGAATTTGAACACACATCTGGCCTTGACATTAAGACAATGCAGTACTAAGAATAACCCACCATCCAAATAATACCTTCTCTGTGGTGGTCTTGTGAGGGTCCTGACCATTAAAGAACAGGGTGAAATGTGGCTAACAAAGTATGCAGAGAAACAGAGGACTACAGTCTGTAATCATAGAACTACAAAGTGCACCTACTAAGTGGAGCTGAAAAAATGGACAAAGAGTGTAGATACAAACAGGTGTACTTAATGAAGTGGCTGGTCAGTGTATACAACCTGCATGTATTGTGATGCTTGATCCTTCTTAAATATGTGCCATGTATCTCTGGTTTACAGTGTGATTCTAAAGGGGAAGCCTCCAGGCACACATTTTCCAGAAGGAAATCATAAACAATCATACACTGTTTTTGACCGGGCTGGAAATAAAGTTACCTGTAGATTCAACATCAGAGTGAAAGGTGAATCATACACATACACATAAAAAACACTTCCATCCACATAAATATAGGCTACTAGATTTTTGTCACATTTGATCCATGAACCTTATAAAACAAATTTTAACATCTGCAATAATGCAGCCACATTGCCACGCAAGTCACAACACAATTCTAAAAATGGCAGGAAAACTGACGAATCTGATTATTTAAGTATAAATGTTAATGTTTAATTGTCATTCTGGTACACAAACGTACTGAAAGTGGCACAATTTCACAATAGCTAGCTCACATTTTGTATGTGTGTGTGTATACATATTACAGTGCGCCGTTGTACCCCACTGTCAGTTCCTGAAAATGGCTGGATGAAGTGTGACAGTGCTGGGGATAACTATGGGGCCACATGCAATTTCCGCTGTCTGGGAGGTTATGAGCTGAGAGGCAGTGCTGCCCGAGTTTGCCAGTTCAACATGGAATGGTCCGGTATCGAGACCAGCTGTGCAGGTACATATATGCTTAGATGTGAACATTTCATACACACACACCTCAGCCAAACAAGAGTGATACAAATAAACCTCCATTCTCATAATGGTCATTAATATCTTGAAATTCATGCAGCTTACTAACAGTGTATTTCATAGAAAAGGATCTGTGCATATACACAAGCTACAGTGCTGTGAAAAAGTATTTACCCAATCCCAATTTCTTCTATTTTTTGCATATTTGTCACACTTGAATGTTTCAGATCATCAAACTACTTTTAATAATTTTTGGAAGACATGGGTCCCGTTACATCCGGGGCTCTGCATTCCACCTTAAGAACAAAATTCCTCCACAGCTATGTAAAAGATTAATTGCAAGTTATCGTAGACATTTGATTGCATTTGTTACTGCCTAGGGTGGCACAACCACCCATTAGTTTTAGGTGGCAATTCCTTTTTTCGTGAGTGATATAGGTTTTGAATAAATCTTTGTCTTCAATAAATGGAATGACTGTTTAAAAGCTGCATTCTGTGTTTACTTGTTTTGTCTTTGTCTTATATTAATATTAGTTGGATGATTTCAAAATATTTGAATGTGACAAACTGGCAAAAATAGAAGAAATTGGGTGAGGGGCAAATACTTGTTTACAGCACTGTATCTCATCATCATGTAACATTCAGGGCACTATCTTTGTGGTCATAGCACAAAAATAAGTAGTGAAACCTGGCATTGCTGCATGTGGGTTTGACACAGAGATGGAGAGATGAGTCTGAATCTCAGTCACACTTGAGTTGCATGTTGACTAACTAGGACTTGCCCTTAACTCACTCTCAATTAGGACTTAACTCTTAGACTGATTTCTGATTAAAAGCTGATTAATTTCAGACCGCCAACCTTAATGCAGCAAATAAAAGCTTTTGTTTTCAACCTTATGTGTGGTTTTGCTACGGTCAGTCATTACTGCAATGCCATTTCCCGCAGCTGGCTGAGCCAACAGATTTAGTATGGTCACAAATAACAAGTCTTTCATTATAGAAAATGTTTCAGTCTGATGGACAAAATGAAGTGCTATATGTAGTAAATGCAGAAAGAGACAAAACTACTTCATATGATTGGCATGTAGTTTGGATTGCAAGCATGTTAGCTAGTGCAATTACTGAAACCTCAGCTGGATTAGCTGTTATGCTTGCTAACTAGCTTACTTGCTATACACACTGCAGGCTAACCAACCATTTCAAGTTGTTTTGCTTCTTTCCTTTAAACAGTGCATTTACTTATGTATAGCTCTTCAGTTCTGTCCTTTAGGCTGAAAGTTGTTCTATTGTGCAATGAAATGCCTGCAGATAAGAAGAGGTAAGACTAAACTATCTCTAGACTCAAGACTTGATTTGTCCTCATGCAGCTCCTGAAGCAACTTGTGATCATTTCTGGTGTAGAAGATACATTTTGGTATTTTCATGACCATTGGCACAAACGCTAACCTGGTACAAAGCGCTGCAGTTGCAAAAATAGGCAAGGTTACAATGAATACATTACCAACAGCTGTGCTCAAGCATGCTGCAACAGTATCTATTCAGATCACCTCCTCTCATTCCCTTTAACACTCAAGTGTGCAAGGTGGCACAGCACAGTGATATTTTCCTATAGCTACCTTTGTAGAAAACAGATGTGTTCCATTACTTCTACAGATAGTGAAAAAACTGATCATCTTATAGATTTCACAGAAATATTTTAGCAGTGTGCTAAAAAATAAATAAGAAGATTAAAGATTAAAAAGCTGAAATTAAAGCAGATAAAATATTTTTTTTGGTCAAGCACTGTAGTCCATCAATAGTAGCTGTAAAAGTTGAGAAACATAACGGTGACATGACTAACATAACAAAAATGATTCCTTACTTATTCCTAGTATAATAGTTTTAACAACTCAGCACATTAATAAGCAATTTAGTTGGTGTATGTGATCATGTATGTATACTGAATATTTCACAACAGCTTTGGATGTGGCTCAGTCAGATTTTAGTTTTGTTAGTCATTGAATTGATTGTATTAATCATATGATGTTCCATGCCTAATAACTCGTTGGTTATTTGGAAGCTACAACACAAGGTGTTTGTCTTCATTAGTTACAAATAAAATTATTTAGTTAGTAATGTTTACTTTACTGAAACTGTATGTTCTTATTGAAGTGAGTAATATAAATAGTGTTGAAGAAACAAGACAGGACATTGCACCTACACTGGCTTTTGTTCTAAAAGTATGTCTGTGAAGGCAGCAGTGCTGTGAAGTGCTATTTTGGATTAAAGTGGGTTTGAAAATAGCATGATGGTTTTTGAATGTCACACTCCTTGCTGCACTTCTCCAGCCACGTCATTCACTCACATAATTTCTGACCACCAATATAGCAACTTGGCGCAAATGGCACAAATGTGCTTAGGCACAACCAAAATAACAATGTGTTAGTGTCACATCATTATACTGTGTTTGAGTCTGCATGAAAAGGGCCCTCAACTCAATTAGTTTTAAATTTGCTTCTTAAAATCTCCTTAAGATTTTTCTAAAAACACACAGTAAGCCTGTATGCTTTGGATGGAAACTGAGGCTTCTGTGAGGTCGCTGAAGAGGACAGGTGCCGAGCTATAGTCTTCCAAGGGTCGCATAGCCAAGTATCCAAGATCTGGTTCTGTGTGGAGAACCATGATTGAAAGGCTTGGATGGGTGAACATGTCTGTCAGTGTTTCTCCCATGATCATCCCACCCCCGTGGTGATGTCCGGACAGCAAGGGAGGCCATCCGGACAGCGATCTAGGAGGAGAGGGGTTGGTGATACCCAGACCTGGGAAATAGGCACCCGCTAACATGAATGTGGGAGGAGGTGGGGGATCTGGCCATGTGAGGCTCAGCCTTTCCACCACCCCAACCAAAACGTCTGTAAGTTCCTTATTGTAAGAATCTTTATGTGCAGTAAGTAGCTTAGTTTACCCTGTCCACACGACGCAAGACGAAAATGAGTTAAATTTCGTAAATTAGCATGAATAGTACTCTGTGCTACTGGGGAAGCACTAAGTAGAAATCCTGAAAAGAAATGCTGCAACAGGCTGTGCAGTGGCATGGCTGAATAAGCAAGAATGACATTGTTAGGCAATACAGGGATTATTATAGATCTCAAAGTGGAGGGACATATGCCACTGCCATGGGCCTATGCCTGTCCAGCCTGAGGCTTAGACGTCACTTGGGTGGTGGAAAGGTTTAAACTTATTTGACATTTTTTATAGAGAGTATTCCATTTATGCCATAGCGAGTCTTCTGTTAAGATCAAGACCACTTGAGAGAGATGAAAGGAGAGAAACAGAATACACAAAAGCCAAGCCTCAACTCATAACACTTCACAATAGTGCCACAGCTGCGCATATTAAAGTCTGAGCCCTGCACTACTATACAAAGGAATTTACTGATGCTAATATCTTAAGGTCAGTAGTGCTTCAAGATGCTTGACAGTGCCTTAGGGTCATCATGTTCTTGCAAAGCTAAACAGTGCTCATATGGAGTGGAGAGATACCCAGATCAAAAATAATTCTCATCAGCACACCTTATATGCTTATATCATTAACATAATCGAATAAGCACACCAATAACACAAAAGACAGAAACCTACATTTCTTACAAGCAATAGGCTACCATCCTGCTGTAACCAATGAAGGACCAAATAAGAGCATTTTAGTCATGCGAAAATCAGGACCATCAGAATTATTTCTCCCTTTTCTTTTGCAATTACAGCTATGAACATAAATGTTGGAGTGAGATCTGCAGCTGAACTACTGGACCAGTTTTATGAGAAACGGCGCCTTCTTATAATCTCTACCCCCACTGCTGCTAATCATTATTACAGATTCCAGATGTCTAATTTACAGGTAATGTCATCTTTTTTTTATTATTATTATTTTGCTATGTCATTTGGTGTGTACTATGGGACATGAAATTCCTTCTCCCGTGGGGCCATTGGATGAAGATGATTCATCTCGGTAAGATACGCCGCTTCCCAAACCGCATACTAGATCACTAAATAGTGTGTAAACATAGCGCATATACCATTAGAAGTGCACTCAATGTAGTGTGTGAAGTACAGAACTGTGTGTGGTTTGGGACGAGGCGATAGTTGTGCTAGCGAGCTAGTTAGCTAATGTTAAATTCCGTCCTACTTCATGTTGTGAGCTGAGCTGAGCGTTTTCTATTTTGAAAAGCAGGTTCTCTGGTATCGTTAATGGAGTTGGAACAGAGAAGCAAGTAACTATTATTCACAGCGACCCTGTTCACTTTCCAGATAACGCTTACAGTGCATAACATTGCATCGTCGTCTTAACGCAGAGGCCGCCGGTGCGTTCAAATTCGGCGAACACTAAACAGTTTTCTGTTCTCCGCGAACGTTTGGCTCCACTCGCCAACAGTTTAAGGACGTAGTTCTCAGTGAATACACAGGGTAACTGGACAAAGCGTTACCGTTTCAAATTTAACTGTTTTGAGAACAAGTTTGCCACAAACATTCGCCACCTTCCCATTCGCTCCATCAGAGCGCATCTTCTCTGCAGCGGGGAGTATCTGCTCTCAGAAGAGAGCGAGCCTCTCACAAGAGCACGGAGAGATACTGACTTGCCTCTGATTGACTAAAGATCTGTGATTATAGAATTTAGTTGCAGCAAAGTGTAGACAGACAGCAGAATGCACAGGTCACAGACTGCACAGTTTAAATGTAGCATTTAAATTTAGATAAATGTTTTTATTTATTTGATTAAAGGAAAACAGATTTAGTTTTGTTATATTTTCTTGCTGCTGCTTTGCACATCCTTGGTTATAAATTGTGACAGGAAAAATATTGGAGTTTTATTTTTTTTTCTTTTGTATTAGCAGGAACGTTCATTTAAGCAGTGAATTCTTGAATGGTATTCATCTATACGGTCTTCATTGTTAGTTAGCAAATGCATAAAACAACCTCAAGCTAAATTTAAAAGCTAATAGCTGCATAAAAGTTATTTGGTAATGTAGTGATTCATAATGCGAATAATCGATTATTCGTTTCAGTAATCGATTGATTATTCGACTGTCAAACTAGTTGTTTGTTGCAGCCCTATTTCTTAACAGGGGCAAAAAAATGCCCAGCCCAGCGCTACCTCAACACAAAACACAGAGAAGGGGTAAAGCAGGAGGACATTGTACACAAGACACATCTAACCAATAGTTGTGCTACAAAGGGACTATGGTGCTCTCTGAGAGCCACTTTGCATTGCCAGGCCCCCTGAGCTCCCCACAGCTGCCCCCGCCTCGCCAGGGGGCTGGATATCCTGGTGACCTGCCCAGCCCAGACATAGACCCTGGGGTATGCGGCATCGTAGCCAGTCCACCATCCCAGCCAGCACAAGTGCCATAGGCTGCGTGCTCTTAGGCAGTGGGTGCCCCCAGTCCTTTCTTGTGGCCATTTCCTTAGAGCAGCGTCTCCTTGGCGTACCCAGCTGTGGGTGTACTGTCCTTTTCTGTCCCTTGCAGTCAGCCCAAAACCAGCTCTGTGAGCATCCCCTGCATTGATGCACTGGAGTGGAGAGACTAACCTTGCTCTCGGCTGGCGTGACCTGTCCGGAAAGGGAAAGGTATAGTGCTTGGTACCCCCTTTTTTCTCAGGCGATGTCTTCTTTAGCAGAGGCATGAAATGCCCAGCCCATGCAACCCCAACACAAAACACAGGGACAAGGTAATGCGGGAGGACATGACACACAGGGAGGGTATACACTTCTAACCACTGGTTGCACTTCAAAGCCCACCCTCCTCAGACACATTTACTCTAATAAACACAATTACTGTGACAACAACACCAACAATATCAGTAACAACAGCAAAAATAATTGTCCTTTTCAACTAGGAGTATGGCGCACTCTGAGAGCAACTTTGTCACTCCCCCTGAGGTCAAGTCAACGTTTATTTATATAGCACTTTTTACAACAGACACCATTACGAAGCAGCTTCACAGAAAAATCTGAGTCCAAGTGCCCATGAGCAAGCCAGTGGCAACAGTGGCAAGAAAAACTCCCTAAGAGCAAGAAGAAGAAACCTTGAGAGGAACCAAGACTCAAAAGGGGAACCCATGCTCCTCTGGTCGACACTGAATAGCAAACAAAAACAGAAGAGCAATATGTGCAGAAAATAAGATTTGACCATTAGTATAAGTGTTAGATATGGAAAAGGGGAAAAGCAGGAGAAGCGTTGGCTATAATTTAATAGTTCAAGTCTGTGCATGCAGCAGTATCAGCAGGAGTGTCGGTGGCATGCAGGTGAGGTTTGCACAGCATGGTACAGCTCCATGGTGGTCAAACTGGTCCAGAAGGCCATAATACTCTATATCTATGAACCCCCAGATCTGCACCCTTTTGAAAACTATTACCAAAGGCTTGACTAAACAAGTAGATTTTTAGCCTAAACTTAAAGGCTGAGGCTGTGTCTGAGTCCCGAACACTGACTGGAAGATTATTCCAAAGCTGGGGGTCTTTGTGTGAGCTCCCCATGACAGCGGGGCCTGTAGAGGATGCCATAATATTACATGTATTAAGTTGCTTTTTAAGTAAGCTTTAAAAAGAAATATATTAGTAGGTTACTTTTAAAATGCAACAGTATGCTGAATCAGACTGCTTAAAGCTGATCAACTTTGCAAGAGCCTGAAATACTCACTTGTGACATTAAATTGCTAATATGTACATGCATGTGTGTGTGTATGTGTGTGTGTTTCAGCATTCGCAATGTGGCTTGGACCTGAGACATGTGACTGTGATTGAGCTAGTGGGGATTTATCCAGCTCAGATAGGGCGCATCAGACACCGACTTATACCCTCAGGACTGGCCCTACAACTCAGGTATTCATTAACCTCAGAACACAGTGTGTCTGAACAGGTGTGCAACTTAAGAGATTCAGGTTTTTTGCATGTGTGAGCAAGAAACCACTTAAGTGCATGCTAAAATATATGTCTCAAATGTCTTAGCAAAATCTTGACTGTACAGCATGAATCATACGTATTGGTCAGTGAGGTTAAAATTCCAGGAATTTGCAATACAAATATCCAATTTATTTTAAATGGAGATACAGGTGAACGTAAATACAGAACGTAATTTTTTTTTTTATTTCTAGGTAGCATGTTTCATACAGGTTAAACCAGTCTCGTTTGTTGTGTTTAGCCCCTGTCCCAGTACTTCTGATTGTAAATCTTATATTCAGTCTCTGAGCAATCAAGAATGGCACTCAGACCCTTTTAATGTGGCAGCTCAGTGGCCAGCTATGAAAAACACTATACTTTTGTTGAAAGAACAGATGAAATTTTCAAATTGATAGAAAAGCCTAAAACGTTCTAAACAAATGTATTGGTATTTCAATGAAATAAAAACCCAAGCAGAAGTAAAAGTAACTTTTTGTGATTTTTCCAGACTAAAATAAACTGATAAGACTTGAAGGTAAAATATATGACCTAGAGCAAAGCAGATCAGGAGCTAATTATAATATTGCAATTTAACAAAACTTGACGTACAAATCCACCAAAATTATACCTAAGTATATGCAACCGACCAAGCCTTTAAATCAGCTGTTAGGTTTTTCTAACAGAATTTTGTCTTTCCAAAGAGTCACATGCATATGGACACTCTGTTACTGAATGCATACTGAACATCTGTTGTAGCAATAACTGTTACTTTACTCTGTGTTGTGTTTAACAGACTGCTGCTGCAGCTGTCCCAGAACTCATTTAACCTGGTGCTGCTGGATAAGCAGGGAGTGGACAAGCAGCGCTACACATACCCCATCACAGCAGCAGAAATCTTCAGTACTATTGATACCTTCCCCCTGCGCACTGAAGAGTCCATCCTGCAGAAAGAGGCAGGACACAGCTGCTAGATAAACATGCGTTCACACACAAACACATATACACTCAAGCAATCCTCCATCTATTCCTACTTGGTTTAAAGGTAACCAGACTACATGGAGAAACAGGGCAGAGCTGCTACATACACAAATACGAATGCATGAGAGAGTTTCTTTTGTACTTGTGTATTTTTAAAGTGCTTTACTATATTTTGTGTTTTTACACATATATATATTTATGTTAATATGTGTCAGAATGGATAGTCTGCCCACCTTCTGGCAGTCCAGTCAAAACTTCATTTGTTTACTTGGGTTCTTCTTTTGTGAAACACATATGCTGAATTTCACCCTGAAATCTCCAGTTCAAATATGTCCTGTTATTACTGATCAGTGCACTGCATACACACGCTCTCATATAAATTTCCTTTACGATTGTTATTATGTTAAATAAAAGTATAGCTACACCAAACACTGAAAGAATGCAAATGACATGGAGTCACTTTGAGGCACTACTTTCGAAAATAATTGTATTTAAAAGTCATGTGCAATCATATGCACTAATTTAACCAGTACTGAACTGTACTGTGCTTCTTAAGTCAAACAGTGAGGGGAAACAACTATTGAGATAGTTATTCAATATTTAATATTAATATTTTAGTTATTTATTATACTTCCAGTGCATATATCCACTTCAATATTTCCAAATTAACAGCATTAGTACTTTGTTGCAGAGCCCATGTTGAGCCAAAGGTAATTGACCTTTTGCAGCATTGTGGTTCAGTTTTGGGCCATTCCTCTTGGGAAACCATTTTTAATTTCTTTAATCCCCTGGCTGTATCTTGCCGTTGTTTTCTTGTTGAAATGTCCATCTCCTCCCCAGATTCAGATTCTTGGCCAGTAATAAATTTTCCTCTTGTATGTCTTGGTACATCATGTCATTCTTGTTTCCTTCGATGATATGTAATTATCTAATGCCACTCCTGAGTGGCAGCGGCCACTGACGTTTGGCTAGTGCCAGTCCTGAGCGACAGATGCCGATGGCTGGCTGTTGCAGATGCTAAATAGAAATCACTCTAATTAATACAAATCAATAAATAAAAGCAAGAGTGTTTAATCTGGGTTAATCTGTACATCTCCATACATAGTGCAGTTAGAAAAAAAAGGTTGCTCTGTAGGATATGCATTAGGATGTCTCACTCAGATATTTTTCTAATGTTGCAACTGGGCATAGGCTGTGTCCAGGTTTGGCAAACATGAACCCCCTATAGTTTTCACAGTCTCGCTCCATAATGTCTTCATGGTTTTTGTTTCTTCATTGCATAACAATGTGCAGTATGCCGTTTTGATGTCTTAATAGCAAATGCTTTCTTGCCCTCTTTACCTCGACACCCAAAATGAAGCTGTTTTTCAAACCAAACTTTGTTCAGAGCCCTCTTGGATGGTTGGGAATACATGCATTAGATTCCCTGATGATTTTCTCATCTGTGGGAAAAATTAATGGATGATGGGTCGTTTTGTCTCTCCCTTTGCGTCTCATTGTTTTAATGGTTCCGAGGAAGATGTTGTTTGCAGGCTTAAATTCAGGGTCATTCTTTAATCATCAGGAACAACTAAGTGGAGGTTTGTTAAGGTACCTGTTGAGCCCTGTGTGCAGTCCAAGATTACTGCTGATACTACAAGGCTCACCTTTTGTGGTACAGATAGAGTATCAAGTTCAGCTCAGCCTTTTCAATTGTTGCCAAAATAACCTGAATGTCATTTTATAACAGCCAGTCTAAAAAGCACTTTGTAGCACCTCTGTGAAGCTGGTCCCCCAATTCTCATGTTACTAAGCAATAAGGTTTGATGTGTGACATCACTCAGTCCCCATCAATGTCCAAATCGCGTCAAAGGGTCTCATTCATTTATGCTGATTTGTGCTGTTAAAAGAAATGTTTGTGCTGTTGTATTTATCAAGCTATAGGCAAAAAAATATTTTTTAATAAGTGATGTCACCCACCCAATGTTAAAATGCTCACCAGATATCAACAAAAAATTTATTGAAACCACCAAGAACACAATAGATTCCAACAGCGACCAATGTGTGCTTTATTCTAACAACAGCTCTGGAATTTTTGTGGATATTCCCTTTTGGTTTCATGCCAACCTAACGATGACCTATCCAGTTTCAAAGGATTAAAAATGTAAAAATAAATTAAAGAGATTACACTTCGGTTTAATTGTTATAACCATACAAAATTTCAAAGCTGTGCTCCAAATAATTTTAGGTTTGCCTATCTCAATGACTGAACTGAGCCAGAATGTTAAATCTTTAAAAAAGACATATTAAATATAATGCTTAAAAAACATATTACCTTTAATAAAATCTAATCTGGAGCATTATAAAGCTTATTTTGGAAATTCAGTGTTTTTCCATTGAAAGCATTACTTGATTTTTATTAGGCTTCTTGGTCAAAAATGTAATCTTTAAAAAACAAGGTAAAGTAAGGAAGGCGCGACTTGGATGTTGATGTGGCTGAGTGACGTCACTTATTAAAAAAGTATTTTTTTAACCTACAACTTGATAAACACAACAGCACAAACATTTCTTTTAAGGCAAAAACCAGTACAAATGTAGCAAACAAACGAGACCATTTTTGTGCGATGCAGACGTTGATGGAGGGGCTGAGTGAGTCACAGGTTAAATAAAATAAAATATTTAATTTCTCAGAAATGCTGCCAGCCTGTTTTGCCATTACTGCAGTCGACCTAACAGTTTTCATGGTAATGGCAGATTCAGAATTTGATGTGCGTCTGCAGACAATTTTTTTTGGAGTCAGCGCCAAACGGGCTGGAGGTCAAATGTTATTTTAAAGTCATCCATTTTATCAATTTCTCGTTTTGTATAAGCACAACTGCAAAGCAACTAAGGTTTATATGCATGAAGTTTGTTGTTACTTGACTTAGCAATGCATCAGCGGAGTGATACAGTTTTGATGCGAAAAAGCCATGCTGTTACCACAAATATCAGCATGGTTAGAACACTTCTGTACCAATCAGATTGTAAGTTTGGAGCTAACTGTTGTATAAAACTAATATAATGATTTTGCAATATTCTTATGTTTCCCAGTTACTAATTATAAAATTCACTGAATTGTGTAGTTGGAATCTCAGTCTTTAGGAGGCTTTCGCTTCTCATATCTTTTACCAATTAATACCATGAGCAATTACATATACAGTACGTTACAGAAACTAACATTTTTGGTAATATTACATGCAGCGATTACACATACCTGACAATGTTTAACATCTAAATATTGTCACTTAAGATGCATTTATTTATGGTCATTAAAAAGTGAAAATTGATTACATTATTCAAATGAAAGAATTACATCATCAAATAATAATAGTGAGTGGAACAGTATAGATTTGTGTGAGACCAGGCTGTCAATAAATGTATGTATGTTAATTACAGGGCATTTTTCAACTTTCCAGTTACCTAAATAATAGATTGTACAGTACGTAAAACAATGAGTCACACAGAATATGCATTTTCTCATGTTTTAACACTAGGTTTATTGGAATGTTAGCACAATAACCAAACTTAACAAGAAACTGCTTGTGTTAGACCCTGGAGGCTGTTTAAAACTGTCTACTCATTTTTATTTCCATATGCTTGTGAGTTTAAAAGGACACAAAAAAGTCACAAATAAGGTTGTTTTAAGTTACTGTTATTCACAGCTTCATAGAGTGTTCACTGGATGAAGACTTGATGGATGGAGATTGCCTATATTATATGTACCATAACAGCGTCTGGAATAAAAACCTACTTTTATGGTTTTGGAGGTACTGGAGTGAACATGTAAAAGTACTGCAAGAAGCTACAGGCAGAAGAGCAAACTTTCATTAGCATTCTACTAAAAGCTGGCAACAGGAGAGAAGAGATTTTAATCCAGTGTTGTACCTCTCATCAGTTAATTAATTTATGTAATTTTACTCATTTTAATATTACCTGGCATGTATTAGGCATTCAGTCTGAGAACCATCAACCTGAACTAGTCATGGCAAATTTTGCATCATTCTCTGGCTTCACGAGTCACATAACACAGACCATGATCCCCATATGCATCATAGCTGTCAAAAATTGGCTTCTGGAGCCACTCTGCCTCATAAGTAGTGGTACTATAAACAAAGGCTTCAGTAGTGCTCCCCACTTTTGGTGTTCCCTCTCCCTCTCCAATCCTGTGCTCCACCTCTAGTAGGATACGTGTACGCTGATACATTTGTGGGCAGCTTTCAAACCAGTCCAAGAACTTCAGCATCTGGTCATCCACACTGTAGATTTCTCCCCGGACATGTTGGCCCTTCCCAGGAACATTGAGAAGGAAGGGGATGTTGTACTTGCCTGCTATGACAAGCGGGTATTTCTCAACAGTGCGGGCATAGCAGAGGAATTCAGCTTTACCATTAGTAATGTCCAGCATCCTGTAGTAGTTGGGCTGGCCTTTTTTCAGAGTCCCATAAACAAAAATGTACGTCATCTGAACTGTGGGGAAAAGAACCCTAAAAATTCCCTTTTAGGAGAAACAAACCACAAAATTAGATGTGCACTGCTGTAATATTATTAATATCAAAGGCAACTGACCCAAAAGTCGTGTCATAACTGAAAGAAACGAGACCAGCAAATTCAAGATAGGGGTAGGTTTGTATTCTTGTAATTAAACTCCATGTAAATAATATATTATTACAACTTAAAATTGAAATCGAAGACTTCTCAGCTTACCAAAGTTGTAGGAAGTAATTTTCTCATACCAGACTGCAGTCCTGGAATGCAAAAATGATTGCCTATATAGTAGTTCTTTAAGTCCAAGATGTTGTATGAAATGAATTAATACAAAATAATATAAATTTAAATAAAAAAAGGCAATGATAGGCACATCATTTAAACCCTACATTTAATTGAAAATAGTACAAAGACAACAGATCAAATGTTGAAACTAAGAAATTTTATTGTTTATTGAAAAAAAATTGCCCATTTTGAATTTGCAGCCAACAACACATTCAACATGTTCACTGTGTGAAAGACTGCACAGGCAAATAGTGCAACAACTCAAGAATAACTTTTTTCAATATAAAACAGCAAAAGCCTTTTTCTTTTTATCATCTACAGTACATAATAACATTAAAAGATTCAGATAATCTGGAGAAATCTCTGTATTGTATGCAAGGGACAAGTCCAAAAACCAATACTGGCTGGCTGTGATCTTTGGGCCCTCAGGCAGCACTGCATTAAATGCAGAATGTAGTATTTAATTTTCTGTAGTGAAAATCACTGCATGGGCTCATCACTGCATTCACAAATGCAAGTTAAAACTCTAAAACGCAAAGACGAAACCATATATAAACGGGATCTAGAAACCTTCTCTGGGCCTGAGCTCATTTAAGATGTACTGAGGTGAAGTGGAAAAGTGTTCTGTGATCCGAAGAATTAAAATTTGAATTGTTTTTTGGAAAAGCTTACAGAGTGTTGTTAAAAGAAAAGGCGATGAAACACAATGGTAAACATGACCCTGTCTCAACTTTTTTGGAATGTGTTGTTGGCATTCTCAGTTTCAACATCTGATATGTTGTCTTTGTAGTATTCTCCTTTAAAAATATGGTTTAAGTGATTTGCATATCATTGCATTCTATTTCTGTTTACATTTTGCAGTGTCCCAACTTTTTTGGGAATGGGGTTGTAAATAATGGTCAAACACAAAGCTTATTACAGTAGCCAATGCTTTTACTGAAATGGTAAAAATACTTTCTACCATTTAATCAGTATTTTAGCAACATGTGTCTCATAAAGAATGTATAAAGCACTTAGACAAACATACAAAAAATAAACGGTTGTGGCACAATTTCTCAAAAGAGTTAATTTATTAAATGATGCCTGTGTTACTCCAGTAATTGTTTTCGATGTCTTAACCTTGACCAAAACAGAACAATATCTTTTCCTTGAGTTAACAAATTGCAAGTTAACAAGCCTCCCCGAAACCAAATTAAAGAGTTCAAGGGTTGCTGTGTAAGCTCTGCCCGCAGGCTCTTGCATCACACTCAGTTTCAGCAGTTTAAGCAGCTGCTAACGTGACACTGATTTGCTCATCTCTCCCCTTAGTAAATGGCTCAGTAAATAAATGAAACGTATGATAAGCCCAACAACGTCTTCCTTAAAAAAAACAACGGCACCGTCAGAGGATCCCGAACTGATTGCAAATTCAATAATTTACAAATAATACACGTTATGTTTAAAAGAAAACGACGGTGGACTAATCTGCGTAAAGTTACATAGCCTGGAACCTTCTTTACCTGAATAATTACTACCTTTGGTTTCTATATGTCAAACCTAACTGATACACTTAGCCTGATAGGCTATGTTGTAGGTGTACATATGTGAATAAACCTACTTACAATAACTCAAGAGGAAAAATACCTGAATGCTCCTGTCTCCAAGATATACTACGGCGTTGGAGGGTACTTAAAGCATTATTAATTTTTAACACAAGAACAACAGACGTATACTCGGATTGCTACATTACTTCCGTGTTGGAAACTAGTTGTGATACCGCGAGATCTACCGATTACACAGACAAATAGAGAGGAGACAGCCGGTGTAGTGCCAAATTCCGCACCCCCGCCAGGAGAAGCACCCCCTCTCGGCAGCGTGCGCGCAACGTCTTTTTCTCGAAAGGGGAGGTAATCCGCTTTTTACTTTACTTACATCGACTAACAGAACGTGCAAATGATCACGTTCATGCTTCCCTGTTGGAAACTACAGTTGTGATACCCCGAGATCTACCGATTACACAGACAAATAGAGAGGAGACTGAGCCAGCGTAGTGCCAGACTGTTGAGGGGGCGTGGGAGTGGGCAACCCAGTCTACATGTATTTAATGTGTTGAAGTGTTTTTAAGTTTCTGCATAATTCAGTGGTTAAGATGTAAGTTATTCAGAGTGCTTTGGTGTGAAATGGTCCATTGTAGAGTCTCAGATTTCTTTACAGTGGTGGTGATAGGAACCAGTGGGGTATTTCCCAAAGCAGGATTTCTCAGTTTAGCCAGATAAGTCAAGCCTGTCTAGCAGGAAAAGAGCAGAGGAGCATTGCTATTAGACAACTTTGGGCTTAAGATATCGGCTAACTGAGAAATCTTGCTTTGTCAACCCCACCCCAGGGGTCACCATGTATACAACACAAAAATAGCCATTTTATTTAATATCCAAAACCATCAGAGAACCTACACATGATTTCTGAGTTCTTGTGGACGATGTAAATAGTGGTAAGTTTGAAAATAAAAAATGGATATCTGGTTCCTATCATCACCACTGTGAACAATGCTGTTTCTCTAGAACAGAGCATTTTGCATCTGAATGACTTTGTTTACATATTTAACAGCTGAACAATGTAGAAACTTTGAAAAAAAATAAGCGGAATTCCACTTTAAGTGGTTGGATTAGAATCCAATATCTTTTAAAGAGCTTACTTTGCTCATCTAGACTCATCTATTCATTTCATCATAAAGTGAAAAACCTGAAAGTCCATTTCATATTTGTCTACTTACACTCAAACTTGAGAATAAGATTCTCTACTTTCCATTTGCTCAGTTTCTGTTTCATGAATGCATCCATGAATCCAACTGACCTAAAAAGAAAACAATGTTTTAACTAACAAAAACAGTACTTCAATTTTCAAAATAAATTAAACCAGGACATCAGAATGTACTGTCTGCAGGTATCCTCATCCTTTAAGGCTTTTTTAATTCACTTTTTAATCACTTCAAATGTACTGATTTTTAAAAAGATTCTACACAATTTAATGGTTGAGATGTATAAAAGTCATTCAGAGTGGTTTGGTGCAAAATGCTGATGTCTGACACATCATTTTATGATAGTTTTGTAATAAAGTATTGGCTTAAAATATATTTGAATCAATTTATTTTAATCCAGTCATAGTGGGGGTATGGCCCAAAGTAGCCCCCCAAAGAAAACCTATTTTCAGATTTATGACAATTTAACCATCGTTAATATTCCATGTAAAAGCTTAGAAGACGTGTTCATTGGTGGTGCTGGATAGTAAATAAAATGGCTATATTTGTGTTGTAGACATTGTGACACCTGGTGCATATCACCACCAGTGTAAAGAAATCTGAGTCTAAGTTTCTCTACAATGAGTGAACTATCAAGATGGAATCATCTTTAGGAGTAAACGTATAGCTATTCCCCATACGCTCAGAAGGGAGATCACACAGTGCATCCACTCCTCTCATTTAGGCGTTGAAGGGTGCCTTAGGAGGACCAGGGAGTGGCAGGGTAAGAATTACCAAATCAAGTCATACATATTGAAATGTAGCATCTGTCGGTCAGTCGACAATAAGCATGGGCAAAAGTATGCACTGATTTGTTTACGTTTGATGGTAAGAATTACCTTATCACAGTAGACTATTTTTCAAATTGTCAAATGTAGCAAACACAAAGTCCAGTACTGTTATCAGCAAGCATTTTGCCCATCAAAGTATTCCTCGTTTCAGGACTTCCGGCGGCTCGAGAAACCGTATGGCAGCACAAGTTACAGCTCCGGTATTGGCCAATGAAATCCCCGAAATTCAAGGAAATTTGATCTTTAAACTGAAAGGAAAATGAGGTTGTGGTTAAGAAGCGTCATGGAGCGAGAAATGGAGAAAGAAGTCAAAGACTTCACGGGAGAATCTCTATCGGGAAAATTTAACCAGAAATTTTACCGAATTTAAACAGAAAATATCAGACGCTATGGGCTAGATTGGGGAGACTACGCAGCAACTCGGAGAAGTGGAGAGAAGTATAGCGGAGGCAGAGAGGTGGGATATTGGAGTTAAAGACTCCTTAATTCAGCTCATCAAAAACCAACGAACATTGCAGGCTAAACTGTCGGACCTGGAAGGTCTCTCCCGGCGAAATAACGAAAGGCGAAAGGTTAGTGAAAAAAGGGGGAAAAAAAGAAAATGCCTCAGTAAGCAAGGAAAGAAAAAATGTTTTGTGGTAATGGCCGGTACCAATAACGTGACTTACGCCACAACACTATAGCATCTGCTATTAGGTTGGTTAGCACCCTTTCATTTTGGTTTGTTTGTTTGGTTGGTTTACTTTTTGAGTCTGCTAACGAGGGGCACCACTATGTTGCTATTTCCCCTCAGATCTGGAAGATAGAGTGACTCCTCCTGGTTGGAAGTCCGGTTTACTTTCTTTTTGGAACTGTATAATAGTTGTAGAGGTGCAGTTGTTCTTGTTTGTCAGTGTTGTATGAGGTCTGTGGGTCGATTGAGGCAGGTGCATGAAAGTTGTTTGGAGAAACAAAAATGTCTTTACAGTACTATAATATTATGTCGATGTGAACGGGTTGAACAATCCCATTAAAAGAAGCAAAATGATCACTAAACTGAAAAGGGAGAAAATCAACATAGCCTTTTGGCAAGAAACGCATTATCATCTATCGAACATGAGAAATTTTTTAAAATAGGCTTTCGCAGTACTTTTTTTTTCCTGTTTTAAGTTGCAATATTAATACCAAATTCAATGAGTTTTGAGTTCATTTCTGAAATAAAAGACAAAAAGGTAGATATGTTTTAATCATGGGTAAACTTAAATATTTATGCCCCCAGGATGCAATACAGCCTTCTTTAAGAAAATATCTGACTTACTAGCATCTAAAGCTCAAGATACCCTTATGTGTGGTGGAGACTGGAATATGCCATTGAATCTTAGATTAGATACTACCAATAAAATGAGGAAAAAGAATTCTGTAGAGATCCAGATGAATAATATGCTCCAAGATCTGGGCCTAATGGACATATGAATGGACAAAAATTAGATTTTACTTTCTATTCTGCACGCCACAATGTACACTCGAGAATCGATTATTTCTTAATGTTTTCAAAGGACCGTCATAGAATTAAGAGCTGCAGTATAGGCCCTAGAGACCTATCAGACCACTCTAGTTTATATTTAAAATTACAGCTTGGTAGTACCCCTAAGAAAACCCTATGGAGGTTAAACACAGAAACGCTAAATGACGCAACATTCAAGGCCACAATGGCAGACGAATTTAAGTCCTTTTTAATTAATAATAATAATGGAGAGGTCAGTCCAGCTATACTGTGGGATGCAGCTAAAGCTTTTCTCAGAGGGAAAATTATCGCTCAAACGGCTTTTATCAAAAAGTTAAAAACTCAAAAACTGCAGAATTTGGAAGATAAACTAAAAAAGACCTGGAACGGCTTCATAGTTTAACTCTAGACCCATCTGTCCTCCAACAAATAAGACCAATTAAACAAGAAATATTTAAAATTCATAGCGAAGCGATGGAAAAGAAAATAAGATGTATGAAAAAAGATTTTATGAGGCAGGAAGAAAAGCAGCAAAACTATTAGCTTGGAGGACTTGTAAGCAACAAGCAGATAGCTTAATTTATAAAGTTAGAGACCCTGTAACAAACAAAACAAAAACGAAATTAGAAGGTATCCAGAAATCTTTTGAAACATATTATAAATTATTGTATTCTCATCCAGAGAAAGCCAGCGAACAGAATGTAGAACAATTTTTGAAATCATTAGATCTCCCTTCTCTGGGTAAACAGCATAATGATGAATTAATCTCTGAAATTTCAAGAGAAGAAATTGATGCAGCAATATCGGCCCTCAGTGTAGGAAAATCGGCAGGCACGGATGGATATCCACCAGAGTGGTACAAGTTGATGAGAGAATCCTTGCTTCCTTTACTTGAAACTTGTTTTAATTATATTATGAGGGAGGGGTCTCTTCCTCCTTCGTGGAATGAGGCTATTATCTCCGTATTACTAAAGGAGGGTAAGGACAGGATGGACTGTAGGTCTTATAGACCCATAAGAGTTCTCAATGTAGATTATAAATTGTATGCCTCAATTCTGGCCAAAAGGATGGAGAAGTTGATGCCTTTTTTGATAGATGAGGATCAAACCGGGTTTATAAAAAACAGACAAACCCTTGATAATATAAGGAGAGCCCTTCATATTATTGATGTTATTAATAGGAGGGAGTGTAGTGCAATTATCCTTCGACTCGGTCATTGATGAATATTTTGAAAATATATGATAATTACTCTGGAGATATGCTCAATATTCAAAAAACACAAGCTTTGACATTTAATTTTAGTCCCTCTAAAGAACTGGTAAATAGGTATAACTTGAATTGGCACTCTTCATACATTCAATATCTTGGGGTCCGTTTATCAAAAGATGTGTCACTTTTGATGGCCATAAATTTTAATCAGCTTAATAAAAAAATGTATAAGGACATGGACAGATGGGCCTTGCTTCCCCTTGATATAGGCAGCAGAATAAGATCTGTTAAGATGAATATCCTCCCCAAATTATTATATTTATTTACAGCTTTGCCTATAGATATTCCTCCTAAACAGTTTAGGGAATGGGACAAACATATTTCTAGGTTTATTTGGAATAAAAAGATGCCTCGAGTAAAATATTCTACCTTGATGTTGCCGACAGAGAAGGGAGGCATGGTGCTACTATGTTTAAAAGATTATTA